TCACGTCCACGTGATGACATTCTCTCTTTTCGCATGCCTCACGGCATTGAACCCTGAGTTCATCACCGGCTTCCATCCATTGGGCACCTTCGCATCCAAGTGCCATAGATCCACGTTCTGCTGTCTCCCAACTCGAATTGTTGCCTTCGAAGCCCATGTAGTTGATCTTTTCCTGCAAGGCATCTCCATCGAGGCTGATGAGTGCCAGCTTTCCATCGTGCTCCTTCTCATCGTTCACCTCATAGTTTCTTCCACCAGCTGCCACCAACGCCATAGCGACCAGGGTGAACAGCCGCATCGAAAAACTTGTTACACTTTCTCGATTTGTGCTACATGGCAGCATCATCGCCCTAGACAGGGCTCCGCGACCATCTGAAAAGCCGCTGCTTCTGTTTTGCAACGCTTTGAGCCACTGTGCATTGGTGGCAAATCACACTGATAAGTACAGATACTCACAGGTGTCTGAATGTCTGCTCATGTTTGAAACATCACCTACCACTTCACATCTGGTTCCTCCGCCTGTTGTCAAGGCTATGGTGTTTCGAAACTCTGCGGAAGTTTGTGAGATGGATCTGTTGCACGACATGCATGTTGAGAAGCATGTCGGTGACGAAACAAGACCTTTTCTTCAAGTACTACTGTGTGGTTGAGCTGTGAACGGTCGGCTCATCTGCGTGACAGTTGCGCACATCCGCGACAGGGTCTGGACATGCACGTGTTTTGGAACTGAAGTGTCAAAGTGACTTTTGCGAACTTCACAACTGAAGCAGTGCAAAACTGTTTGTTTTCCTTGAGACACGAGCGCCTGAAGATATGAACGGACACGACCCTGATCATCTATGCGACATGGAGTGTAAGACATGAAATCTAGTGGCTATACAGGTGCAGAAACATGTTGCACCTCGCCTTGCTACTGGTTTCAACCTCGTAACACAGGGTTGAGAAAAACTTTTAAGTAAAATCTCTGATTCGAATTCTAAGTGGCTGGTGTGAATGCGGCCGATTGGCCGTATCTATTCTGCAGGGCGGACTCTTTGAGCGAGACAGTGTGGGTCAATCGCATTGGCGCATTTGGTGTAGCTAGTGCACCGTGCGCATTGGCTGCATGTGTTGGGACGTTCGTCGGGCATGTCACGCAGGCGGCGGTTTTCTGGCTCTTGGTGTATGTGGATGATTTGCATGAGGCGTTTACAGGAATGTCAAAGTTTGAGATTTGGCTCTTAGCTTTCGAACTGGCTTCTCTTCGGAGTTTGTGAGTTTCTATTTGAGGTATGACCCAAACGAAGTTGGTATCCCCACCAAATGGGGAACATGGTTAGTGGATTGGATCAGGAGCTTGGATGCGTTGTGGCCGTGCGAGACTGGCTGGGGTTTGTGTCGCAGCTTTTGTTGTGGCTCAAGCCGCATTTAGCGCCATTGTTTGCCTGGAGTGCAGTTACATCTTCTGGCTTGGTTGGTAGGCTCCTGTATACAGTGATCTTGATGTTGAGACACATTCTTATGGACGAGCGGGTCTTTCCAAGAGGCCAGCCCACTTCACTAAGGAACAGTTCAGAACAGACGCGAAATGCACTGATGACATGGTTATCTTGGGCGGCTGGGAGGTTTCTTCGCGCAAATGGTTTTTGCTGGCCCTCAGGAGAGATCTCAGGAGAGATCAGGTTCCTTATTTCTTCACGCCAAATGGGGGCGGTGCGCAATGGGTTTCGACATCGGCAGAGCTGCTTGCTTCACTTGCAGCTCTTAAGGCTTTTGGATGGCTGGATGAAGGAAGGGCACGCCATACAGTGCCGATTTACCTTGTTGCTGGTAGGGACAATATGGCCAATGTTCTGTTTTCTAGCAAGCGGTCAACGACCAAGTGGCCGTTAATGCTGATCAACATGGAACTTTCTTCATGTCTTGAAAGGGCCAAGTTGTCTCTTGATTTGAGGTAGAGACCGGGGGAGGAAAACAGGGAAGCAGATGATTTGACCAATTGAGGTGATACAAAATTTCCCATGGAAGATCAAGTGGCGATCGCTTTTGAAGACTTGGGCCTTAGGGTGGTAAGGTCGCTATGGGAGACCAAGGCGCAGTTTGACATGTTGAGGGAAGAGGCTAGACAGCGCCCAGAAGAGCAGCCACGGAAAGGGAAGCGAAGGCATGAGAAATCAGCGTGGTGACCATGTTTGCAACTGTCTTTGGCGAAAGGGAGAACAACAGAGGTTTGCTGCACACGGTCCCACCTTCTTTGGTACAACTTGTGATATGCGTTGCTGGAGGGGTCCGGCGATGAGACACTTTGAGACATGAATGAGACGCGCCGGATTTTGCCACGGGTTCAAATAAAAAGGTGATGCGACGTTCGAACGAGGGATTTCGCAGCTGAATGATGTTTTCAGTTTTGCTGTCATGTTTGGTGGTGGTTTGATGTGGTGCAATTTCCTTCTCCCCACGTTTTCTCTGGTTGCAACATTGTTGTTCGCATCTCCTTTACATACGAGTGTCCTGCATCCCTACCTCCTCGACACACAACACAGTAGGACAATGTCAGAAATGAAGCAATTCTGCGAGACGTCCTTCAAAAATAGAAAATTGAGTGCAGAGCTGACGGCTTCCTACGAGTGCGTTTTGCGATTTTACGATGCCATCTTTTTAAAGTACGCGAAAAAATTACGAAGTGCTGCGCCTGTCATGCAGAATCACCTTAGCAAACTTGAACGTATGATGTTCGAAAGGGCACCCCATCTCAGGAAATCAGCGCCCTGACCTCGTAACATGTCCTATGGAGATGTGTCTTGTACTGCGCCTGCCATACGATATGCATCCTGACACATCCTCTTCAAACGTCCCATGTTTGCCCTCGTTTTTGAAACGGCTGCAAAACCCATTTGGTTCGCTTTTGACAAGGTTCAAAATCCATTGCCCCTGCCAGGCAAAGCCGCATCCAGACCTCAAAAAGTGCTTGGAAATTGTCAGTTTTTATTACTTTTGATTTTGACACGTGCTTGGCTCCACAGCTGCGTGCGCTTTGTCAACCTCTCAAATACCAAAAGTGCCCCGACCGTGTGGCGTTTTGAACATTTGGAGTTCGAAACGCGCTCCGCGCCACAGCCGCGTGCACTTCGGAACGTCTCCGTTTCTAGAAGTGTTCCGACGCTGTGTGTTTGCACCGTTTTGACCTCAAATCTGCTTCGCGCCACAGCCGCGTGCAATTTTTGAATATCTCAACTTCCAAAAGTGCTCCGGAACGGAGGTGTTTCATAAATCTTGGTTTGGAAATTTGTTTCGCGCCACAATGGCGTGCAATTTTTGATCTCTCATCCGACCAGATTGCTACGCACCCGCCGCTTTAGCGAACCTAATTTTTCGACCACATTGGAAAAACACAGTGCTTCGTGACTTTTCTACCATTTCGCGCGTTTTACTGTTCTTTCTTTGACTGTTTCTCTTCTCTGAGTTTTTCTTTTTTGTTCCTTTCTCTTCTCTGACTCTTCCCACCTCTGCTGCTTCATCTGTCCATATTGTTGGAAGTTTGACTTCTAAACTTTGTTTAGTAATGTCCATTTGGGAAGTAAAAAAAACGCCTTATTAACCGAGCAAACCAACGCCCGCCAGAAATAATAATGCCCCCCGGGAACGAAATATGCCAACGTCAGAGCTCATTTTTGGGGGTTTTTGATGTTTGGGGAAAATTTCTGGAGATGTGGTCGGTGCAAACGGAAATTTGAGATGAGGAACGGACAAATAAAGAAGTGATGTGGTGGGCTACTTGATTTGAAAACATTTTCGTTTGTTTGCCAACCCAACTCCTGTTTTGAGCAATTAGATTGTGTCTGCCTTTTTTTTGTGCAACCCCTGGTCCAGTCATTCCAGTTCCTTCCGCGATCCACGCTCAAACTCAAGAAGGAAATATGAATGAAAAAAGGGAGGAACAACCATCACCAGTAACAATTAATCCGTCGGTGGTCCCCTTAAAACATATTGTGATTTCCACTCCCATTACAGTTTTCTCAGCCACTGTCTCAATTCCCTTCTCCAAACCTGAAACCCTGTTGAACTGGAAACTGGAACAATGAACATTGTGTATATTGTCTGAAAACGATGGAATTGCGAAAAATCAAAATGGTTTCAGTGGTCGTTGCTCAGATCAATCGCACAAAGGCGGTAATTTTGAAGACGTCGTCTCAATAATGCTGAATTATTGCAAAAAAACAACAAAACAAACTTTATCAGAGACGTTTATAACGTCCCGCCTTGTTGACAATTCCGATAGTTTTGGCCAAAATTTTTGTACATGTCCCTTTGAGAAAATTTTGCAGAAATCCTCCAAGGGCGCCCCTTTATGAAATCACCACATTTTCTGCCTTTGTTCGTGTTGTTCCTTTAAGGTTTGGAATTGATTTCAATGTATTTTGTGTTGATTGGAAAAAACATGTTTCGTTCAAATATGATTTTAATTTTTAAATGTTTTTTTTGTCAAAACTTGGAATTTTTCTTGCAGTCTTTTGGGTGTGTTGTGGCATGTTTTTTCTTTGGGTGTGCGTAGTAAAAACATCAAAGAAAATCAATCGAAATTTGACTCCATCAGACGCATACGGACTACCACATCGTTCGCGAAAATGACGCCCATTTCAAAAGGAGTGAACAGGGAATCAAGTACAGACAATCACACCGGGACCAAGAAGACCGATTTATCATGAGGACGAATCTGATTGCAGATCGTCCAAATTGATTTTCAAAAAAAAATATCAACAAAAACGAAAACCACATGAGTGGATTGTTTGGCAACCATTTGGATTTGCAAGCAAACGCAAAACAATAGACGTTTACCCAGTTTGAATATAATTCGTAATTGTTTTGGTTCCAGGTCTTTAATTAAGGAGTTCCGGAAATACATAATAGAATTCTATGACAGTCTGACATGTTCAATGAAACAACATTCCATATTGCACATGAATCATGTTTGAAACATGAAACGAAAACGATTTATGTAAAACAGTTTGTGGTGAAATCAGATTGCTTCTTGCACATGTGGTGCAAAACCCACAGTGGGCAATGAAAGCGAAAGTGTGCAAACCTGAGCTGACATCCTGCCAGATGATTTTGGACAGATTTTCTTTCCACCACAGATTCAAATTTTGTTTTGAAGGTTTGGAGTTAGCCGATCCTATGGTGACTTGCAAAACATCGACATCATTGAGAATCGGTCAGTTCAGTGCAAGTCAGTGGCCAAGTGGAAGGGGAACAACAACATTTTGATCATTTTGGTACGCTTACACGACTTATATGCATTTGGGTTCACTATGGTTCACTCATATGTTTATATTGATTAACACATATGCCAATTGTGTTGTGTTGTTGGTGTTGTTGGTGTTGTTGGTGTTGTTGGTGCTGCTGTTGTTGTTGTTGCTGTTGTTGCTGTTGTTGCTGTTGTTGCTGTTGTTGCTGATGTTGCTGTTGCTGTTGCTGTTGCTGTTGCTATTGCTATTGCTGTTGCTGTTGCTGTTGCTGTTGCTGCTGTTGTTGTTGTTGTTGCTGCTTTTGTTTTTGTGGTTGTGTGTCGTCGTAACATCAAGGTCCAGCAGTTGACATGTGTACAGTGTACATCACAAAAAAATGTTTGCTGGTTGAACTGTTTTTGCGTCAAAACATGTGGATTTTCATTGAGGTCGGGTTTGCCTTCAAGATATCAACGGGGGAAATTCTTGGGCAAGGTGAGGTTTTGCTACTGATGGAGTGTCAACACAACACGCGCAAACTTTGTGAAGTCATGGGAAGCGCTTGCAGGGTGGTTTCGCAAAATGTTACGAAGTTCAAGACTTGGAGACCAAGGAGACTTTCGCAGTCAACGCCCAAGACAATTAAGCGAATTCACCAAGTTCACAAAATCCACTTGCGCAGAGATGCAGTGACAGTAATGTATTCATATGCACTTATTATGTATTCAATTGCAAAGTATTTGCAGTTAGCAATCATAGCTGCGCCTACGCTACGGTCGACATGCAAGGCCAAAATTGTCTCCAAGTCCTCTGTTACCAAACCGCGAGCATATGCCAAACTCAGGCCTGTGAGAAGACAGATGACATAAAACTTAAAACAAAACATGGAAGAGATATATATATATAAAAGGTAGCACATTTTGTGTTGCTGCTTTGGAAGGTCCGAAATTGCCATTCACAAAGAACTTCATCATGAAAAAGCCGCGGACTCGTGAACTTTCTCAGAAGTCCAGCTGACCTTCATAAGCTAATTTTGTTTTGGATCATCACATCCTCGTTGAGGTAGTCAAATTCTACGAACATTTCGAGGAGCAAATGCGTTTCTGCTTCTCAATGTCTGTGTGTGCTCCAACACGTCCTATCATCAAATCGATAATTGATTAGGACGCAGAGCACGTCTACATCATGCTCGAGGTGTGTGGAGTTCTAAGTTCTTTGAGCAGCCTGATACAATTGGTGTGTCAGGATGTGTGACGTGTCTGCTTTCAATCAGACGCCCAGGCCCGAATCGAACGTTGAATGAATTCATGCGTCGTCGACCCCCAAAAAGACTTATGGAGCCAGAGGCCAGGCTGTCACGGGTTGTACCAATGCTACGGTGCTGTGGTGTTTACCTTGTGCTCTTGTGAATCAACATCCTTGCACATTTCATCCACTTCCTGAATCATGGCAGGCCATGTTCTACGTGTACGATCTAATTCTGGCACTGCAGTACTTACATCGGCGGAGAGTCATCCATAGAGACTTGAAGTTGTGCCCCAAGTTTTTTGTTTCTGAATCAACTGTTTTTGGCAACCAACATGCAAACCGTGTCAAAGATGTCGCAACCTGATACTTGCAATGAGTGTTTGCGCAGTTCAAGCTCTGGTGCTGGTTAAGGCTGGGCAACTTGTTCCTTGACAAGAACATGAGACTCAAGGCCCACGGATGCACCGCTTGTGGCAAAACGCAAAGCAGTCAAGTGGAGGATCGATTTCCTCACATGTGATTTCAGGGATGAAGGCAATTTGAGACACTCCCGCAAAAGCTATATAGTATGAGCCAAAAAACGCCATGCCTTGCAAGAGTGGGTTTGTTGCCACATGATTTCCTTGCACTTCAATGGTGCGTGTTCAGGCAAGACATGGCTAGATGGAATTATGGAGAATCATGGAGAATCAAAGTACACCCTACAATATCCTACAATGCTGCAAGTCGCATATGCCGCATAGCCATAAAGGCACACAGAAAAAACAAGCAAAGCGCACATTGGTTGTGTCGGACACTGCATCCAACTTGATAGGAATGTAGGATATGGGATGGGATGCATTCTGATGGTGCTTTGATTCAGAGAGTGCAAACTTCTGGTATGCTATGACCATGTTGATCAAGGTAGCTGCGGATAGCTGCGAATAGCTCCCGTATTTATACGGGAATTTAGAAGTCGTTCTAGTCATTCTGATTCCAGGTGGGTGACTTTGGCCTGGCTGCGCAGCTGGAGTTTGTCGGTGACAAGAGACGAACCATTTGTGGCCGCCACCTCAAGGTCAATTTCAGCTTAATTTGACAAAGCATGGGGTGGCGGCATCAAATCACTTTCAGAACATTTAGAATCATTTTTCCCAACATCTTTGTGTGGGGTTCTTGTTTTTGGTTGGGCACTCCCGCGCTTGCTCCGCCTCCGCCTCCGCCGCCCGCCGCCTCCATCTTACTTACTTTCACACAACTTACTCAGACACAACTTGTCCACACACAACTTCCTCACACACAACTTGTCCACACACAACTTGTCCACACACAACTTACTCACACACAACTTGTCCACACACAATCACACACACAACTTACTTTGCGTGGCAGGCGTGGCACTTATGGCACTGGGCTGGCTCTGGTGGCGCGCTTGGGTCTGGCGGGCGCCGCGGTGGTTTGCGTGGCAGGCGTGGCACTTGGTGACATGGCGTGGCACTTGGCGACATGGACCGTCACTTCGCGTGGCAGGTGCGGCACTTATGGCACTGGGCTGGCTCTGGTGGCGCGTTTGGGTCTGGCGGGCGCTGCCGTGGTTTGCGTGGCAGGCGTGGCACTTGGCGACATTGGCCTTCCCTTTGCATGCCAAACCTGCCACTTGGCGACATGGACCTTCACTTTGCGTGGCTGGCGTGGCACTTATGGCACTGGGCTGGCCCTGGTGGCGCGCTTGGGTCTGGCGGGCGCCGCGGTGGTTCGCGTGGCAGGTGTGGCACTTGGCGACATTGACCTTCACTTTGCGTGGCAAGCATGGCACTTGGTGACATCGACTTGCACTTTGCGTGGCAGGCGTGGCACTTATGGCACTGGGCTGGCCCTGGTGGCGCGCTTGGGTCTGGCGGGCGCCGCGGTGGTTTGCGTGGCAGGCGTGGCACTTGGTGACATCGACCTCCACTTTGCGTGCCAGGGGCGGCACTTGGTGACATCGACTTGCACTTTGCGTGGCAGGCGTGGGACTTATGGCACTGGGCTGGCTCGGTGGCGCGCTTGGGTCTGGCATGGCACTTGGTGACATCGACTTTCACTTTGCGTGGCAGGCGTGGCACTTGGCGACATTGACTTTCACTTTGCGTTTCAGGCGTCGCACTTGGCGACATGGACCTTCACTTTGCGTGGCAGGCGCGTGGCAGGCGTGGCACTTATGGCACTGGGCTGGCTCTGGTGGCGCGCTTGGGTCTGGCGGGCGCCGCGGCTGTTTGCGTGGCAGGTGTGGCACTTGGTGACAGCGACCTTCACGCATCGCAAGTATGAAATTGTGTAGAGAATAAACGCGCAATAATTGTGTATGAAATGGTAGTATGTCATTCTTGCTTTTGAGTGCATACTGACACACAACTTGTTCACACACACACAACTTACTCACACACAACTTGTCCACACACAACTTACTCACACACAACTTGTCCACACATAACGTGTCCATACACACAACTTACTCACACAACTTACTCACACACAACTTGCCCACACACCAACTTACTCTCACACAACTTGCTCTCACACAACTTACTCACACACAACTTGCCCACACACCAAGTTACTCTCACACAACTTACACACACACAATTTGTCTACACGCAACTTACTCACACACACAACTTGTCCACACACACAACTGTGTCCACACACACGACGACGGCAGGCAGGCACGGACATGTTTAGGTCTCTGACACTAGCTGCGAACATGATCAGATGGATGGCAGGGTTGTCGCTTTGCTTTGTGTAGTTGCCTTGGCGTTTGGAGTGCGAGATGCGCTACGTACCTTTCAATGTCTTTTGGGCTGTAAGTTAGCTGTGGGACCTTTGCTGTTGTTGGCTCCGTGGTAGGTAACGTCAAGAAGGTTGAGAACATTCGGTCACTTATACTATCACTTTGTTATCTGTGATGTCGGAGTTTTGACACACCGTGTGCTGCGTTGGGACGCGGTGTGATGAGGCCGGTGCATCGCAAGTTGCACCGGAAACTCTTGCTTCGCCAGCTTGCCAACGAGTCATGAGTCACTGCATCGTTTAGTTGTCCATGCGCGTTGTTGCTGTCTGACTTTCCTGACCTGCCAGGTATCTCTGCGAAGCTCATTCGCCAACCTTCAGCATTCGCCAAGCGCCTGCAGCAGACCGTCCGCTCTCATGACGGTCTGCGCGCACTGCCTGGCGACATTGCGCATGCTGCCAAGACTGGCCACTGCCATTCAATGATACTCATGGTGTTGGCATGCCGGTTTTGGCTACATACATACATACATACATACGTATGTACATACATACATACATACATACATACATACATACATACATACATACATACATACATACATACATACATACATACATACATACATACATACATACATGCGTACGTAAGTACGTACGGACGTACATACATACCATCTTTCTTCGTCACGCACCATCTTTCGCATACAACTTTGTCCCACAGTCACACACAACTGTTTTTACTTCTCGATCCTTCACCACCTCCTTTGTCTTTCCTTCCTTTCCCGTCCCGCTACAACTTTTGTTGCTCATTATTGGAAGAAGTTGACATGTGGGGTTATCCGGTCCTTTAATTGAAATTACACAGTTGGGGCTTGCGCCACAAGGGGCGTACTTCCAGCTGCCGTTGTTCCCAGCCCCACAGATGTCGGTAATGCGGCGAAACAGGTTCATATTGTGACCAACATCATTGCTTTTTCTCTCATGTTTCAGAGGCTCATTAGTTGTACAAGGCATCTTTTTAGGGGGTCAAGGAGACCAGCACTTGCTAACTTATCTCGGCCATTTGCGAGAGTGTTTGCTTGAACATTCGCTATTGCGCAGGTTGTGCACATACAAGGCGTTTTTTTCTCAATGTTCTGATGTCATCTGATGTTAGAGAATTCCCACCTGAACCGGACAAGCTTGGACCAGTCCTTCATCAACTCTCGAGCACAACGCAACGAGGCCATTGGAGTTAGGCTCTAGAACAGACCTCAGCAAAAACAGTTTCGCGGCAAAAACTCTTCAATCAATCCCTAATGGAAGCAAGGCCGGGTAGCAAGTAAACTCTACAGGAATGGAGGTTTGCCCGTTTTGCTGCCCTTGTGGAGTCTGTATTATCGAAGGAAGTTTAGAAGGCAAACTCCTGACAATATGGACAGATGAAAAGCAGAGATGGGAAGAGTCGGAGAAGAGAAGAGAAGAAGAAAGATCCAAAAGGAGAAAGTCTCAGAAGAAAGAAGATCCAGGTGCGCGAAAAGGTAGGAAAGCCGCGAAACACTGTGTTTTTCCAATGATTTGTGGCTCCGGAGGGTCGAAAAGTAGGCTCGCTGAAGCGGCTGGTGCGGAGCCAGCTGGCCAGACATCCTAACAGCTCTGATGAACATGTCTCTTGTGCTGCGCCTGCCGCGGGAGATGCACCTTTGCATATCATCTTCAAATGTCCCACGCTTGCCATCGTTTTTGGAAATGCCACAAAACCCTCACGTTTTGCTCACTTTTGCCACGGTGCACAATCCCTTGCGCCTGCCACGCGAAACGACATCTGAACGTCCAAAAGTGCTCCGGACCCGTCAGTTTTTGACACTTTTGACTTCGAAATGTGCTTCGCCCCACAACCGCGTGCACCTTTTCGACATCTCAACTTCCAAAAGTGGTCTGACGTTGGTGTGTTTTGTACATTTTGACTTTGAAATGTGCTTCGCCCCACAACGCCGTGCACTTTTCGACATCTCAACTTCCAAAAGTGGGACCTGGTGTGTTTTGTACATTTTGACTTCGAAATGTGCTTCGCGCCAAAACGCCGTGCACTTCTTCGACATCTCAACTTCCAAAAGTGGCCCAAACCTGGTGTGTTTTGTACATTTTGACTTTGACATGTGCTTCGCGCCACAACGGCGTGCACTTTTTCGACATCTCAACTTCAAAAAGTGGTCCGACGTTGGTGTGTTTTGTACATTTTGACTTGGAAACGTGCTTCGCGCCACAACGGCGTGCAATTTTTCATCTCTCATCTGGCCAGCTGGCTCCGCACCCGCCGCTTTAGCAAGCCTACTTTTCGACCCTCCGGAGCCACAAATCATTGGAAAAACGCAGTGTTTCGCGGCTTTCCTACCTTTTCGCACGCCTGGACCTTCTTTCTTCTGAGACTTTCTCTTTTTTGATCTTCTTTCTTCTGCTCTTCTCTTCTCTGACTCTTCCCATCTCTGCTTTTCATCTGTCCACATTGTCGGAAGTTTGACCTCTAAACTTCCTTTGATAAACAGAATATATACATATATATAAATATATATATATATACATATATTGCAGTCATACGTATGTATGTATGTATATATATATATGGTATGGAAGTCTATCAATCAATCAACCAATCAATCAACCAATGAAATTTATCTATCTATTTGTCTATCTGTCTGTCTGTCCGCCCGTCCGTCCGTCCATCCTTCCATCCATCCATCCATCCACCCATCCAACCTTTTTTTCCTGTCTGCCTTTCTGTCTTTCTGTCTTTCTTTCTTTCTTTCTATCTATTTGCCCTATATGTGAAATTATGTGAAACGTTGTACAGGTCGAGAAACACACACACATGTGCGACAGTCCATATCAACTTCTAGCAAAATTTTAGAGTTGTGTTCTTCATTGCTCCCGGCAACTGCCCACAACCAAAGAAACCGCCCGCAACCAAAATCTGTTATTCCTCAAACATCTCAAGCAAAAACGCAGGACCAACCCGGCACTCCCAAAATGTGCGTAGCAAATCCGAAGCAGAGCGGCTTACAGTAGATTTGGACATCTGAATTCACTACGAAAACCACATGAGGGAATATGTTTTCTTTTCCCAGATTCCAAAACCCTAAATTTCATTCCTTGTTCGAACATCCAAAAACTCAAGTGAACTCACAGATAAAAACGTCCCACGAAGACTCGACGAAGACGTGATCTAAGGAACTCCCAACTACATTGCACCAGAGATCCTGGAGGGCAAACACGGCCACTCATTCGAGGCAAATTGCTTACGTTTCGGTTGTTTTTCTTTGTTTCTATGCACTAAATCCAAATTAATTCATGTTTATTTATCTATATTACACATAGATATACATATTTGAATGGTTCCTGATCCTAGTCAAATGTCATGGCATTTCCTGTGCTTCTTCTTCTCCAAACATTGAATTTGTCAGTTTCATACCACTGCCGGCGAGGTGGACATTTGGTCTCTTGGTGTGATCATTTACACCATGGTGTTTGGACGGCCTCCATTTGAAACCTCCGACGTCAAGACCACGTGCCCACCCTATCAACCCTCTCAAACTTCAGCCTTTTCACACCTCAGCAACACCTCAACAATGCCGCAGCCTCACAGGTTCCTTGAGTTTGAGAGTTTCTGAGGTACAAGAGGATCCGGATGAACCAATACAGCTTTCCTGATTCAGTGCGCGTGTCAGGCCAGGTGAAGGACCCGAAAGAGTCTTCAAGAGTCACCCATATTGGACAAATGAGCGGCCAAACGTCAAACATTTGAAGAGGTGCATTTGGGTAGCTGAACACGCATGAATTGTTCCATTTTGAGAATCTATTTGGACTAGTTCCAAGATGCAACACAGCAGTTTGGAATTATCTCTTGCTCACTGTACCTCGACTAGTGGTGATAGCTGGAACCACAACTAAAGCAAGTAGCATCTACATTCTTTGCAAATTCCCTATTCTTGTAGCGTTGTTTGTTTTGCTCCGCTTGCACCAGTCTAAGCTCATTGCAGGAGCTCATTGGCCATATTCTGCAAACAGATCCAGTGCACGGCTCCCCTGTTTCAAGATGCTTAAAGAATGATGTGGTGATGTGGAAACTGGAAGAAGAGAGTACTGTTATTTGTCAGGAAGCGGCCAAGTTTGGGGAATATCCTCGTCAGATCCTTGGTTAGGTGTCATCACAGCTTTGCATTTGGAATAGGAGTCCTTGACAAGAGAGGTCCTTAACTCATTCTAAAGCTCTGAATTTGGAGAGCGATGGACATTTTGATTGATGTACAATTTGTCGAGAACGGACATTTTAAATACTTAGTACACCTTGTGATGATCCTTCTCTTCATGATATCATCTTCAAATTCGGCTTGTGAAATGCCAGAATTCAAGCTGGCTATGCTCAAGCAGACTTCCTCCGTCAGAGGCTGAGCATTTGGTCGTGGATTGGATGTCGTGTGATTCAATGCCTCCTTGGTATTGAGCAATTGAGCACTCAACATGGATGTTCTAAGGGCGATGCCTGACAGCATCGGCCTCTGGGCCACTTCAAGAGGGCAGGCGGCAGCTTTGATGCATTTTTTTCGCCTGCCCTCTGCCTCGCATAAATGCAGAGTTGTTTAATACGTTGTGTGGCGGGTCAACAGAACTTACAGCGTGCTGGTCTAGCAACAACTGAGCCACTAGTCTGGCTTGCTTCATGGTCTCTTGCCTCTACGGTCTTCATGCTGTAATGCCATTCGTCTTGCACTGCCCTCGCCTCATGAACGAAGGGTTGACAGTTGGTGCAGGTACAGAAAACTAATGACATGGGATACCCGAGAGAAATGTTAGGCCACCTATTCGTGTTTCTCCTGGAGCCTCTGTGCTTCGGCTGTTTGTTCAGGGTTGAGTGACTTCTTTTGCAGTACGAAAAGCCACAAAATGTCGCTGTCAAACGCAAAATCACTACCTGGTTCCAACTAGAGCGGGCACTCGGTCGTGCGGTCTGTTGTCTTTGCGCTTGGCTGGCTTTGTGTGGGCAATCCACCCCGCATCAGAAACTAAGAATTGAAAACGAAAATCCATGCATTAGAAACAAAGAAGTCTGCATTGAGCACAATGGTGTTTTAGGCTTAGGGCTCAGGGGTTGGTTTCTTATTCAAAGGTTTCTGATCCAACTCAACTTTTCTTTTCCAGAATGGTCTTCGGTTTCTGAAGCACCTGTTGGGGTTTCCGATTCACGGCTTGACCCCTAATGGCCTATGCGTGTGCCTTGCGTTGCCTCTCCACTGGCCGTCCTGCTAGAAAGTAAGATTGCACCAAAAATTGGGACTCCGTTGTAATGTTACGATTTTCAGGTATCACGTCAACATGTTTCAATGCCACTCTGAAATATCACAGTTGAGACACGACGGACCCGAATCTGTCAATAGGAGCCTCAGATGGACTCAAGGAGCTGAGAGTGAGTAGAGTCTAAGTAGAGTTACTTAGTTACTTAGAGTTATTTTGTGAAGTGGAGGCATTGGGTTGAACTTCAAACACCATGTGCCAATCAGAAAGTTTTGGGCACAAAGGCTCCAAACTTGCTGCCTTCTCTGAGACCTGAGGATACTACGCAGTGCACTGTACAGTATACTCCAACTTGATGGATTTTTTAGCCCTCAATTTCCTGTATTAGTGCAGAAATGTGTGATTGATTCCATCGACAATGGATGTGTTGAAATGTATTGAGGGAAAAGCAGGGTAAGGATGCGTAAGGCGGGCGGCTGAATCTTCTGGCGATTCGTTTGCAGCAGTATACGGTATTCCTAGTGGAACTGGTCCTTTGTGATGGCCTGTTGGCTTGCACAACAAGAAAGGAGCGCAACAAATGTCAAGAAAGGATGATGCTGAGACCGTGTGCCTAACAGAGGGAACGATCGGGTAGCGCATAGCTAGCTTGTCCTTTAGTACTTGGTCTCAGGCCTGGCATCAAATCCAGTTTGCACCATTTCCAGAGAGGTCATGATGGAGAGAGTTGAGCTGGGACATCCTTGTCCAAAACAAATGCTTGAGGGATCTTGAGGGTGTAGGTGGGGGATTGCACCTTTCAGCACTTCTTCTTCTGAAGGGAGGGTGCTTTGGGCTGAAGGCTTATCTATTTGAGGTTGCTCCTCATCGTACGGTGGAGGGAGGATTGGCAGCAAATGGAAGTAAATTGATTTTGGTCGCCAATGCAGCATCATTCTCGTAGGGGCTGCTGCCGAGTCGGATCTTGTTTCCTTTGCGCCACCAAATCTGGGTTGCTTGAGTGGACAGATTGAGTGCCACCTTTTTGTGTCGCACGCTTGTCGTTGGAATGATTGAAGGCGCGTGTCAGGTAAATCGCTCAATTCTGATAGCAGTACCCTGCAGGAGACTTGTTGCGATCTTTGTCCCGAAAGTTTGCCGTTTGTTCTTCGTGTTTCCGCGTGATTCCAGAATTCATAATAAGATCTGAATAATTTGCAAAAAGATACTGGGTCATCCTATTGCACAACATGCAGTAACATGCTCGATATACTTCCAGACCATTGACTGACATATCCAGTCTTCAGAGCTCTTGCAATTCTCTAAATGTAGCAGGTATCGGCAGCTCATGCTCCAAGTGTTGTCCTCGGAAAGAGTCTTGGTGGGACCATTTTGGGATTATTTGCTCTGCACGTTTGACCATCGATGGCTGAGAGCAAAAGGTTTGGCTCCTGTCCTTTCTGCCCAGCAAGCTGGGTAGCAGCCTCAGATCATCTCAGCTGCGGGAACTTTGTGCACCTGAGCCTACAGGAATCATAGATGTCATAGATGTTGCATGATCGTGTTTACTGATCTTGTGCTTTGCTCTTTTCTAAGGTTGAATCCAATTTACAATCCAATGCCAAGTACGCCCGGCAGATGCTATTCAGGTGTGACACAAAGCCAGTGTGCCAAAGCTTTTGAACGTGGGAAAGCTCACAGGGTTTGAGTATTGAAACATGACAAACCCACAGGCCGACCGCCTGTTGCGCAGCGGGGCAACAAGGCAGCAACCACAAATCTACTACTTGGTTTGCGTTGCGGAAGTACACAAATATTCAAAAATACAGACATGGGTGTCTATATACTGTTGGCTGTTTGACATTCCAGGGTTTTAAAACCACTCGTATCCACATAGCATGGACCATTTCTGGGTTGTTGGATGGTCGTCAATTTGGGACACACCAAGATATTTACTGATTTGGCATAGTCGTTTCGCCACTGGCTCTTTTCCAAAGGAGAACATGGTGCCCAACTACGACGCGACAGATTTCAAGGAAAACTGTTTCAATGCAGGAGGATTTGTGCACGAGCCTTAGTACGCAGATTTCGTGTCTTGTTCAAAGCCTTGTTTAGACAGCTTTCTTCCCTGAAAAGTAGTTGTCAGGTCTCTGGCTACTGCACCAAACAGGACTCTCAGCTCTGCAAGGCTTGGCGACAATTCTGTCCAGATTTGTCAGCCAAAGGCTCAAAGAAATCAAAGAAGCTTAACATTCCTGGGATGGGAGAACTGGGAGAGACATGGAGAGACATGGAGAGACATGGAGAGAGATGGGGGACGAGAGGGTTTGCAGGCTTGGAGACAGCGCGAGGCTGGCACTCTGGGTTTGCAGGTGTCCAGACCCAGGGTGGAGTATGTCAGTATTAGTATGTCCTACTGGATATGCAGAAACCTTTAAAGTTGATGGCAAAGCCAGGATGCCCTGTTGTGAAGGAAGAAGAATCAGAAAAGATACAGAGAGAGAGAGAGAGGGCTAGCACAAATACAACGCTTCTGAGCTTGTCGCAATTCAGCAGGTGTGAAACTGAGGATCATTCTCACCCTCAATGAGTCTGGATCGTTCTGAGTTCTGACTGAGACATGTCTTTTTTGAAAGCAGGATCCTTGATAGTCCTAGCAATGGAGCTACTCTGGGTGCGCCAGGCACTGGACTTATCCTGACTGATACAGACAATCTGTGACAATCCTGAGTAGTCCATGGTGTGCTTGTTCTCAGTGTTTGTCATGTCAGTGTTACATCCTACTTTGGTCGCACCATCACTCCAGTCTAGCACTTTAATCACAACAGTTACCGCCTACGTTACGACTTGCTTTGGATCCCCAATGCTATGCAACTTTGCCTTTTCTTATGCGATTTGGATCGCATTGTCTATTGTCGCTCCTTGAACTATGAATAGAAGTTGCTTGAATTGCTCGAACAGTGAGAATCTCAGAGACAAAACTCTTCTCTGGTTGAAGAAAGCTGATAGATTGCCATTCACATTTCGGATGCTTGTGGATCATTTGCATTATGATTTGCTTCATGTTTCTTTACTGCCAGGTTTTCTTGCTGAAATGTTTTCCTGGTAAAGTTCTGAAGGTATGGAGGAGCTTGGAAATTTCGGCACCTCCAGTGCAAGGCTGCATTGAATGCTTTCTCGAACTTGTCAGCCATTTGTATGCATGATGAAGACTGAAGCGGTTGTATATGGACAATCGATTTATCGTGATGATTGGCTGACTGTGAGTCACAATTGCAAGAGTATGGATACAGTACATAGAAAAGATATGAAAAGATGATAAGATGATGGAGGATAATGTGAGATGATGGAAGATGATGGAAGATGATTGAAGGAAATGTTGTGGAGGGACAAGCAGTGCAGCCTTGCTGAAACAACAAGACTGTTGATGATATATGTCGTATAATGTCGTATAATGTCGTATATAAATGTTGATATTGATACCCGGATACCCGTCTTCCCAATGCAAGGCAGCAATCGCCTCGACGGGCTCCGGTCTGCCTCTCATGGCATATGACTTTTCTCAATTCTTGGAGTTGGGCAAAATCTGTCTGAGAGTCACTGAGAGTCTGTGGCAGGATAGAGGAAGCAGAAGCTGGTCCCCTGCAGCAAGCTTGGAGGCACATTGCACACAAGTCTGACAAGATTGGGCCAACGATATTGCCAGAGTCAGCAGATTCTGCCAGCTCTCAATTCTTAGAGGCGGCGAGAGCACCGACTCCCCGGCAGGAAGCATGCCACTGAAAATTTTGACTCTTGCTGGACCTATGGACTGCAATTTTTGGCATATTTGTGCACACTAGAAGCATTTTGGCATTTCCCCGATCTTTCATATAGGTTGATTTGATTGGCGTAGCAGGAGCAATGTTATGCTTGAATTTGTCAAGCATCCTGGTCTCCCTCTACTGTTACGTCTTACTAGCAAGATTTGATTTCTATTGGCAAGGGCAGACTCAAAGCAACACGCAGTCTCAGCACTCCTTGAATCGAGGTCCAAATAAAAGGATTCCATTGTGGAAAGTATATGCATTAGGAATTGAGATATTTGAGATGTCCTACATCCAGCTTGAGGTGGTGGATTCTCTCAGCACGGGGCAGAAGGCCCGTTCTGAGGATTTTAAGCAGGTGATTCAGCAATTCAGCATGATTTCTTGTCTCTTTGTTTCTTCAGAGGTAGTCTTACTGGTTTGTGGTGAGTACAGTAGTCCTTTTGCCCTTCGTTCCGTTCACGAACTGATTGTATTGGGTAATTCTGTTTGAATGGGCCGAAAATGATCCGACATTTGGAACCAATGTTGGAATGCCGACAGTATGTGCCTTCTTCAGGGTCATGACATCTCTCGCATGGCAGCAAACCTTTGCGACACTTGACAACAAAACCGAACAAAACCATTGTGCAAGGCTCCAGACTTCCGCCAAAGAGCTGGACTTGACTCAAGACCGCCCTCTTCCTATCGGACCTGTGGGCAGGCATCGTGAATGCTGCATGCCTTGAATCAAGAACTGCGCTTCATACACTTTTCTTTGAAGGATGGACGGGACCAGGAAGTCGTTACTCTTCATCTTCGCATTGAATGATGCATCATTTCAACTCATTTCAACTCATTTCCCATCCTTTGCCAATCTTGCGGTGGAAGGTCCACGGCGCAATGCCTGAGATCTGGGTGCCTTGGCACAGATACAGTAATTGGAGTAGGCCTTCAGGCGTTCATTAGAACAATTCAATTTAGACCAATCAGCCGGATAATCAGCCTTCATTTCTCAAATCTTTTGAAACATGACATCAGATTTGCATCAAGGGTGTATCGTCAAATAGGGTGGACAATGTGCTTACGCCCTCACTTGCAAGATGCAATTCAAAGTCACAGTCAGACACAGAGCGTGATGGCATGTGCAGGTCACCAAGTGGGTTGACTATGCCAGCAAGTCGGACTCTTTTGAGCACGTTATGCATTCTTGCAAGTTGAGCTTCTGAACATTTCTAAGATTCTAAACTATAAGTTGTTATATACTCTGCATACTTGTTCACACTGTGCTTTGAGCACAGAGGAACCAAGAGGAACCTCTGGATGCAAACGGTCAAGATGTCAAACTCAGGTATGGCGTAGGGTACATCCTGTCTGACGGGTCGATTGGCGTGTACTTCAATGACTCGACAAAGATCATTCTGGCAGCTGGACTCAGATTAGCTAGCTAGAAGGTACGAGAAGGTATCTAGCAGCTTGCTTGTACCAAAGATACCAAAGCTTTCTTTGCACAAGGAGGTCCTTGGCGCATTACCTGACCATGACCCGCGTGTTGCAAGGTTCCGAGTGGAGATCTCTTCGACTATATCACGTCATTGTCTCAGGGCTTCTGTGCAGGCTGTCATCACTTTTGCATCTTTTGCATAATGCCTTGACATGTCCAGCCTAAGGCGCAGAACTCCAGAGAAAGCAGAGGAACGAAATACATACTCTTGGGAGAACTATCCAGAGGCCTACCACTTTGCAGTTTAAATGCAAGAGTTGACTTGAGAACAGTGATGAGGAGTTGTGGTTGATCCTGGTTCAATAGTGCAGGAGATTAAAAAGAAAGTCATTCTGCTTCGCAATTTCAAGAACTACATGACGACAGACGCTCTCGAACGCAAGGACTTCCACTTCTTGATGTGCTTTGAAATGCATTGGGCCTGGTCAAGTATTTTATCTAGACCAATACGATCTATTTCCAAAGGCTTTGCAAACTTGGCTACAGTAAGCATTATATAATATATACGTTTTTGCACCCGATCCTTGGCAAACCATTACATTTGGGTGCAAGTCGATACAGATGTCGCGCATTCTACAGCCACTTATTTGTCAGCTTCACTCAGACGTAAATGCAATCTTCAGTTCTGGTTGTGTCTGAACGCAGGATGGTGCTTCAACAGGAATGTCAAGCTTGAAGCCACCTAGTGCCAAGGAGCAAGAGATGGGACGACGCACCTGAACAGTATGTGTTCATTCATGCTTTCTTTATGTTTTGATTGATTCTCAATGTTCTCTCCCTTATTGAGCATCTTTACGAGAAGATCACAGTCTCTTCAGCTCAGCTGCCTGCTCTTGAAGTGCCTTATAGTTTCACTGCGCATTGAAGAGGCCAGTGCATTTGGTCAAGTGCCTTTTGCCAGACGCTTATTTGTGAAAAACTCTGAACAACCGGACCTCATCATTTTTGCACACCATTGCCTTGTTCAGCCCCACAAGACTGCACAGCATTTTCGCCAACGTTGGAGAGAGCAGCTCCCTGGAACCTATTGACTAATTTCTCAATCTTGTAGCAAGCTGAGGCAAGAAACAGATTTGCGAGGGATTTTTACACTACCTTCACTACCTTCCTTGTACCTTCCTGTTGTAATTTGCATCGCCACTTCATCGCTCAGAACAGAAAGCTTGCTGGCGTGAAAGCCGCAAACATTTGAATTGGTAGGGGGAGCTGTGGCTTAGAAACAGACTGCGAAGCGGACACAATAGTCATTTGTGGCTTTACACCTTTGAGGCCCAATCTCCTCATGTAGGCATTGACTTGCCACATGCACTTGGTGAATCCCAAAGAATGCTGATAACATTCGTTTGCAAGGTCAAGAAGTGGACTCGCAACAAGCATGCCATCATGTTCCAGCTCAGCAATAAGATCGTTCAGGTTCTCGTAGCTTAAGCCTGTGTGAAGATGTGTCGCGCTTTAGAAGCTTTGACTCCACATGTTTTGACCAGTCATGACCAGTTTGCCACTTTCACAAAAGATTGTCCTGATGTACCCTTGCAGGTGATTTTTTTTGACAAGACAGAAGCGGTGCTGTCTTCGAAGTTGCACACTGTGACCTACGTTGACAAGAGGGGTCAGGCTCTACACTTGGACATAGTTCTTGAAGTGGCACTGAATAGCTTCGCATACCAAAACAGTGTCAGTGTCTATAAGTTTGAAAACAATACCCGGGTTGCAGGAGACATAGACACAACAATTCGGATTCCCACAAAGCATGTTGGATTTATCTTCGCGCATGCCACACCAAGCGAGGGCAAAACAAAGTTCAGCTGGCCTTTGTAGAAGCTTTTCATACAAAAGTGTTTTCTTTAGCTTCTTTATGTATCTTGGCCTGCAGAATCTGCCGAGGTGCAGTCCTATCCTCTCACCAACTCTTTCGATGTGCCAAGCCCAGAGCTTGCCAAGCGACTACGCTACACGAAGGCGGACAGTCAAGAAACTTCAAGAAACTCAAAGAAACTTAAAGAAATTCAAAAATTGAGAGAGCAGAGAGTGAGAGTTTTGAATCAGAGACTGCAGAGTCCTCTGAGTCCTCTGAGTCCTCTGATCTTAATTCAAGAACTCAAAAGAAAGACATGTCATCTGGGCTGATCTGGGCTGATCTGGGCTGATCTGGGCTGATCTGGGCTGATCTGGGCTGATCTGGGCTGATCTGGGCTGCCTGATGGCCAGGATATTCTGGTGAATCTTCTGGGCTCACGACTACCCTCTGGACTTCCAAGCGTTTTCGCAGCTGCTTCCACATAGGTGCATGCTGGAAATGTACTCCAGACCCTGGGACCCTGGGACATTTTCTTGCAATTTCTTCCCTTCAGTGCCCAGATTTCTGCTGCAATTGAAGGCGTGGTGCCTTTGAGGCTGTGTTGCTTGTTTGATTTAACGCGACTGGATGACTGAACATATGTGAAATATGTGAAAGTTGCAATAAGTTGCAACACCTCAATTGCAATTCATTTGCATGGGCACAAGCCATGATGCAATTCGAGCAGTTTTTTTTGATGATTTGAGTAGCAAATCTTTACTCTGGTCCAGAAAAGAGGTTATATACAGTAATACGTAATAATACTATTAATAATTAATACCACTCATTGCTGCAGAAACGATGGACATTTTATGACCAGAGTGACTGGATGGTTCAAAGGGCTCACAATAGCCGAGATAGGTCCAAGGCCATCCGATTCATAGGATTTTCATCAGAGCTCTTGAACCGTCAATTAGCAAATTCAGGAATTGACGCAGTGATATGCGCTGAGTTCTGAAAAAGAGTTGCCGATGCAGCTTTGATAGTTGTCTCGTTTTACTTTTGTAGGGAGTCTTCTCTTGCACGAGTCATGCAGAATTTCAAGTTGTTCCGCTGCTGGAGCCATTTGCTTGCTTGGCTCAGGAAACCGTCCCCGTGCCAAGTCGGCCTTCATGTTCTGGCAAGCCACGTGGCAAGCTACGTGAGCAGTGATAAGCAGTGGTGCTTTGCCTTTTGTGGCAGGCCACGACAACGGAAGCAATGGCAACATATCCGCAAGTCCGATGCAATGCGGATGTAGAAGGGAGCTGTGCTGAGTACCCTGATTATACAGATTTGGGTGAAGTCGTACTGCTCCAATCAGGTTTGTCTCTTCACAAATCGCTGAATTCAGTGCATGTGCCATCGCATCCGTCATTGGTGGAAGAGTTGCTGCCCCTGTCTGGCCTGTCTGGCCTGTCTGGCTTGTCTGGCCTGTCTGGCCTTGTGAGCCCAGCAATACGGCGTTCCACTCCACTGATTGTCATGGCCGTGATAACCGCCTTTATGATTTGTCTCCTTGTCGGTATTGGACTTCGGCATTGTTTGCGACATAGCGCTATTTTTCAGAGCGCCCAGCCCCACAAGGGAATAAAAGCTGGAATTTATGGTATCCTTTTCACTCAAACATTGAATGCACTCGCGACTATGGTAGTTTTACCAACTCTGCCATTTTTTGCCATGAAATTGGGCGCCTCCGCCCTTGAAGTGTCTCTTATGAATTCAGCTTACAATCTGGCGCAAATGTTTTGCTCGCCTCTGATGGGAGCATTGTCAGACCGCTTTGGACGAAAGAGAGTTATGGTGTTGGGAATCTTTGCGCAGATGATTTGCAACGGGTTCATGACTCGAGCGCATACGCTGACGCAGCTAATGATGGCGCGTATGGCAGTAGGAGTTGCGCTGAGTACGGGACCGGTTGAGATGGCTTACATCATGGACTTCTTGCACTCCGAAGAAGAACTGAGTCGAGTTTTGGCACTTCAGCGAGTCATGACCAGCGCTGGGGCATTGGCAGGGCCTCTTGTTGCCAGAAGCTTTGACAAGCTTCCATTCAATGCCTTGTGCGGTGGTGTGGTCATCATCAACATTGTCAATCTCATAGTGGGTTGTTTACTCTGGGAAGATGCAAAAGCAGAGAAGGCCAAAAGTTTGGCCGACATGGACACAGATGCTGCTGGTTCTGATGAGACCGAAAAGAGCTTTTCTGAGAGCCTGTACATGATGTTTTCCAACTATTCTGCGTGTGCACTGCTTCTTGTCTCCTTCGTCTATGCGCTCGGATTTGCCATTGGCGATGGGCCTGAAATGGTTTTCTTCAAGGATCGATACGGCTTTGGCAAAGACCAGGCCTGCAACTTCTACTTGTCCCTGGGCAGAATTTCATTGGCTCCTCACTGTAAGGACAACTGCAGGACCAAACAAATCTACCGTCTGAATATGTCTGAATTATGGTCTGTCTATATGTGTATGTGTGTGTAAAACATAACAAACAATAATGCAATAATATGATGTACCCTGATACTTGTATGATATAACATAACATAATATAGTATAATGCAATGTAATATAATTAATACAATTTAACATAATAATGTATATACAGTAGTATAGTATAGTACGTTTTTATATGATAATATAATAATATATATATATATATATAGTGTGATACAATATGATATGATGAAATATAATGACATATAATACACTATAGTAATGGTAAAACACAATATTATGTGGTACTATGTGATATCATATAATAGATATAGTACAAAATGTATAACACAAAATACTATTACATCATGTCATAAAATACAATGTGATATATAATATTATCATCATATAACGAAGTAAAATAGTATACAGTACTATAATATGATAAAATCAAATATACTATATTACGTATAATAAAAGGTAATGCAATAACATATACTATGACATAGTATGATAGAATATGATAGAACATGATATAATATAGTATAATATATTATAATATAATGTAATATCATATAATATAATATAATACAATAATTTCATGCCTGATAATATAGTGAATCCTTATAAAATATACTATCATATCATGAAACTTAATACACCATGATATCACATAATCTAATGTAACACAATAAAATTAGAAAAATAGAATATACATAAAAGTATATATGAATGATACGCACCGTATGAACTATTTTTTATTGTAATGTATATAATAAATAGTACAGTATATAATACATAGTATATAATAAATAGTACATCAAAGATAATATACAATATATGATAAATAGTATCTAAAAATATACAACATAAAATGTATAATATACTGTATTGTAAAAATATGATATATTATGTAATACATAATACTTAATATATATATTATACAATATTTATATTATACAATGTATAATATACTTAATACATAATATATATAATATATCATATATATATTGTTATATATCATATATATAATATATATATATTACATATATCATATACTATGAATATTATATATATATATGTATATATATACATTGTATATTATATGTATTATATTTATTATGAAGGCATGTATGTACCATATATAACCCTTATGTGCAGTTAAAGATCCAGGAGTTTAGCATGAGCCCGATGTTACTTTTGGCTCAAGTAAATTAGAGCTCCGCAGCTCGATAGTCTGTTTTCATGGTAGCGCGTGAGCCTGGTGAGTCCGACGCCGATTACGAGTTGAGGCAAAGGGACCACAGGCACAGCAAGTCGAGGTGCATTGGGAGTAGCTCCTCAGAGGAGAAGGAGGAGAAGGAGAGCCAAGCGGCTGTTTCAGCCGCCAGCTCGGAACTGGGAGCGGCTGGTTCAGCCGCCCCAGTGGAAATAGCAGAGGAAGCCCCAAAGACAAGAAAGAGACCAGAGTAAGCCCTAAGCCCAGCGCAAAGCCCAAGTTATCCAGGTGGACATCTTCAGGTTGAAACTGCAAGGTCAGCAACTTCTCCTGGTGGTACAAGAAGGCCAGCAGTAACTTTGGTTGGTTTAGCAAATCCAGCAGATCAAGAACCCAGACATACCGGGTCCGAGGCTTGAGAAGCCAGTCTGAAATTCGACAAGGTTCAGGTCCAGATCCATCAGAGCGGTTGGAACTTGATTCAAGACCACCGAGAGAGAGCCCAGCACTGGACGCGCCGTGGAATCGTCCGAGTGCGAGTGAGTTGAAGAGGACTCATTCTAAAGGCTTCAGACTGAGATCCGCTCAGTCCCGCCAGTATCGCAACCTTCGAGGACAGTTGAGGCTTGCGAAGAAACAAGGAGTTAAGGTGGACCGTGGATTGAAAGATCAGATTGACAGGTTTGGAAAAGGGCGACAAGAGACCTTTAAAAGAAATCCAATTCGGTTGAAGTCGGTTTCACGACATCCAATTCGACTTCGCTCAGTGGCAAAAGCGAAGGCAACTCCATCGTCAAGTGCGAAAGCCAAGCCAAGACCAAAAGCGAAGGCAAAAGCAAAAGCCAGGACTTTAGCCCGAGACAGAGCGCGAGGACCAGCAGAGGTTGGACTCAAGGTGCACGGTCGTGCCCTAAAGCTGGGTGAAAAGATCCGGAACTTAGCCAACAAGTGGGCTGCGAATCATCAGCTTTCAGCCTACTTCCTTGAGAGTCCGTTTCAGGTGAGACACTTAGCAGCAAGACAGCTCCAACAGGACACTGGAGCTAAGGGCACTGTGGCAGCAGTGATCGTCCAACGCCTGTGGGCACAGGACGAAGCTTGTTCGTCTTGCGACGACCGGAAGAGGAAGTTAGAGCCGGGCGTTGCAGAGTATCTTAGAAAAAAAGCCGCGGCCAAGAAGGCCAAGGCTGACCCTGCTGTGAAAAGCAGCGCCGCAGCGGCTTGGAGAGCCGCGGCGAGCGGACGCTTCGTCCGCCGAGAGTTGAAAGGGAGTGCAACAGCTGTCCATTGGTAAGGGTAACATGGAGCAACAAATGCAAGAATTAGCAAAGACCATCCAACAACTTAGGCAAGCCCAAATAACCCTAACCCCCGAGAATGAGCGGTTGAGAGAGGGTCAGGCAGGTGTTCAGGCATTAGCACAATCCGTAGGTGAGTTGGCACAATCTTTGAAAAGGGATACCACGGATAGGAAAATCCTCATGGATACCAAAGGTTTGGGTAGACCTGAAGTGTTTGACAACAAAGAAGAAAGTTTCAGAAGGTGGATTCGGTCAATCAACAATTTGCTTGCAGGGGTAGACTACGACAAGGTTTTGGAAAGTTGTTTGGATTCAGAAGACCCATAGACCTTCAAGATTTGGCCGGCAATCAACACCCCGATGTGGATGGCATAGAAAAGGTTGGAGAACAACTGTATCGGGTGCTGTGCCATCTATGTACTGGGGAACGTGAAGACCTTGTTGTTGGAGCCGGTAATGGCTATGAAGCCTATAGGAAGCTTTGTAGGAGATGGGACCCTGCCACGAGCGGGAGGAAAAGAAATCTCCTACGGGCCATCCAAAATCCAGAGCGGTGCAAAACGCGGGCCGCCGTGAGGCCAGCTATCGAACAGCTGGAAGACTTGGTGAGGAGATACGAAGTTCGGAGGTCAGCTTCAGGGACCCGGGAGTTGTTGAGTGATGAGATCAAATCAGCATCTCTAGAATTGTTTTGAAAACGCAATCCGTGAAGTGAAAAGGCAGATCCGAGTTTTGAGGTCAGCCTTGGAAGAGAAAGTAGGCAGGGTACGTCCTGACGAAGACCCGGTGCTTGCTTGGTTGCCGCGACCGGCAGCGGACCTGTTGAACAGGTACAAGAAAGGAACAGTAGGAGAAGGAACACGGGTCCTGAAAGAGGGACGATACGTGGGGCATCATGGACGCACAGGATCTCTGATGCTGATGACATCACAGAGTGTCAAGTGAGGCATTGGGTTCCGACGAATGCCAAATGCCGACAGATGGGGTCCTACTGGATGGGATCAATTGAGAAGAATACCTTGGGAGCTGAGTGCACCAAGGCCAGCTGCCGGAGAGCGGCTGATTGGCGAAGACCGGTTAGTCGTACCTCCGCCACCGCCTGAAGCGCGAGTGGCACCACCTCAAAGAAGGAAGCTGTACATCAGAAGAGAAGATGTGCACAAGCATGGGGCAACTGAAGGTTGCCCAGGTTGTACTTGTGTCCTTGAAAATCGAAGGACAACTGTGCCTCATACAGAAGCTTGTAGGGCAAGAATCATTGAGGCAATGGAGAAAGATGAGACTGGAGCAGAGATAATCCAGGCGCATGCAAACAAGCGCAAAGAAGACCAAGAGAGAGAGAGACAGACCAAAACCAGCGGTCGTTTCGACCGAAGAGAGAGATATGAGTGTAGAAGACGCAGAGGGCAGACCGGTTGAACCGAGCGGCGTCGATCCGCCGCAGGAGATACCGGAAGATCCAAATGAGAGAGCAAAGCTCAAGAGGCAAGCGATGCCAGCTTCAGAAGCAAAGGCAAAGCCGAAAGTGTCGCCATAGCAAGTGAAGCGACCTGGGGGTCTGAGCATTGCATCAGGACCACGGAGAGTGCATCAGACACAAGTGCACAAGATCTGAAAGGCGCAGCTTTAGCTGTGTTGAAGGAGGTTGCTATGGGCAACATCAAGACTTTGGTGGAAGAGACGTACAAGAAGAATGGGATTGAAATCTCATCTCAAGAAATCGCTGACATTGCGAGTTTGAAATGGCAGCAACAGACATTGCAGAGGTTTACTCACCGAAACGCTTTACAGCGCTGGCGCAGCAGTACAGGCTGAGGCCAGGGTTCGCTGTAGATCTTGGCGAGACAAAGGAAAATGGTGAGTACTGGAACCTCAACAAGACAGCGGACGTGGAACTCCTTCACGAGCTGATAGACCGTGAAGAGCCCCTGTTGATCACAGGCAGTCCGCCATGCCATTTATTTTCGAACTTGCAAGCGGTAAGTTGGAACAAGATTCTGCCAGAGATCAGAGAGAAAAGAATGAAAGAAGCATTGCATCTGCATCACCTCCACACATCGTGTGATGTGTATGAGAAACAGACTCAGCAAGGGAGATACTTTCTTCATGAAGCGCCGTGGGGTGCAACAAGCTGGAAAGATGAAAGGGTTGAACGTATATCCTCAAGGGATGATGTGTGCGTGGTGCGAGGCCCTATGTGCAAGTGGGGCATGACGGCTACAGACCGTCGAGGCCTGCAGGGGACAGGCTTTGTGCGTAAAGAGACCGGGTGGATGACGAACCATCCAGGATTGGCAGAACTGTTGGAAACAGAGTGCACAAATAAGACAGGTGGAGCACCATGGCACCGCCACATCCACTTGATTGGTGGCATAGCCCAGCAAGCGGCAAAGTATCCGCCGCAGCTTGTAAGAGCTGTGCTCAAATGTTTGAGAAGAGAACTGGAAGAAAGAGGTGAACTGAACGCTGTGGATGCATACAGCGCAGGACCAGTTCCAGAAATACCAACCGTAGACCCAGAATGGGAGGAAAGGTATGTGGATGTTAATAGGGGAGTGCTTCCAAAAGAGGAAGTCGAAAAGGCCAGATCGGTAGAGATGCAGTATCTTCACAAACAAGAAGTATACTTGCCAGTGCCAATTGAACAATGTTTTGAAGAAACCGGGAAACCCCCGATCAAGACCAGATGGCTTGATACAAACAAAGGTGACCCAAGTCACCCTGATTTCAGAAGCAGGCTGGTTGTCAAGGATATAAAGGCCGCCAAACGGCCTGAAGACCAGCTACCTGCAAATCTTTTGTTTTCAAGCACGCCGCCTCTCGAAGCAATGAGGCTACTGTGCTAATTGTGGGCGACCAAACAGAGGCCGATCCACACTGAACGCCTAAACCTGGTTTGTGGGATATACCCCGCACACACTTTTATGGAACACCAAAGCGCAGGATATTCATAGAGCTTCCCAGCGAGGAGCCAAGAGCTGAGGGAGGCAAGATGTGTGGACTTCTTTAGAAGTCCATGTGCACGCCGTTGTGGCGCGAAGCACATTTCGAAGTCAAAATGTACAAAGCACAACAAGCTCGGACCACTTTTGGAAGTTGAGATGTCGAAAAAGTGCACGCCGTTGTGGCGCGAAGCACATTTCGAAGTCCACGGACCATTTTTGGACGTTCAGATGTCATTTCGCGTGGCAGGCGCAAGTGATTGTGCACCTATTCAAAAGTTAGAAAAACGTGATGGTTTTGTAGCATTTTCAACTACAACCGCCACTACACAACATTACACTCCAATACACTACGCTACAACCACAACTACACCTTCACTACATTCCACTACACTACACTACCCTCACGACACTCCACTACACTACACTGCACTACACTACGCTCAATTACACTCAATTACATTCAACTACGCTACACTACACTACACTACATTACACTACACTACGCTACACTACAACTACACTACACTACAACTACAACTGCAACTACAACTACAACAACAACTACAACTACAATGCGTTACATAACACTACACTACAACTACAACTACAACCACAACTACACTACACTAATTGCATTACACTACGCTACACTACACTACACTAATTGCATCTCACTACACTACACTACATTACACTACACTACCCTACCCCACATTGCATTACAGTACGTTACATTACACTACACTCATTACACCACCACAAATGCAACTGCAACTCCACTACACTAATTTCACTACACCACAACTACAACTCCACTACACTACAGCTACAACTACAGCTGCACTACACCACACTACATCCAGCAGTTGTGGGTGAGGCGACCGACGAGGTGACCATTGCAACCATTGCAGCCACTCCAAAAAACACAGCTCCAACCACCTTTCGGTCCATCAGTGGATTCGCTCTGCCATCCGTGATTCACAACACACAACAACCAATCTCTCCTATAGGTTTCCTATTTTTGAAACTTCCGCCACCACCTTGTGCGGTACTACTGGTAGTATATCATATAATAAGATAGTATATTATATTTGATTTACAATATACAACCTATACAATATCTATATAGATAACATGCAATATACAATGTATATATATGATAGTAAATACCGTGTAATAGTCAATATATGAGGTATATAATGTAGCAGATACTATGCACTATACATGGTATACAACATATAGTATATGCAATACATAGTATATGCTGTCCATAATATATGATATATAGTGTAAAATATATGTATTTTCCAATATATTCATAACAAATGTAATATTTGATACATTATATATATAAATATGATCTGTATGATATATATATATTTGATAAATATGATATATACTATATATATACGATATATATATATGATATATATGATATATATGATATATATGATATATATATATATATGGTATTTGCTATTTGATATGTGATGTATAACGCAAAATCTAATACATAGTTTGATATATATATATGTATATAGTAGAATATGTATAATATATACGATATACACAATACATAGCATATACTATACTATATTACATATAATACATATATATATATATACTATAGAATACAGTACATTATATATAATATTGAATTTCCAGTGATATAAACATGTATATCAAAACATGATATACAGACTTATCAGATGTAAAGAACATGTGTATATACACACACATGCATTTTTCGAGAACATGCCAAAAAAAGGTAATGGCAACTTTTCCAGTTTGGGAGGCACTAATTACGCTGTCTAGTTTTACTTTCAGCCGCACTTGCCATGTTTCTGGATCTATTGGAGACCGCATTGTTAGAATGACCGGGTTTGAGACTCGTCGCGTCAAGGTTGACCAATGTATCAACACTCGTTTGCTCGGTGGCTTGGCTTCACCTAGGTTTGTCGATCAGGACAGCTGGATGGCCTGGAAAATATTCATTTGTTTCTCTGTTTTTTCTGTTTGTTTTGTTTGTTTTTCATTTGGGATCTACGCTTGTCTGATGCTTTTGTCAGTTTTCTTGATGTTTGTTTTCATGGAAACTCGCCTTCGAAAGCAATCATCGTAATCATCCTTTAAGCTATGAGGCCTGGGTGCCAGTGTTGCTGAAACTTGGCACAAACTTAGATGCAGAATCATGATGCCAAGTAAACAAACAGTGCGAGAAACAAAACAGAAAAAAACAAGTCTGCGTTTGATACCTGCCGACACCTGTACTTCAACACAATTGGATTGAACCTTGGATGAAGGTGATTCCAATTAATTTACACCAGGGATTCGGATTGGGCACCTCTTTGTTACACCTCTTTTTCGATCATGGCAAATTGTGTGTGTGTGATTGCATACAATCAGAAATTTTATGCCACAGCCGCAGACCCAAAGAAAATTTGGAGATTGAGAGGAATGATGTCACGACATCATAATGCTATCAATCATAGGACAAACTTTGGTGCTTTGACTCTCTGTGTAGCGCAGCCCTCAGAGTAGAATTTCAAAAATCAGCGATTCAGCGATGAAAGGAAACATGATATGTCCGACAGGCATAATGAAGAGCCTTCTGTTTTGCCGTGCAATGGGAAGGGTTGGAAAAAGGGCAATGAAAAGTGAAATGTAGTGAACCGTAGCAACTATGCCATAATGTTGATCACGCTGAAACCCAAAGGCTGGAAGCTTGGGTGGCGCACTCTGCACTCTTCTGCTGGTGCTTCTGTCGTGTTTATTCAGCCCACTCTACTTGAAAAAAATTGTATTGTACCAGATTGTACCACCCTCTTTCTTGCATTGAAGTAGGCTTGGACTTACCCTCAGTGTGTGGAGTGCTTGCAGATTCGCAGTTGCGATTGTAGGGTCACTTTGTGTTGACCAGGTGCTTGGACCTGTTGCACCTTGGGTGCCATACTCGTTTGGAGCCAGCATGGTGGTTGCCTTATAAGAGTTTCCCAGCATCCCTTGCGTGCATTGGCAGGGAACAGTTGAACAAGCCATGCAGAGGTTGTGAGAGAGTGGTTCCACCGCGTTGAATGATGGTCTAATTGCATTCAGTAATTGCATGCAGGTTGGTCTATTTGGGACTATGATCGGCATGGGTTTCATGCATTTGGTGCGTGACTACTGTCCAGAGGACTGCCATGATTCACAGCCAACGCACAAACGGAAGCAATACAGATACTACTTTGGCATTGGCGGTGGCTTCAAACACTGTTCGGAAGAAACTATGTGAACATATGTGCATAGTCTTCATGCGTGGCCAGTTCGCCACCTTGTATATACTTGCGACTCGTCATTTGCAGTTTATCTCCTCTGGTGAGTCATGTTTTGCAACTGGACAGGCTTTGTTTTCTTGGTTCAGTGTTTTTTGTCAATATTCTCATACTCATCATGATCAAGATCGTCCTCATGATCATGATAGTGTCCTTGCTTATCCTGATTCTTTGATTAGGATCCATGACATGATTGTACATACCTTGGCAAACCAAATCACATCATCTGACAATAGAGTACAAATCCCAGTGCAGGTTTCCAAACCACAGTTACAAGTTGATAAAAGTCCCAGGGTCATAATACCGCGGCCTGTGGCAATTCGAAATGAAGTCATTGCTGTTTTATCATGTGCAAACTGAGTTTTCGATGTTCCTACCCTGTTTCTTCTGAGTGGTGGGGGAACTCATGTCGACACAGTAGTCTGGTTCAACGGTACCTGGGAGTCAGAGTCTAGTTGGACTGAGCAACGCGAGAACAGTGAATGGAAGTCAGTGTGGGTGACACGAACATCTTGCGAAAGGCACCCGCAAATTGACAAGTGAGCGATCCCAGACCAATGCGAAAAGCTTGCAATGCGTCCAATGCACGAGAGGCAAATCCCATGTGACACCCCTGGGTTGAAAGAATGCAATGGCGATACAGACTGCTATACTCACCATACAGACTGCCCCACAGGTGCAATCCTTGACTCCTCCGGCCCCTGACCTCACCGACCCCTCAGCCTCCTTTGACTCCTTTGACTCGTTTGCTGTTTTGCCCTTTTGTAGCCTGGTGCGTTGGTACAGGATCTGATGGGGACAATGCTGGGGATGCAAAGTTCCCTGAATGGTGCAGCGGGAGCTCTTGCACCTCCCTTGGGTGGCGTCTTGTATCGTGATCGTCTCAGTTAGCTTGCATTCCGACAAAGCCTCTGCAACTGCGGAGCCTGGCGTGACAAGGTCTGAACATGTTCTTCCCCTTTCTTTGCACAGCGGCAGGTTGTGCGCTGACAGGCTCGGTAGATCGACAGAAGGTGTAAACTTGGTACAAACACGATTAATGAGGGGGCCATCATGGAGTAAGTTGTACAAATACGAACCAGCATATAGACGATTTGACACTCACGGAGCTTGCAAGCTGCAGGCCTTCTCTATGAGACGACCTTGCAAAAGGACCTTTCCAAGTGTGTCAGAAGTCTCGCATGACAGTGTGCTCAAAACAAGATCAAAAGAAGATCATGCAGTGGTGGTAGATTGTTTTGGCATATGATGCAAGACTCATTTGCGACAATGTAGTCTGCCTTTTCCCTGCAAGATTTTGGAGGCACATCTCCTTGATTTGTCAGCTTGTGTTGAGGAAGAGCCAGAAAAGGCCGCGGTGAAAGCCATGGAGCCTTCGGTAGTGCGCAGAAGGACGTCCAAGTTGAAGAGGCACCGACACACACAGCCGGAGTAGTTGGCGTGTGGGGAACAGAGTACTTATAGAGCACTCTTACATTCATACATTCTCATACATTCCTCATAGACTGGACAGGGTCTGGACAGAGATTGTGCTTGTGCAGTGGCGAAATGATCAATCTGCTCTTGTCAATCTGCAAACCACCTATATATATATATAATTATATATATATATGTGTATATATATATATCCTTTCGCTGGAGCCGCGCTCTTTGCCGATCTGCCTGCAGGATGTCAACCTTCGGGCGACCAATTTACCATGCCGTTCGGCTTAGCAGTGGCCATCAATGGCCATGATCTTGTCAAGAAAGCTAACAGCTGAAGTTACTCTTGAGCAAGGTTTTAGGCAGGCACTGAAATCACCAATCCAGTGGTTAAACACGTCTTCGGGGGATTCCTTCAAGTCTTTTGCAAACAATATTCTCAACTGTGTCATTGCCACTCCCTTGGCGTCCCGGCAAGGTCTTGTGATCAGATAATATCTGCACTGTGCATATTCTTTCCTCACCAGCCCCCGCTTCGGCAACGTCTCCCTCTCCAGCACAACACCTATTTTCCTTTCCAACCACATGTTTTCGGGCAAAATCTTGAGTGCGCCTTCAACGCAACAGGATGCACAAATATATAGTTACTCCACTGTTGTTGTTTTCTCTCAACCCATCAACATTAGCCCTGCCTTGCTAGCTTTCGTCACCTACTCCTGGCCTCAAGTACTGTACCAGACTGTACCAGTGTCAATTTGTTTGCTGTCGTTCTGGGCACTTCTCCTTCAAGCGCAAATAGCCTCTTATCAACTCTTATCATCTTCTATCTTGGTTCGACTTCATGCACCCAAAATGATTGTCATCGCAGTTATGCATTTTAATCCACATGTAACCGTGTTGTATGGATGCCTGCTTGATTTTGTGGGCTGGAGGAAGAGAACTGTAAGTTTTGACAGTGATGTTGTGGGGAACGAGGGTTTGCCAGAAATCTGTATCTTGTACATTGCATTTCAAACGACTGAGGACAAAAGCTTCATAGTCCAGGCTGGGCCTCCTGGTTTTTGTTTGAAAATGCTTGAACCAACTGAACTCAACTGCACTTCCCAGTGCCCTGCTCAAACAATTTCCAAGTGTAGGTGGGGGGGTGCAATATGTGCAGTTTGCCCAACAAGGTTCATGCCAATGAGCTGAGCGTGGAGATCAATCCTGAAAGCAGGCCATGCACGACTGCACTGCTACCTTGGTTGCATGGGTTTCGTGGTAGACAGTTGGAGTAGCTTCAAATTTTTGATGGACTGAACTTCTGAACACTCCTGGTGCCCCACTTGAAGTCGCTCGATGCTCCAAAAATTCATGGCAAGTCTTCGGGCAGGTACCTGTACCAGCGAATGCGTGAGCAACTCCGGGAGGCAAATGTCCGAGGTTGGGGTTGTGGAAACCAAAAGACATAGAGATTTCACATTCCAGGGACTCCAGGGACTCCAGGGACTCCAGGGACTCCAGGGACTCCAGGGACTCCAGGGACTATTGGACTCTTGATTTTTGATGCAGGTGGAATGAAGCCGGTGGCGACAGTTGTAGGATCCTTAATCGATAAGAATCGATAAGATGGCATTTGACAGCACAATTTGCAGAATGGCGGGCTTGAGAGCTGCCAAGTCATGCAGCCTGTTTTCATCCTACTATCTACCCAAAAAGGGTATGAAAACAGAACATACTCCATTTACATCATGTCCAGCTGACAGTCCTGTGTCCCTTCCAACGGCACTCAGTGTGGTCCGCTGGCGGCAAGCATTGAGCAAGCAGATGAACGCAAAACTATGGCGCTACACTTAGATTCAGAAAGCTACACAAGCTGGTTTTGACCTTGCCTTTACATGCCTTTACAGCAAAGAACCACAGAGATCGAAAGGAGAGCAGATGAGCATGTTGAGATTTGTTTGGAGTCTTGCAAGAAGCTTGGTGGATGTTTTTGCAATGCATGTTATGCATGTTACCTGATGGAGACGAACCAACCCAATCGACTTCTCGGATCCTCAGGTCTGCACTCTTTTGCCCTTTCAAGATTTGCTTTTCTGCCTTTCTTGTTTGGGATGTGCAACTGCCCACCTTTGTTCACCCCAAGGATTTGCAGCGCATGAACTCTGCAAGGGACTTTTGAAAAGGTCTGCAACATGCAGATCGTGCATGCAAGACTTCCAAAAGACCCAGCTGAGCAAAATCAGTGGCGCCATTTGAACAGCAGCGGGGTTGGGATTTTTCTTTTCCACACACATGTTGGATATGTTAGTCATTCTATGACCAAACAAACACACTTTGGCTCGGGCCCTCTTTACAGTGGAGGGAGAGACCAGCAAGATTCCAGTAGGAAAAGACCGGAGAGATTTGAGAAGGTCGGCAGCTTCAGTTCCTTGAGCAGTCATCCCAAGTTGTGTCAAACTAGCAAGAAACGATAAGAAGATGATTTGTGAAGCGTTTAAAGGATGGAGAAGCTCAAAATGTGAAGCCTCATTGGCTGAGGTCCCTTGCATCATGTCTGAGGCTGCCGATAGCTCTACTCAATGTTTGTTGAATTATTTGCGTTGCATCTACAGTCACAGTATGAGTGTCTTTCCTGCAAGATTTGCATTTATTCGCAAAAAACTGGCAAAATCCTGAATTAGTTCTTCCAGATTGAGGGTGCTCTTATGAATTCTGGAAGCCTTGAAAGTCTTGGCTGTTCTGAGTACAGGCAAAGCAGCTCACTCATCCTGTAGCAGGTTGTTGAGAAAGTTTACCAACTACGGTTTCAAGAGGTTTCAAGCAATTGAATAGAGATGAACTACCATGCAAGCGTGCACAGCTGTACAGGTGGAGGAAACCCTGAATCGCATCAAGACTCACAAAGGAGTTTCAGGTCACCTGGAATCTCGACGGGGTGCAGAATGTGCAGATTAGGTTTAACGGTTAAACAGAGCTTGCGAGGCATTGTCATCGTCAACAGCGAAGGTGTACCGATGCGTTCAACGTATGGAGCTTTGGAGACTCCGTTGGCAATTTGTTGGTAAAAGTAGATGGCAATTTGTTGAGATTCCATTCTTTCCATTCTTCTTTCCGTTCTTTTCGTTCTTTTCGTTCTTTCCGTTCTTTCCATTCTTTCCCTCTCTTCCTGGATGCCTTTCCAGACTCTTCCTGGATTGGTGTACGATTGGACTGAGGCTGGACAGCAAGCAAACGCTGCAATACTCTGCACTGATTTCGCAGCTTGCAGCAAAGGCTTATTGGCGTTTGAGTACAAATTCAAAGATCTTGGCTCATTGGATCGCAATAGGCAGCTGATTTGTGGACAGGCACGAAGCGTTGTCCGAGAACTTGTGTGGATCTTACCTAAAGCAAGACTGGAGACTTGTATGCTCAAAACAGCTTAGCGACGTGTAATAAAGCGTCTGTCTAATGTTTGTGTCTCTTAAGTTGTTGCTACCTGTTCCACCTAAGGATCCGCAGAACGACCTGACATTTTTGAGGAGTGAATTCAAATGTTGAATCCTTCATAGTTGGAACTTTCCCATTTCAAAACTTGGAATTCGCCAATCATCAGGATTCGTTCCAAGAAGCATGAGATCATGGTAGCGCCCGATCGGGTTAGAGCCCTGGGTCAAGACATTCATTTCTTTGTCTTCTCTTGGCTGCTGACTCAGAGACAGCAGCAGCTGCTTAAATCGTTCAAAAGATCGTTGCGGAGCTTCCAAGGATTACATCCTCATCGTGATCCAAGACCCCAATGCTGACCAGGGAAGTTAGTAGAAAGCAAAGAGCTCCACTATTTGGCAATGAATCGACACCCTCGGAATGTTTCACAGAATTCTGACGCAAAGTGCTGAAGAAAAAACAGCTGTACCGGAGAATCATGGCCCAAGACTAATGTTATGGTGACATTGCAGTACTGAACCTTCAGGTTTGGTAGCTTGCATCTGTGGGTGACTCTTGACTGTACTGACTGTACTGACTGTTCTGACCGTTCTGACTGTTCTGACTGTACGGACTGAACTGACTGTACTCTGTCATTTAAGCTGCATCTGAAGATCCTCTTGGTGGGAGCTGCATAGGCAAACAGGCAATTTGTGAAGGAGGGGTATTTTCTTTGAGATTCGATTTTTAGTTTTGGGATTTTTCTTCATTTTTCAATTCGGCTTTTGGCTTTTGGCTTCACACGCTTAAATTGATTTGAAATTAGATCCAGATCAATCTTCAATGTAATCAATTTGAAATTATTTTCAATCTATTTTGATTATATAGTTAAATCAAAATAACATCTAAAGGAACTATTAATTCGTTGCAAGTTAGATTCAAAACATTTTTAATGAAATGTGACATTGAATTAGCCTAAGATTAAACAACATTTGATTTTAAACTTTAAACCACATCCGAATTGATTACAGATTAAATCTAAATCCAATTTAAACCAACAAGAATTGATTAGTTTTACACTATAGAAATTGAGAGTTATTATTTCACATTTGCCACCAACCAGACAAATCACTTAAAACCATTGGATAAAGGAAAGAAACTCCCAGATTCGCATCCGTTTTGAAGGGGCTGCAGAAAGGGCAAGAAAAATGGGTTCTTCATAAGATGATTTTGCACACATCGTTGAAACCACGATGCTGGTACTTGGCATATCTTGGCAGTAAAGCTGTGGAATCTCTTGCTGTCTCTCTCCCTAGAAACTGCGAGATTTGTCAGCCCTTTGGCTCCAGGTTTCACTTCAATCAATCCATTTGCGTGACACAGCTCAAACATGCTCAAACTATGGTTGAGGTTGGAAGTGCAGCACATGAAATCCACATGAAATCACATATTTCTGCATTTCTTCCACCATGGCCGGTATGGACCTTCGAGACCTCTACATGGATATGGGGGACCAGGCAGCTCGCACGTTTATTTTTTCCAAGTTCCCAGGGTGAGAGATGTTCAATTTTGGGCGTTGAGATGTTGGTGAGACCAGTGAGATCCCGTTTCCACTTAGGAGATGCTCAAGGAGTTCATGGCAGGCCATGGACATTTTCTGAGCAAGGTTATAGACAAGTGAATGATGCAATGAATCTATACTGCACATAGATCACAACGATCTAGAATGATCTGCAGATGCCTGTTTCAGTGTTTGCTTTGCTCTCCTGGCCAGGTGCAACTGACATTGATCCCATTGACGCTGTGCCTGCAGAACAGTACGAGGCGTTTTTTCGGGACAGACCAAGCTTCCGAAAAACCTTGCGTGCAACTAAGAGAAAAAGCCAATCATTAGAGATCCTAGGGATGCTTCGACTGCTAGAGTGCAGAATGTGCAAGAGACCGCTGTAGAGTACAAAACATTCACGGTTTGTATATAGAGGAGGTGCATGGCTTCTGTTATGGCTAGTGCGCTATTACACATTCAGTCTGTGTTCCAGCTTGCAGTCGATTTTGCGGTTCTTTGGTTTCAATCAGTCACAAATATATTGCCTACTGAGTCAAGGCTGCATCAGAGTGAGTGATCTGCTTTATGTGAGATTCAAGACCAAATTTGATAATCGCTTAGTTTAAAGGACCCGTTGAGCACATGAGCCATTTTAAAATGACTTGCTCTGTTTTGCAAGTAATTTAGCACTTTGACTCCTTTCTGCCCTTCCTTAGGAGATTTTGCATTTGGCTTACTTTGCAGCAGTGCATCATTTGTGATCACGTGATATCGTCACATTGCGTTCTGAAGTCATTCTCTCTCCTGTTCTTTTACAAACGAAACAGACATGCTTCTCTTCTGTTTGTTACTGCACAGCAGTGAGCCAGCAGGTTCTGGTCAAGAGATTGCAAAAGGACGAAGAACTCATACGACAGCTGAAGCATATCGTCAAGGCAGCCGCGCTTCGAAAAACTAGGCAAAGTGTTTACTCTCGTCCTAACAAGATCGTTTGTGCAAGGCGTGCAAAAGATTTCAATAGAAAGTCACACTGGCAGTTGCCGTTGCTCTGACTGTGTTCTTTCGAGGAACGATTTGATTTAAGAACATTTTTCTAAAATGAAGAATTGTCGGATATCAGCGTCACATTTGTGGCAGCAGAAAGGGTTGATTTCTTTGAAGACTCTAGCACTAGTCCACATGTTATATATTTGTGCCTGCTGGATCCTCTTTAATCCTCTTTGGTCGCTGAAATCTTGATTTTCCTCACCATGGAACTTACATGATATCGCAACGGTCGCAACGTGGATGAACCTTACATGGAACTCACTGCAGGGAGTCCGTTCGGATTCGCACCATCCGGAAACAGCTGATTGATCGGCTGAAAGTACAGGTGGCCACTACGGTTCAAAGTGGGTCTCAACACAGGTTTTCATATTTTTTCATATTTTTTCATATTTTTTCATATTTTTTCATATGTTTCATGTTTGCAGAAGACTTGCGTAAGATTTCAAGATTCATGGGTCGCGTTTGGCAAGATGTCGGAACGGCAGTGATGATTTCAATCCTTCTAGGCACAACACGGCAAGATCGAGGAGTTCAGGGAGATGTTGGAGGCTACGAGCGTGGCTAAGAGTGCCACCCCAAGGCCAGAATCTGCGAAGGCAGTGAAGGTATTGTACCTTCTGAATTAAGGTCCCTTAATCGCAGCTTATGAAGCGGAGGACTTCAAGAAGGCAAGGAATCTTCTTCTCCACCCCTTTGGACCAAGCTTGCTTCAGCATTGATCAACTTGGTGCCAAGCTGCCCATGCTTCCAGTGAAAACATGCTGCTTTGCTCGAACTAGGCACTGGAAAAGAATCAAGAGCTGCAGCTCAAAGTTAGCCACCTCCAGGCGAAAGCTGCGGCCAGCGACTGATTGAACTTTTCTTAGGAAACGGAATGCTTGGCAATAAACACATATTTCTGGTAGTTTAGTTGTGGGAACCTGCAGCACTCTTCAATAATTGGGGTTTGCTTTTTCAACGACAAGTCCCAACATGCCAAAGTGCACTAAGACGCTGCTCCAGTAAAGTCCAAGTTCTGTTTTCTTTCTTGATTCTTTTATATAGCATTCAGGTCTCTCATGCAATGAGAGGAAATCCATGCATCGGCCCTCATTTTGATCTCGTTGACTTTGTGGTTGGATGTAAACATGGTCTTTACATCTCTGAAAGCACTTGCGGTTAAGTTGAAGCGTGAATGGATTATACGCAGAAAATGATCCAAGTTCCTATGCTGTTGCTGGATCGTGAATGGGAGCCGTTGGTGTGACTGTTGCTGCACAAATGTTGATGCCAGCGCCATAGGTGCGAAAGTGATGTTGCGGGGTATTTTTTGCTTCCTGGGCTGCTACAGCAGCTATGCTGCGGTGTTGCATGCAATGAAAGATCATGTTGCGCCACGGGTGCCGTTGATGGGGCTGTGTGTCGTCGGTTTCTGCAAAAGGCAGGTGTGCTTCCCGTCCACAAGTGTGTTCCTGAATGGTTCAAAGAGACCAAATGTAGTTTCAGTTGAGGTCCTTCCATTCATCGCGATTCCGCTCGCTACATCTCCCAGTATCATTGACCCGAAAGGGAAAATGGATCTGTTGGGTTTAAAACACATGGTGAGGCTGAACTTGGAAAGGTGAAGGCAGAGAACAGTTCGTTACGGAAGGCCCGGACAGAAACACAGCCATATATGTTGAGCCCAGCAGCTTGTCTTTGTTTTGTTGGCTTTTGGAGTCGCAAAGCATAGCAGTAGAGCCCCACAGATAAGAACACTGCCAGAAGGTGAATGACACCTTATTCCACTGATACTGTCTCAGGTGAATCGAAGGATGAAGGGGCTCTTGTACAATGATCCTGCGTTCTTTGTCGCAAGACAGACTGGATTGTACAGGGTTAAGACCAGTGAGTGATGATGTGCGACTCTTGCAGAGCCATGCCAGAGTGATGCCTTGCCTTGGCATGTTTTAAAGCTAAGGTGTCCACGAAGTCCACTCCAAGTTCCCGCATTGAAGCTTGGCGAAGTCAATCATTCTGACTTTATCGCATTGCCCTGTAGGAAGATCCTTCTTCTGCCTCTCTCTTTTTTTCCCTCTCTCTCTCTCTTTTTGAGCGGTCTGTCTATAGGTGTACACAATAGAAACCACAGTCATGTCCAATCTCCACTTCCGGAGATGGTCAAAACAAGACGGCTACAACAGTTGGATACAGTTGGCATGGAGCCGGATTTTGGGGCAAGACCGGCAAGACCTCCATGGCTCCTGACTCTGTGGTTTGGGAGTCTTTGTTCAAACAAGCTGCCAGGCATGAAATGCCAGCTCTTGCCTCGACAGCTCCCGAAGCGTTTGGATTCAGCTTTCCAAGAAGCCCTGGGGGTGTGCGCTCCAGCTGCAGACAGAGGTAGTGGAAAGCACCTACGTGATTTCACTTTGACTGCTTGGCTTCGAGAACCTGCAGGGTACTCCAATAGGGTGCTCCTGAAGCCAAGGCAATCTGGAAGGAACGAGATGCTGGGAAGGATGCCTCTAACTCCATTGACCTGCAGAGGCGCCATGGTTTGAAAGTGTCTCGTTTCAAATCCTAGGCTAGGCCATGATGGCCATGATGGCCATTGAGGCCATCATGGCCTAGCGTCAGAATTTCCCACGGTTTTCCGTGCCAGGGCGGTTCAACTCAGACAGAGGATTTGACGTGTGAGTCTCAGAAATGAATTGCTTCTGTGATTATCAGAGCATGTCCGCGCTTGTGTTGAAGTGACTCCAGTGCGTCCAGTGCCTCCAACATTTCATCATTTTTTCTTTTTAGTGTTTTATTATGTTTTTTAATTATTATTTTTTATTAAACTTAATGATGATCAGTGATTCATCAGGACAGAGACCGCTCATCTTCTCGAAGTCCACCTAGAAGGTCAACATCTTGCATGATGTTTTCTGCAGCAAATGTGCAGGATGAACTGGGCATATGTACAATCTCGATCAATCTTAATTAATCAAGTACATGTTTCATGTTTCTGCCTCCTTCCCACTTCCATCAGTTGTGCCTTTCTTCCTGGTACTTCTAGTTGTGGAAGTCAAAGCGTTTCAATGAAATGTGCGTCCTAGGTGGGGGATAATTTTCTGGAAGTCGGTGCGATGTTGCGTCCAGTTGGTGTTTAGCATGTTTGTGTTTTCTCCAATTGATGGTTTATCGTGAGTTTTTCATGGATACCATGCAGATGGTTGTAGCTATTCCCTTGTGTTTCGGGAGTTTTGTACATCACTTGTGGCTCGCTCTGTTGTGCAAGATTCATACAAACACCGACGAATACTGGGTCGATGTTATATCTTCTGTTCGCAAAGGGGGTTGTATCAAAAGGAGGGTGTATCAAACCCAAATTAAGGTTTTCAGAGGCTAAGAAAATCCCAACTTTTGCTGACCTGCTAAATCTGGGATTTTCTTAGCCTGTAAGCTGCTGTGGATGGGGTAGTTGGGATGGTGATGCCAGCTTCTATGTAGCCATTTTTGTGGCTCCAGCTCCCAACATTGGTGAAGAGGCACTGATTGCCTCTGGCTAGGTGCCATTGGCTGATGCCTAGTAGAAAAAAAATTGGGAAGCCAGGGCATAAGGGCCTGCCCATGGATTGGATGAATCCAATGCACCAAGCTGTGCCTCCATGGGTCAAGCCCTACTTGAACAACTATGGCCAGGCACCAGGCCCCTCACCAGAGGATGAGGAGGATGAATACAGTAGCAGTGAGAGTGTTGCTGCCAAGTCGTCTAGGAAGATGCATGGCTGACAAAGTTGGTATGTGGCATGTGGCATGGGGGGTGCTTAGTAAAAAAGGTTTCAAAAAAAAATCCACTCACTAAAAGTGTTGTTGAGGGAGAGTCTGGAATTCTATCTCAATCCCATTGCTATGACTTAGTTTCTTAACTGAACTTTAGGGTTGGTCATCCCACCACCAGTCCTGTTGCAGCTTTCCTTGCAGCTTCCTTCAGGAAGAAAAAGGACAAGAAGGACAAAAAGAGTGTCAAAAAGGACAAGAAACTCAAGAAGAAGAAGAAGGAGAAGGAGAGCTCCAGCAGCTCTTCCAGTTCTGAATCAGATGTGATCCCTTCGCACCTTGGAATCCAACCCCTTAACTAACCAGCCAGAAGTCTAACTTACACTTAACGCAACACTGGTTTCAAGTTCACAAGATGGTTCAACATGCCATAATGTGTAAGCAAGTCTTGTCTTAAGTTTCAAAAGTTTGTCTAGTCAATTGGTTTCTGTTCACTCATGCTGCCCCTGTCTCTTTTCACATATGAAACCCACCCACTGGATCATGGGTGCATCATTGCATGTTTGTTTGAATAGGCCATAACCCTAAGTGACTGCAGGAAGGCAGGTTACCAGCAACCAGGTTTGCAGAGTTAGTATGACTTACTGCCATGATGGGTGGTGTGTTGAAACTTTGGTGAGTAGTAGTTTTCCATCAATCATTGCCTTCTTATTGAATGGATCTGAGGCACTGGGTGCACCTGGGCCTGAATGGGGAGAGACAAAGGAAGGGTTCAAGTGCACCAGCAAGAAGAATTCTGTGCCTAGAAACCCAAAGCTGAGATGGCTGAGTGCCATTAATCCAGAGAAGTACCCAGCAAGTTTCTTGCCTTGCCAATAGAATATTATATACATGTACAGTGTGGAATGCCAATAATATTGTTCTTATTAATTAAGCCCTATTGGGTAGCATGTGTCTTTGGCAGTGCTGTGTCCCAAACACAGTGATGATAACATCTTCTGAGGTTCGACCTGCATGCTATCTGAGCTCCAGCTTGAGCAGCTGCTGTACTGTTTGACTGGATTGTCTCCAAAGATTTCAGTGAAGGACTTGGATGTCAAGACAAGGTCCCAGCTGAAACCTGATTCAAAGTTTGTGGAGGGGATTTGGGCAGCATCTTTTGTTGACATGTGCTTTTCAAGGTGGTTACAGGTTATGCATGGTTTAACAAGGCCAACCCATCTACATGCCCCCATGGGTAATAGAGAAAAGTGTAGTGTAATTAAATGTTCCCTGTTGTCCTAGGAAAGAGCTCATCAAGGACCAAGCAGCCAGGATGGAGAAGCAGACAGAAGGGAAGAGGAGTTCAAGCATTCATGTTGCCTGGCTTGAGAGTGCATGGGAAGAATGGTGGGACATGACATGGTTATTTTACTTTACACTTACCATGATTATAAGGGTTTGGCAGTGGGGCATTTCAGTTTGTTTTTGGGGGTTGGTGGCAGTGTCTTTAACTTTTAGCACCAGGAATCCCAATCACTGGCTCACCTGAAATAAACCTTTTAAATAAAACTGCACAACATCTCCCAGCACAGGAGCCTTTGATTGAACCACTCATGATGACTCTACCACCAACCCTTTGCATGGCACATTTGCCCAGGAGGATTTCTCCAACCTTGATGAGTATGCACTGCAGCTGGGATGGTACAACCTGTGGAAGAAGCCAGGAAAGAAGAAACTTGGGGTGCACTTAGTGCAGAAAACATAGCTTGGTTGTGTGTTTGTTTATTGAAACCATTGAGCATGTCAAACATGTTGGCTGGGGTCCATGAAACATGTGCTCCCAATTCAATTGGCATGGTAATCTATTGAATGATAGATATTTCACCTGCCCACCCTGCAGCAAGGCCTCAAGAACAGGACAGCCCTTTGCCAACTGATGTCTTCCAGAAGTACAGCAGGGTCAAAGGGCATCTTGGCTTTCATGCCATGTGGTTGCAAGAGCTGGCATTTGAAAGTCTTGACAGTGGCCAAACCCCTCAACTTGTGACATGTATTAATTGGTGGGTGTATGGCATTGCTAAGTTTAAGGGAATCTTAGTCAGCCTGTTTGTGGTTGCAGCCATCACTTTCAATTTCAGGTATTATAGCATTGTTTGTGTCAGCTTTGGCAAGCTGCTGGAAGGCTGAATGACATGACATAGGTGTTTGTTTCTTTTTATTTACCCAATTAATCCAGAACCTTCATGGCATCCAAGGCCACAAGGTGAGCTGGAGGTGTGCCATGTGGAGAGGGCAGTGAAAGTGGTCCTTGGCCCACCAAATTCACCTATCAGCTTGGCATACAGGAACTCATGCTATTTCCTGAAAATTGGTGAGACACCAAGGTCATCTGAGAAGCTTGGGTGAATGTGGCAATGTTACATCAAAAGTTGTTATTAATAATAGTTATGTGCACTGGGCTGAAACAACCATTCAGCAGATAGTGGCACTTGAGAGCCTTGCTACCTAAGGATATTGATGAAAGCTGATGATATCTTTGAGCACAGTGATGGGGTCCAAGCCTGGTATGGCAAAGTGGATGCTTAGCACAACCACATTATTCAGAATGCAGGTGCAACCAACTAAGTAAAAGGTATGGGTGACCAGTTTCAGCAGGTTCATTGCATTAACTTGGTGATGACTGGGTCCATGTAGTCTTAGTCAAGCAAGTCATCAAGTAAGTAGCTAACCAATAACTAAGTAATTGAGGTACTAAGTGACTAAGTACAAGTAAGTAATTGGGAAGATAAGTTGTGGTATTGCATCAACCTAGCTATGCTTCAGCACAACAGCCTATATAGTTGCATTGCATGCTTGGGTCATTAGATTGGTATTGAACCATTCAACCATTCATCATGGTGGTGGCTGCCACCACCATTTACTGACTGAGGCAGAAGTGGCACTTCTCAACCAAGAGGATTCTCTGTGTGCACAGCAGTACATCAACCACTGCAAAGGACATGAGCCATGAGAGGGTTGGAATCTGGAGGGCCAAGCCATGTGAGTTTCATATAACCACCAAATGAATTGGTTTGTAAAAGAACCTTGGTTTATATATTGCAACATCAGATGAAGGTGGATGGTTCTGTAAGAATTTCCAGTTGCATAATATTGGAATGTAGCAGCATTGCATTTTCTCCTCAAAGAAAACTTGCTTACAATAAATAATAATATAGCATCCCCTCATGAACCCTGGCTTGGCAGAATGTTCAATTGCATATATTTAATATAGAAGCACCACATGAACCCTCATAAATAAGCTTGGCTTGGCTTACAAATAGTAACCCCTTATGAACCCAGGCCTGAAAGAATTTTCCACATAAACCCTTTCCTGAAAGAAACTTGGATTGCAAATAGCAACCCCTCATGAACCCTGGTCCCAAAGAACCATGGGCCATGTCCTAAAAGAACATTTGCATATAATATAAATATATTCACCCCGCTTCGCGTGGGGTGGCCGCCCACACCGCAGGTTTATTTCGGTCCGTGAGAGGGGCTAAGGGTGGTTTTCCCCCGTGGGGGCTCTTCAAATAAGAAATCCTTCCAAAACATTGTTTTTGACAGTGTTTTTCCAATGTTTCCAGTCAAACAGACGGTAATTTACACGTTTTTTGCCATAAAGGCAGTAGATCCTTCCAAAACATTGCTTTTGACAGTGTTTTTTGTAATGTTTCCAGTCAAGCATACGGTAATTTACACGTTTTTTGCTATAACGTCAGTCCAAAACACTTGTTTTTGCAGTGTTTTCAATGCTCTGGCATCCAAAAACCCTGCAAAATCTTGCTATGTACAATTTTTTTTTCATTTTTGGCCGTTTTTCCATTGCCGGAAAGCTACCAAAATGACCCAAAATTCCATTTCAATACCCTCTTGCGCTCAGACACCCAAAAATCCTCGAAAAATGTCGAAAACACCACCGTATTCTGGTCTCGGTGCGAAACCGTTTTTGGGGTCTGGTCTCGGTGCGAAACCGTTTTTGGGGGCCCCCCCCCCCAGCTAAAGCTGATATAGCGACTGCTATATTAACAAATGTCATTGAGCATTTAGTGTTGCTGTTGCCCCCCAATAAGCACGCCTTCACCGCCAAAGCGGTGTGGGCGGATTTGTTATAATATAGTATAGCAACCCCATAATGAACCTTGTCCTGTACACACCTAGCTCCACAGACCAGCTCCCAGGACTGCCTGGTGGACATTGGCAGGCTGTCCAACTTGGCAATTTGGAAAGCCAACTTCCCAAAGATGGTATGAAGCAGAACCAGAAGCCTAGTCTATCAAGTGATTTGGCTTGTACATGTAAATAATATATTATGGTGAAAGTTTGAAAGGGTTCAGTTAGCACAGGCCACCTGCAAATCAATAGCATTGCCACAGGTGTTCCTGGTGTCTTGGGGGTCATGTCAATGGCATGGGGGTCACACCACTTATTATTGCTTTATGGAGTGGCTTGGAGCTCAGGCATGAGCACAGGTGAGCCTGCTTCAGTGTCTGCACCACCTTCCAGTGCAGCATCCACAGCAGAGTCCCAGGCCAATGGTTGGCAAAGGTGATTGTGTGAGAGAGAGAGAGAGGTGCCTACTCAATCCTGCCATAACTTAGCAAATGCCATGGAAGGGTGATGTTGGTGGCCCTACTTGTTGTGGGAACTTGCATCACTAAGAAATAGCAATGTGGAGCTAGGGGTGTGGTTCAAACTATCAACAGTTGCCTATTAATTAGCTGTTTGTGCTGTTGGCAAGATTCAAGATGGTGTTGTGAAGGTTGGGAAGACCACACATTGAACAGATTGTGGTTAGTCATAATAATAGTGTTTGTCTAGGTCTGGAAGTGCCAGTGTCTGGTTGCAACTTGGAAACAAACAATTGGTTGGTGGCACCTGCCATGGGCCCTGGGGTCCTTGGCACATGGCACAGGTTACCTTGATGATGATGGGCCAGGACCAGCTGCCAGCTCCAGCAACTTGATGGGGGTGTCAAGTGTATTATTCTGTCCCAGTCAGTTAATTTGGGTCTTAATATAGATGGTTTTATGAAGACTTGTTTTGGCAGTATGGTGATTTAACTTAGCAGGGCAACCTTATATAGTTGAAGTTTGTCTCATTATTCTCTGGTAGCCTCCAATGCTGTAGTAGGGGCCTTACTTTAACTCATTCACAAAAGTGCAATGTGATTAATACCACACAACAACATGTTTCTAAGGTTTAGTTTGTGGTTTGTATTGCTGCCAATCTCAACAGAGTGGATTGGGTACCAGTTGAGGCATTTACCTCCAGCTACAGCTCAGAGAATTGGCCAAAACCAAAGCAGCAGAACTTGCTGGATGCTTTCAACTCAGCATCACAGCCCCTTGAGCCAGCAGTACAACCCTTGGCACCAGCAACCCAGCCAGCAACAACCCAGAGGCAGCTGATGCCAGGTGAAGTGGCCTATGGATTGGCCAGGGGGTATGGGTTTGGCCAGGTAGGTGGTCACCACCAGCAACCTGCTATGCAGCAGCCACAGCCCCATGCAGGTGGAATGCAGGCCCAGCCACACCATGGTGGTATGCAACAGCATCCACTGCCCTCAGCTCATGGCATGCAGCAACAGGCACAGGCTAGTGCCCAACAGCCATACTATGGTGGACAGCAGCAGCATCAACAACAACATCATGGTGGTTTGCAGCAGCAGCCAGGTCAACAACATGGTGGCATGCATCAGCAACCTCAGACTGGAGGAGTGCACCAGCAGCCAAGTGCCATGCAGCCACAGCCAACACATGCTACTATGCAGCAGCAGCCCCAACCTGGAGGAATGCAACAGCAGCAAAGTGCCATGCAGCCACAGCCAACACATGCTACTATGCAGCAGCAGCCCCAACCTGGAGGAATGCAACAGCAGCCCCAACCTGGAGGAATGCAACAGCAGCAAAGTGCCATGCAGCCACAGCCAACACATGCTACTATGCAGCAGCAGCCCCAACCTGGAGGAATGCAACAGCAGCCCCAACCTGGAGGAATGCAACAGCAGCAAAGTGCCATGCAGCCACAGCCAACACATGCTACTACGCAGCAGCAGCCCCAACCTGGAGGAATGCAACAGCAGCAAAGTGCCATGCAGCCACAGCCAACACATGCTACTATGCAACAGCAGCCCCAACCTGGAGGAATGCAACAGCAGCCAAGTGCCATGCAGCCACAGCCAACACATGCTACTATGCAGCAGCAGCCCCAACCTGGAGGAATGGCAACAGCAGCCCCAACCTGGAGGAATGCAACAGCAGCAAGTGCCATCTGCCACAGGCCACTGCAGCAGCGCCTCCACCTGAGGAGTGTCACAGCAGCCAAGTGCCATGTCCGCCAGACCAGTCAGCAAGCCTCCACCTGGAGGGTGCAACAGCAGGCCAAGTGCCATGCAGCCAGAAACCAAATTACATGGTGGTGTGCAGCAGCAGCAGCAGCCTCCACCTGAGGAAGTGTCAACAGCAGCAAAGTGCTGCTGCCACAAGCTGGAGGAGTGCAACAGCAGCAAAGTGCCTGCCACAGCACTGCAGCAGCCCTCCACCTGGAGGAATGCAACAGCAGCCAAGTGCTTGCAGCCAGACCCACAACATGGTGGTTTGCAGCAGCCGCAGCCTCCACCTGGAGGAGTGCAACAGCAGGCAAGTGCCATGCAGCCACAGCCAACACATGCTATGCATCAGCAGCCTCAGATTGGTGAGGTGCAACAACAGCTTCCAACTGGTGGCATGCAGCCACAGCCACCACATGGTATGCAACAGCAGCCTCCATGGATGGCAAGCAAAGATGCTGCAACAGCAAAGCAGCTCCAAGTGCAACAGCAGCCAAGTGCCATGCAGCCAGACCAGCAGCAGCCTCCACCTGGAGGAGTGCAACAGCAGCAAAGTGCAATGCTGCCACAGCCACTGCAGCAGCAGCCTCCACCTGGAGGAATGCAACAGCAGCAAAGTGCCATGCAGCCACAGCCAACACATGCTACTATGCAGCAGCAGCCCCAACCTGGAGGAATGCAACAGCAGCCCCAACCTGGAGGAATGCAACAGCAGCAAAGTGCCATGCAGCCACAGCCAACACATGCTACTATGCAGCAGCAGCCCCACTGGAGGAATGCAACAGCAGCCCCAACCTGGAGGAATGCAACAGCAGCAAAGTGCAATGCTGCCACAGCCACTGCAGCAGCAGCCTCCACCTGGAGGAGTGCAACAGCAGCCAAGTGCCATGCAGCCAGACCAGCAGCAGCCTCCACCTGGAGGAGTGCAACAGCAGCCAAGTGCCATGCAGCCAGACCAATTACATGGTGGTGTGCAGCAGCAGCAGCCTCCACCTGGAGGAGTGCAACAGCAGCCAAGTGCCATGCAGCCAGACCAACAACCTGGTGGTTTGCAGCAGCAGCAGCCTCAAGTTGGAGAAGTGCAACAGCAGCCAAGTGCTATGCAGCCAGACCAACAACCTGGTGGTTTGCAGCAGCAGCAGCCTCAAGTTGGAGAAGTGCAACAGCAGCCAAGTGCTATGCAGCCAGACCAACAACATGGTGGTTTGCAGCAGCAGCAGCCTCCACCTGGAAGAGTGCAACAGCAGCCAAGTGCCATGCAGCCAGGCCAACAACATGGTGGTATGCATCAGCAGCCTCAAGCTGGTGAGGTGAAGCCAACTGGTGGCATGCACCAACAACAGCAGCCACCACTGACACAGACTGCTGATGAACAGCAACAACAGCCACAGAAGCCAGAGCCACAGGCTGGTGGCCAACAACAACAGCAGCCAGAAGCACAGAGTGGTGACCAGCAACAGCAGCCACAGCAACCAGGGCCACAGCAACCAGAGCCACATCAGCAGCAAATGGCTGAGGCTGATGGCAGCCAGAAGGGGGTGCCAAGTACTGGAAATGTGGAAGCTGCAAAGGAAGCTGCAAAGGAAGCAAGCTTCATGGCCAAGATTAAAGAGACAGGGTTTCAATTCAAGGGGCTGTTTATTGAATTTGGTTTTGTTTTTTTAATCATTGTTCCTGAAGGAAACATAGACTGGAAATGCTGTGCCCTTAGTGGTGGGGTACAATGGTCACCTGTCATGCTGCACCATCTTAGGCCAAGCCTTTAGTGATGAGGCTTTGAAGGAAGCCAAAAAGAGAAGGACAGATGCTGTGGTATCTGGGCTGAGCTTAAACCACCATGCATGCTCCAATTCAAGCATGGCCACTAATTTGTGAGATGGTAAGTTGCTTGTATGTCATATAGTATGCAATGTAATTGTGTATCATATAATATACTTGTATTAATTGCAACACCTTCATGAATGTAAATTGTATGATAAGTTGTCTGGCCCAAGGCAAAGGCACAGAATCAGAATCCTCAGAATGCCTCCAAAAAGGCCAAGAACCAGGACACAGTGGTGATCAACTGAGGGTGGGGGGCATTTGTGGGGCCATGATGGCAATGGCTGGCAGCCTGAAGTGGACCCTGGCAAGGCAGCACAACCAATTAATTTGTTTATTACAACTTGTATTTTTAACATGATGTCAATTGGCACATTCAACAAAGAATCACAACATTTGGGTTCATTGGTGCTCCAGCCAGTTTTGTCTGCCTCATTATTTTCCAGTAGAGTAGGCTTTGAGGGCCACATGTGTGCAGCCCATGGTAGTCTTCAGTATAAGGGGCCACAGGAGTTTGGCACCAGAACAGGGTCAGGCCTGGAGTACAGCAGCCTAACTGGGGGCATGAGTGGCATGTTGGTTGGCTTGATGACATTGTGGCACATCCACTCAATCCATTTGTACTACTACTTAGTCCCAGGGTTCCAGGCCAAGTTCAAAAGGCTTAAACAATTTATCAATGTGGAGGGTCCACCCCTAACCACTCACTCACATGTGCTGAGGAAAAAGTCACTAGTAGCTGGCAGTGGATTGGTGGTCTGGTAGCTGCTTCATACTTTGGTGGTGGTGGTTGTAATGTGGTTGAATTTGATGACTCAAATTACCATGTCAGGTACCCAAACTGGAGGGGCTGTAACAGTACTGTACCATATAATATAAGGCTGTATGTTGGGGGTGCATCACATTACATAGTAATAAATAATAAACAGTTTTAGTAGCCCTTACATAAATCTGGGCATAGTCTGATACATTTAGTATGGGCTACTTGAATGTATTCTGGATGTGGGTTGGCAGTGGCCATGTGGTGCTATCCTGCAGTGTGGGTGGCCCAGCTTAGTACTAGTACTGTGCTGTGTGCTTCCTGGGTGCTGGCAATGGGGGACACGACCAAGATTCTTGGATTAGTTATTTAAGTGGGGCTGGCCTGCCAAGGGCTTTGGGTGATTGTGGAATAATGAATAAGTATCATTTGCAGGCAAAGTGTAGGCAAGGTGTTATTGATTAAAGTTATGGCATTATTATTGGGCTATGTGGCTTTCTTGAACCTAAACCCATTTGCAAATCTAGGGGTGGGTATGCTCAAGCCAGTTGCCAAGTGTATGATAATTATGTATTAATATGTTTGAAAGTATCTATGCAGTAAATAATTACTTATGTGGGTGGATTAGTAGCATAAGCAAGGCAGTAAAGGGTGGCCCTTAATGATTGTAGATCCTTAACACACAGATTGTTTGAAGTTTGGGGGTGGGTAGCAAGTAAGTAGGGTATTATTGAAGTGCCACAGTGATGAAAGGGTGGAATGGTATGAAGGTAATGAATGGCCAATCACATAAAGCTAAACCCCTAGTATATGAGCATAACTGCAATAAGGAGTGTGGGGATGCAACAGCTCATGTTCAGTTTCAATGGGGGCTTCTGTGTAAAACACTGGTTGTGAGCAGTCAATGTGGTTTGGATAGTGGTGGTGTTTGTGATACTATGGCTATGGATCCTGGGTTCAGCTTGCTGATGCACAATTCTCTGAAGCTCTGCAAGCCAGGGTTGGGGTGTGGGCCAGGAGGGCATTGGATGGTAGCTCAAACACAGTTAAGAGAGTGTAGGTGTGTGCACCATCAAGTGCTTTAAGTGCATAGTATATTGAAAGGGTGCTTGGCATTTGTCTCATGTCATGGGTGCCCCACTTGGAGCAGATAACCAATACCTGTTGCTATATTATATGGTGTGTGTTACTTGTGAAAGGGTAGTCCATTTCCATGGCTTGGGTGCAAAAAAAATAAACTCTAAGGCAACCTGTGAAAAATAGTGACTTAGTGACACCTGTTAGCTTAAAAACAAACACCAGCAAAAAACAACATATATAATCCCTCTGAACAAGGGCCCAAAAGTGGGAATGTGAGTCTCCAGGTAATAATTGGTAATATAGCCTTAAAACAGCATACCTGTTGTCAAAAAACAAAAACAAAAATGTCAAATTTAAAAATTGGGCAGCATTCCCCCTAGGAAGACTCAAAAAGGAACATGTAACAAACATTGCCCAGGAGGCAATCCCCAAAACTGGGAAAAATCTAGGAAAACTTGGGAAAAAATTAGGATATGATGGGATTTTTAAAGGATCATCTGGGAAAAAATAGGCTAAAGTGGGAAAAATATAAGATAACATGGGAAACATATAGGATATGATGGGAAACCCTGGGATGCACCAGGTATTGCATAGCATATCTAGGAAAAGAGTGGGACTCCCAAAGTAACCTAGACAAATCCCAACAAAATCCTGGCAGGTAGCCATACACCACCAAACTATATGCTGATGCTCAACCATACCACCCTGAGGGAGTAGCCCAGTCAGGTAATGTGGGGATATGGTGGGAAAGCCATGACAACATAAAGAATTCAATGGAAAACCCAACCAATGCTATGCATATCCCAGCTGCTGCCCAGGACAGCCATGGGTAGTGATGATGGTGATGCTCCAGCTCCAGTTCCACATCAACCACCTCCACCTTCTGAGGATGAGTCCAGCATGGGGGGCATGACCAGCTCTGAGGATTCTTATGTGGAGAATGAGTGGGGGTGGCACAATGGGGAATGGAAAGAACAGAAGCCTGGGGTTAATGGCTGGTACCATTCCAAATGGAATCAGCAGCTAGGCAGTTATGACCCAAATCCAGTATGGGTTTGGCATGAGTCTATGGATGACCCTTCGACTGATACTATTGATGTCCCAATGCCCTTGCCAGAGCAAATCCCAAACCTTCCTGCCCATGATCCTGAAGATGATTCTGCTGATGAGTCTGAGTCAGGGTGCCCAGTGTTTGAAGTTTGGTCAAAGCACATGTGGAAATCAGAAGGGGTGACATAGTGATGGGAATGTATGCATGGGTAATTGCATGGCAGCTCAATGTAATGTAGGTGTGCATAGGGTGGTTGTGGTTGTGGTTGTGGTTGTGGTTGTGGTTGTGGTTGTGGTTGTTGTTGTTGTTGTTGTTGTTGTTTGGTGTGCCCAAGGCACATGCCAGCTGCAGTGTCACAAAGGTGTTGGGCATGTATGTTGTGCAGTGTGTCCTAAATTTATTATTAAATGGTTTCTTATGACATGGGATATATGTGCACAAACATGCCTCATTACCACATCATGTGCCCCCAGCACCTACTGAGTGGGGTTCTAGGTAAGTGCTTGGCCATTTGAGGCTGGAGTGGCAAAGCCAGCTGGAGTACCAGGGCCAGGAGATGCTGTTCTGGGAGAGTGAGACCAAGGTCAGGGTCAGAAGTGTGGGGCCCACAGCCTATGAGAGGCACCAACTGGAGAACATGGTTGTCCCAAGGGAATTCACCTCAAAGATCAAAAAGATTCTGAACCACTTTGGCAACCCCAATGGAACATGGAACACAACCAAGGCTTTGGTGACTTACTTCAGGCAGCATGAGTGCAGAAACTATGCCAGGGGTCAGATGGTACCTGTGAGCTCAGCCATGTTCACAGTGTTCAAACACATGTTGGTGAGCAACTGGGCATTGCTGTGGCCAGAGTTCAAGGACCTGAGGAAGGAAGTGAAGCAGCCTCAGGAAGGCATCTTTTGTGATTGCCTGCCATGCACAGCTCTGATGCCATTCCTGTGCATCCATTCCAAAGTGTCACAGCAGCAGATGTGCAATGGAAATAGCCCAATGCATATCATGGACACACTATGCCCTACTTGTTCCAAATGTTGGAGGTGTGACAAGTTCCTAGGTTGCAGGGTCATCCATTTCAAAATTCAGGAATTCTGGGCAGTGTCAATGTCAAAAATAAAGGGTTCCATGTGCCAAATTTAGACATGTGTAGCCACAGTCAGACACATGGCTTTAAGTATATTATAATATTATAATTTGTTTGCATTGTTGGGGATGGTGGGTGGTGTGTGCACTTGTTGCCTGTTGAGCCTAGTGTTCACTGAGTGGAGTGTCTATTTGGTGTCACTGGGCTGCCAGGGTTTCAGTCTACATATTGGAAGCATGTATCATAGGTGCCATGGCAGCTTACCAACATTCATATAATGATTAGTTATGGTAGGGAATGCTACAACATATAATGATAGGCTACTCTAGCAGGTGTAAACTTTGCCACCTCAACTGTCAACCACTCAGCCAGTTGTTTGTTGCTGGTTGGCCAAGGCTGTGCAAGGTGGCAGTGGCAAAGAGCAAGCAGACCTTGGAGGCCTACTTGGCTGTGGACAAGGCCACCATGTGCAAATGCTCCCCTGTGTCCACCTTTGGACCTTGGGGGCATGTCTGCCTTTGGAAGTAGGGTGCTGGCAGGCACCCACCCAGGCCAGCTTGCTGACCCTGCAGTCTTTCCAGTGTTTGCATTGTAGCCAGTGTGCACCCAGCACCATATTAATAATTGCATTTATTATTAAATAGTGGGGTTAGCAACTTAACTTAGTAGCCCAATCTTACCATAGTGGGGTAGGGCATTTGAAGGATGATGAGAAAGGGTGCCTCTATGTTTGCTGCAAAGTCATTTCATTAGGTAGCTTCAGTGAGCTTCTTGCAGGCCCTTGCTGAGTGTACACACCAGACTTCCAAGCTCTCATCACTGACCTTGTCTTGTGCAAGGCTCAAGAGGGATCTGTTGGCTATTTGTTGGCTGGTTGAGTTGTTGCTGTTGTTGTTGTTGTATTTGTTGCCTTGCCTTTGCTTTGGCACCATGATGGTAGAGGAGCAGCAGGTGGCAGGAGTGCCAATGGAGGTGGAGCCATCTGACCCAGCCTCTGGAGGGTGCATTGACCTGGTTGCACCTGGGGGTGATGGGCAAGTTGGTGAGAAGGCATTCACCCTTCCTTATGGCATCTGCACCTTGAAAGATGTGGAGCAGAGAGCTTACATCAACAAAGGTGGCAAAGCTGAGTGGGTGTGGTCCAGGGTGCACAGCTTTTGCCAGATCCAGAAGGAGCCTGGTAAGATGCTGAAGCAAAGCATGTCTGCACTTCTGGAAGACCTCAACCAGCTTCAGGTGCCTGAGAGTGCTGTCCACTACAGAGGAAAGGAGCATTCTGATGATGCTGAGTGGAAGGACCACACACTGGGTCCAAAGCCCTGCTTGGCACATTGGCTTACCTCACCAAGCTGAGGCAAATCAGTGCTGTGGTCAAAGTCAGAGCCTTGAAGCTCTTGTTGGCACTGGCAGAAAAGGGCTTCCCATGTGCAGACCTCCAGGTGCCAATCACTGCCATGATCCAAAGGCCAGGTGGGCCAATGGCAAGTGCAGAGCTATTCTTTACACCCCAAGGTTTGACACAGAATTGGGGTAGCCTTTTGTCCTTGTCCCCTGGTGGTGTGGCATTGTGGAAGAAACTTGGGAGAAGGACTTGGCTGAACAGGTGCATTGCATCTTCCATGGAAAATGCCACCTTCTTGGACATCCTCTTCTTCAATGCCTATCTCATGTGCCACCCAAAGCTGAAGGGGCAAGGGCAGAACCTTTGGCTTGCAATTGGCAGCAACACCATGCCAGAGCTTATATTTCATGCAGGCTCATGGCTTGAAAGCCTTGCCTTGAGCATGAAGGAGGAGCCTCTGTCCATGCTGCCAATTCTCAGAACCAAAGAAGGCAATGCAAGGCTCCTGGCTGATCCTGTCAACCGCATGCTTCTTCTTTGGAAACTGAGAAAGAACAAGCAGCACAGGATGGAAATAGCTGGGACTCATGGTGAGCTGGGTGGCAACACAATGAGAATGATGAGGTATGAGGCATACCTGGACTGCCTCTTGCACAGTAAGGCCCTGGAGCAAGGATTCAGTGGCTGCAAGCAGGTCTGTGTGGCCTGGGATCCTTCTTCCTATGGGGGCAAGGATGTGTTTGTTGGCTGCCTATATGAGCCAAAGTCCAACACAGGTGCATACCTCATGTCACAGCACCTTGGAGCCACATATATCTCTGAGTTGGACTCCTCCTTGCTGGAGATGGCCCAGGCCAGGAAGCTCACCAGGCTTGAAGGTTACAGGGAGATCAAGGGGCTCAGTGCAGCCTTGGAGGGCATTGGCCTCACCCTCAAGAATTTCTTTGTGCCTGAAGAGCTGGTATTGAGGCCATTGAACTCTGAGGAGCTCAGGCTGCAGGGGGGGGATGGCAAGTGGTACATCCAGGATATGAAAACTGGGGAAGTTAGGCCCCATGTACCACCTGGCTTTGACCTGGGGTCATTGCCAGCATTGACCAGCATCTCTGATCAAGGCCCTGCCAACACAGCAGCCCTCAACTATATGCTCTACTCCAGCAGAGCTTTGTTGATGTGGTCATTGTGGGACCCTTACCACAGGGCCTGGAATGATCTGAAGCTTGCCTTGAAGAGGAGTGTTGGAGGAGGATGGAGGGCAGTCTTGGAGCTCACACTGGTGGTGAACATGAACTACGGACCCTTTGGGTCAGGCAGCTGGTTTTTCAAAAAGAAAGCAAAGCTGCATGATTTCATGGCCACCCAGAGTATCAACAGCCCTGCCTGGGACAACTTCCAGACACTGATTTGCCAGGAGAGAAGGGTTCCAGAACCCAGCAATCTGGAAGAGGCAGAGGCAATGTTCCACCAGCTGGTTGGCATGGACAGCTTCAACCAGAAAGGCCCACTGGTGAAGCTCATGCGGTGGTTTTCCTTTTTTGAGAGCATGGCCTTCTATGAAGGGGAGCTGTACTCCACCAAGCTCATTCTCCTGCATGCCCTGGGCAAAGGTGACAATGCTGGTTCAGAAGCAGAGGTGGAGGAGCCCTTGCCTGAGCAAGGGGACCACAGGAAGGAGCTTGCAGAGCTGAAGAAAAGAAAGGGCACATGGGCACTTGCTCCTTCCCTGATCAATGGCAAATCCCTTTGCATGAACGACTGCATCATGTCCTGTGGGAAGGCAACTTGGCAGAACTTCGCGGAAAGGGCAAGGGAAATCTGCACACCACTGCAGGTGAGGGAGCTGAACATATCCTGTGCCCAGAGCAGGTACTGGTGCTGTGAACTTCTGGATATGCTGGAGTCATCCTTGGAGGATGCCAGGTGTTTGAAGCACCTTTGGCCAGAGTTCCAGGGCCATGACCAAGCCATGATCTGGCATATTGACCTGCTTGCCAAGCTCCTAGAAACCAGGGCTATGAGCCTGGCTGTGTTCCATCTTCTTCCCCCAAGCCTCTATTGCCATCTCCTGTCCTTTGACCCAGATGTGGCTAGGCAGGCCCATGACTTGGCAATGGCACATTGGAAGATCCTTCTGCAAGCAGAGGAGGCTGAAGCTGCTGGAGCACTGGTGAAGTCTCTCTCTACTATCTACTGGAGGTTCAACCCTTTGGTCAGGGCACTGTTTCTGGCCTTTGAAGAAGATGCCTACAAGTGCCAAGTGTATACCTCTGAAAGCCAGGCAATGAAGCTCCAACTGCTCTTCACCCAGAACTTGGGGGATTCCAGGCTGGTGGAGAACATTCACCAACATGGAAGAGATTTGTGCAGAGCCAGCAAGTCCAATTCCATGTCCAATGTGAGCATCATGGCCAATATTTTGAAGTGTGGTGTCCTTGAAGGGAGGAAGATTCCTGTGGTGACAGCCAAGGAAACCCTCAAGGCAACTGGTGCTGCCTGGCAATCAAAGAGTAAGGAGGCTGTGGTGCACAGGCTGAGGACCCATGGCAAGAACCTTCCTGTTGAACTTCAAAGGATGATGGCCCCCAACAAGAAGGCATATGAGCAATGGCCATCTCCAAGCCCTGGATCCTTGTTTCAGAGCTGTGCATCCACCCACTGGCTCTTCAGCTACTTCTCTTCGCCACCTTCTGAGGATGTCAATGTCAACTCTGCTTGGCTTTCCTGCCTAGCCAGGCCTGGTGCCATCTTGGCCCAGGAATCAACTTCTAGCCTGGTCATGGTCATTGCCTCTGCAGAGTACAGCTTCCTAGGTGTTGCAATGGAGGCCAGAGTGGGCCTGGACTTGGAGAGGACCTTCCATTGCATCATCCAAAGGCATGCTGTTGGCTTCCGCCACATCTCAAACTTGTCTGACTGGGTGGAATTGCCTGTTGAACCTTGCCTCACCTCAGCAGGTGGCACTAGAGGGCCAATTGGTTGGAGGAGAGTTGGGCATCCTCAGCCACTGGAGACAGCTGCTTTGCTGCATGGTCTTACCCTCACATTCCAGCAACTCAAGGATCTGGTCAAGGAGCTGGGTGCCTCTACCAAAGGCTTGACATCCAAGAAGGCAGTGGTGGAGTTGCTCATCTCCATTGCCTGTCCAGAAGACAAGCTGGAAGAGGTGAAGGCCAAATATGCCACTGAGACCACAGAGGGAGAGGGGCAGATGGATTCTGATCTTTCTGAGGTGGTTTCAGAACTGGGCCAGGATGATGGCAATGCCCAAGATCTGAAAGACTTGAAGGAGAAAAAGAAACATCACAGGGCCAAAAAGGCATTGAAAAAGGCAGAGCAGATTCTCCAGGCCAAGGCAAAGTCCAAGAGACAAGCAAAGGCAAAAGCCAAAGGAAAGGCCAAGGGAAAGGCAAAAGCAAAGGCAGCTGCCAAGCCAGAGAAAAAACCCAAAAGCTTTTTGGAGAGTGTCATCTTGAGGGCTAGGAGGCTGAAGGAGCAGAGGGACCCAGCTGCCATGCAGAGGATCAAAGAGGAGGAAAGGGCTGTGGAGAAGGAGGTGGCACAGGAATTGGATGACCCAGAGAAGATGAGGGAAGCCAAAGCTGCTGGCATTGATGAGCTGGATGTGCCTATGGGTGAAGCAGGGCCATTGATGCCTGCAAGCTCCAAAGCAGCACCCAGCCAGCCCAGTCAGCCCAGTCAGCCATCAAGGGCCAGGGCACCAAAAAGTTACAAATCACCCACTGAAATCATGGGCTTGCTGCAGCCTCCTGGATGCAGATTCTCCATCAGTGCCCAGGATCACCGCTTCAAATCCCAGTGGGATGAGGATTACCCTGAGCTGGATGGAACTTTTTCCCAGCTGAGATTCTCTAGGTCCTTTGCCAAAAAGGTTAAGTGGGAGGATGCCTTGGCTCAAGTCCACAAGCACAATTGGCAGAAGTGGGCATTGGTGCAGGATGAGAACCCTTTGGGAGAAGGGGAGGAGGCACAAGAGCCAGGTATCATTCCACAGGACCTTTTGGATCTGCTCAAGGGCCATATTGAGGCAAATCTGACAGAAAAGGCCAAGAGATACCCTCTGCCCCAGGATGACACCCAGAAGGGGGATGACTGAGTGATTGTGCAGTAAAGCTGGGCACACTCACATGTTCTGTAATAATAGAAGGGTTTGCCATGGACAATTGCTGCATGCACACTTTGAAGGTTGCACATTTGAAATTTTTGAAAGCAGCATTGATTGGCATGTGCGAAGCAGCTCTGCAGAGAGGACCAAAAAGAGTTGAGTTCCTGCATCATTGACAACATGGCACATGGCACCATCCATTCTAAGATGAGTTGGAAGACTGCCCCTCTGAAGGTGCTTGTGTGTGTGGCCCTTTGCTGCTGACTTCTGCTTCATTCAGCCTTTGGCAAGCATTGATTCCACCACCTTGGTCAGCAAAAGGCAAGGATATGACCCAACAAGCTTTGACTGTTCCAAGAAGACATGTGCCAAGGCCAGCCATATGCAAGATGAATGATTTTGGATGTCCTTGGTGCTTGCCTTCTTCTTGCAGGCTTGCCTTGCTTGGGTATGTCTCTGGCCTTTGTTGGCCATGGTGGTGAAACTGATGTCTGCCTTTGGCATGGCTTTTGCTTTCTGGCCTTGGCTTGCCTTGGTGCTTGCCATCTTGGTGCAGGTCTGTCTTGCTCTGGGGGTGTGCCTCTGGCACCTGGACTGCCTATGGTGGAGAATGCTGTGCTTGCCTTTGGCATGGCTTTTGCTTTCTGGCCTTGGCTTGCCTTGGTGCTTGCCATCTTGGTGCAGGTCTGTCTTGCTCTGGGGGTGTGCCTCTGGCACCTGGACTGCCTATGGTGGAGAATGCTGTGCTTGCCTTTGGCATGGCTTTTGCTTTCTGGCCTTGGCTTGCCTTGGTGCTTGCCATCTTGGTGCAGGTCTGTCTTGCTCTGGGGGTGTGCCTCTGGCACCTGGACTGCCTATGGTGGAGAATACTGTGCTTGCCTTTGGCATGGCTTTTGCTTTCTGGCCTTGGCTTGCCTTGGTGCTTGCCATCTTGGTGCAGGTCTGTCTTGCTCTGGGGGTGTGCCTCTGGCACCTGGACTGCCTATGGTGGAGAATACTGTGCTTGCCTTTGGCATGGCTTTTGCTTTCTGGCCTTGGCTTGCCTTGGTGCTTGCCATCTTGGTGCAGGTCTGTCTTGCTCTGGGGGTGTGCCTCTGCCACCTGGACTGCCTATGGTGGAGAATGCTGTGCTTGCCTTTGGCATGGCTGCCATACTTGGCATTTGCCAGGCCCACCCTACCTCTCCCTTGCTTGCTGTTGCTTTGTGGCTGGTGCTGTTGTTGTTTGTTTGCTGGGTGTTTTGTGTGGAGGGGTGGTCTTCCAATTCAAAGAGTGGATGGTGCCTACCAGAGGAAACCATGTGAACTTCAGCATGCATGCCAACAGCAAAACTGGCCATATTGGTTTCACTTTCCTTTTCAGGTTTTGTCTACTTACAAATAAACCCAGAGGTTTGTGCATGTTTGTGATTGGATTCCATGCCTGCCCTCTGGAGGCTGGCTCCTATGGATGTGGTGAGGCAATTGTGCCTTCAGCGTGGTGGCTAGGACCTGGCAATTTTGCAGATAGATCCACACCTTGCCAATACAGGCAGCAAGATTTGACATCAAGTGGCAAAATAATTCTGCTGTCAGAGCTCTGGGGGGAGTGCTCAGTGCTCACTGCAAGGATTACATTTTTCAGCCACCAATCCTTTGGTTCTTTCTGGTTTGAAATTGTTGGGAATTGCAATGCCAACATTTGTGTAGGTGTTTTAAACCATTTATTTATATCTGTTTGAACAACCTCATAATGTCATACCAATTGCAAACATTGTGAAGATTGCAGGCATTGGTGCCACACTAGGTTCAGAGATGTTCCAAGGGTCTTGTTTGAAACTGTTTAGTTTGAACTAAGTGGGTGCCCAAGGTTCAAGGTGACATTTGGGAATCTTGTTTGAAAGTTGGATTTGCAACATCAGGTGGGAATTGTGCTACTGTGGCCTTATCATAGCAGGGGTGCCAATGTTTGAAGGTGAAATTACAGAAGCTTAAGTTATTGGCCTGTTTTGGGTATGCAGGGACTCTGGAACAATCAATGGGGACACTTGTCAACCATTGGGCTGGTTTTGTAGAATTTGTATTTTTGATGGCCTTGAAATATATGCAGGGGATGCCAATTTGTCAAGGTGAAACCCCATAATCTCTACTTTTTGAGTTTTTGCTCATGCAGAGACCCTGGAGCCTTCAATGGGGACATTTGTCAACCATTGGAACTGGTGTTTGAGGCAGTTTTTGGTGATGACCTTTAAACATGTGCAGGGGGTGCCTACTTTTCAAGGTGAAATCCCATAAATTCTTAATTTTTGAGTATTTTGGGTTATGCAGAGGCCTTGTCAACCACTTCAACTGGCTGAGTGGCAGTTTTTTTGTTATGGCCTTGAAATATGGGCAAGGGGTGCCTATTTTTCAAGGTGGAACCTAATTTTTATTGGTTTGCATATTTTGGGTTGTGCAGAGGCCTTGGAACCATCAATGGGGACATTTAGAACCACTTCAACTGGTTTAGTGGCATTTTATTTGTGATGGCCTTAAAATATGGGCAAGGGGTGCCTATTTTGTTCATGATGGTATCTCATTTTATTTTTGGGGGCCATGCAGAGGCCTTGCATTGGAACCATCAATGGGGACATTTGTCAACCACTTCAACTGGCTGAGTGGCATTTTTTTTGTAATGGCCTTGAAATATGGGCAAGGGGTGCCTATTTTTCAAGGTGAAATCTATTTTTTATTTTTTTGTTTTTTGGGGTTATGCAGGTGCCTTGGAACCATCAATGGGGACATTTTGAACCACTTCAATTGGTGGCTTTGTTTAGTAATGGCCTTGAAATGAAATAAATATGGGCAGGGGGTGCTATGTTTGAATATGAAATCACAGCTGGGTTCTAAGCAATCAATGGGTGCTTGTGTCAGCTACTTGAACTGATAATTTTTAAAGATTTGACTTGACACATTTTTGCAAATGAAACATGTTCGCAAAGGGGGTTGTATCAAAAGGAGGGTGTATCAAACCCAAATTAAGGTTTTCAGAGGCTAAGAAAATCCCAACTTTTGCTGGCCTGCTAAATCTGGGATTTTCTTAGCCTGTAAGCTGCTGTGGATGGGGTAGTTGGGATGGTGATGCCAGCTTCTATGTAGCCATTTTTGTGGCTCCAGCTCCCAACATTGGTGAAGAGGCACTGATTGCCTCTGGCTAGGTGCCATTGGCTGATGCCTAGTAGAAAAAAAATTGGGAAGCCAGGGCATAAGGGCCTGCCCATGGATTGGATGAATCCAATGCACCAAGCTGTGCCTCCATGGGTCAAGCCCTACTTGAACAACTATGGCCAGGCACCAGGCCCCTCACCAGAGGATGAGGAGGATGAATACAGTAGCAGTGAGAGTGTTGCTGCCAAGTCGTCTAGGAAGATGCATGGCTGACAAAGTTGGTATGTGGCATGTGGCATGGGGGGTGCTTAGTAAAAAAGGTTTCAAAAAAAAATCCACTCACTAAAAGTGTTGTTGAGGGAGAGTCTGGAATTCTATCTCAATCCCATTGCTATGACTTAGTTTCTTAACTGAACTTTAGGGTTGGTCATCCCACCACCAGTCCTGTTGCAGCTTTCCTTGCAGCTTCCTTCAGGAAGAAAAAGGACAAGAAGGACAAAAAGAGTGTCAAAAAGGACAAGAAACTCAAGAAGAAGAAGAAGGAGAAGGAGAGCTCCAGCAGCTCTTCCAGTTCTGAATCAGGTGTGATCCCTTCGCACCTTGGAATCCAACCCCTTAACTAACCAGCCAGAAGTCTAACTTACACTTAACCCAACACTGGTTTCAAGTTCACAAGATGGTTCAACATGCCATAATGTGTAAGCAAGTCTTGTCTTAAGTTTCAAAAGTTTGTCTAGTCAATTGGTTTCTGTTCACTCATGCTGCCCCTGTCTCTTTTCACATATGAAACCCACCCACTGGATCATGGGTGCATCATTGCATGTTTGTTTGAATAGGCCATAACCCTAAGTGACTGCAGGAAGGCAGGTTACCAGCAACCAGGTTTGCAGAGTTAGTATGACTTACTGCCATGATGGGTGGTGTGTTGAAACTTTGGTGAGTAGTAGTTTTCCATCAATCATTGCCTTCTTATTGAATGGATCTGAGGCACTGGGTGCACCTGGGGCCTGAATGGGGAGAGACAAAGGAAGGGTTCAAGTGCACCAGCAAGAAGAATTCTGTGCCTAGAAACCCAAAGCTGAGATGGCTGAGTGCCATTAATCCAGAGAAGTACCCAGCAAGTTTCTTGCCTTGCCAATAGAATATTATATACATGTACAGTGTGGAATGCCAATAATATTGTTCTTATTAATTAAGCCCTATTGGGTAGCATGTGTCTTTGGCAGTGCTGTGTCCCAAACACAGTGATGATAACATCTTCTGAGGTTCGACCTGCATGCTATCTGAGCTCCAGCTTGAGCAGCTGCTGTACTGTTTGACTGGATTGTCTCCAAAGATTTCAGTGAAGGACTTGGATGTCAAGACAAGGTCCCAGCTGAAACCTGATTCAAAGTTTGTGGAGGGGATTTGCGCAGCATCTTTTGTTGACATGTGCTTTTCAAGGTGGTTACAGGTTATGCATGGTTTAACAAGGCCAACCCATCTACATGCCCCCATGGGTAATAGAGAAAAGTGTAGTGTAATTAAATGTTCCCTGTTGTCCTAGGAAAGAGCTCATCAAGGACCAAGCAGCCAGGATGGAGAAGCAGACAGAAGGGAAGAGGAGTTCAAGCATTCATGTTGCCTGGCTTGAGAGTGCATGGGAAGAATGGTGGGACATGACATGGTTATTTTACTTTACACTTACCATGATTATAAGGGTTTGGCAGTGGGGCATTTCAGTTTGTTTTTGGGGGTTGGTGGCAGTGTCTTTAACTTTTAGCACCAGGAATCCCAATCACTGGCTCACCTAAAATAAACCTTTTAAATAAAACTGCACAACATCTCCCAGCACAGGAGCCTTTGATTGAACCACTCATGATGACTCTACCACCAACCCTTTGCATGGCACATTTGCCCAGGAGGATTTCTCCAACCTTGATGAGTATGCACTGCAGCTGGGATGGTACAACCTGTGGAAGAAGCCAGGAAAGAAGAAACTTGGGGTGCACTTAGTGCAGAAAACATAGCTTGGTTGTGTGTTTGTTTATTGAAACCATTGAGCATGTCAAACATGTTGGCTGGGGTCCATGAAACATGTGCTCCCAATTCAATTGGCATGGTAATCTATTGAATGATAGATATTTCACCTGCCCACCCTGCAGCAAGGCCTCAAGAACAGGACAGCCCTTTGCCAACTGGTGTCTTCCAGAAGTACAGCAGGGTCAAAGGGCATCTTGGCTTTCATGCCATGTGGTTGCAAGAGCTGGCATTTGAAAGTCTTGACAGTGGCCAAACCCCTCAACTTGTGACATGTATTAATTGGTGGGTGTATGGCATTGCTAAGTTTAAGGGAATCTTAGTCAGCCTGTTTGTGGTTGCAGCCATCACTTTCAATTTCAGGTATTATAGCATTGTTTGTGTCAGCTTTGGCAAGCTGCTGGAAGGCTGAATGACATGACATAGGTGTTTGTTTCTTTTTATTTACCCAATTAATCCAGAACCTTCATGGCATCCAAGGCCACAAGGTGAGCTGGAGGTGTGCCATGTGGAGAGGGCAGTGAAAGTGGTCCTTGGCCCACCAAATTCACCTATCAGCTTGGCATACAGGAACTCATGCTATTTCCTGAAAATTGGTGAGACACCAAGGTCATCTGAGAAGCTTGGGTGAATGTGGCAATGTTACATCAAAAGTTGTTATTAATAATAGTTATGTGCACTGGGCTGAAACAACCATTCAGCAGATAGTGGCACTTGAGAGCCTTGCTACCTAAGGATATTGATGAAAGCTGATGATATCTTTGAGCACAGTGATGGGGTCCAAGCCTGGTATGGCAAAGTGGATGCTTAGCACAACCACATTATTCAGAATGCAGGTGCAACCAACTAAGTAAAAGGTATGGGTGACCAGTTTCAGCAGGTTCATTGCATTAACTTGGTGATGACTGGGTCCATGTAGTCTTAGTCAAGCAAGTCATCAAGTAAGTAGCTAACCAATAACTAAGTAATTGAGGTACTAAGTGACTAAGTACAAGTAAGTAATTGGGAAGATAAGTTGTGGTATTGCATCAACCTAGCTATGCTTCAGCACAACAACCTATATAGTTGCATTGCATGCTTGGGTCATTAGATTGGTATTGAACCATTCAACCATTCATCATGGTGGTGGCTGCCACCACCATTTACTGACTGAGGCAGAAGTGGCACTTCTCAACCAAGAGGATTCTCTGTGGGCACAGCAGTACATCAACCACTGCAAAGGACATGAGCCATGAGAGGGTTGGAATCTGGAGGGCCAAGCCATGTGAGTTTCATATAACCACCAAATGAATTGGTTTGTAAAAGAACCTTGGTTTATATATTGCAACATCAGATGAAGGTGGATGGTTCTGTAAGAATTTCCAGTTGCATAATATTGGAATGTAGCAGCATTGCATTTTCTCCTCAAAGAAAACTTGCTTACAATAAATAATAATATAGCATCCCCTCATGAACCCTGGCTTGGCAGAATGTTCAATTGCATATATTTAATATAGAAGCACCACATGAACCCTCATAAATAAGCTTGGCTTGGCTTACAAATAGTAACCCCTTATGAACCCAGGCCTGAAAGAATTTTCCACATAAACCCTTTCCTGAAAGAAACTTGGATTGCAAATAGCAACCCCTCATGAACCCTGGTCCCAAAGAACCATGGGCCATGTCCTAAAAGAGCATTTGCATATAATATAAATATATTTGTTATAATATAGTATAGCAACCCCATAATGAACCTTGTCCTGTACACACCTAGCTCCACGGACCAGCTCCCAGGACTGCCTGGTGGACATTGGCAGGCTGTCCAACTTGGCAATTTGGAAAGCCAACTTCCCAAAGATGGTATGAAGCAGAACCAGAAGCCTAGTCTATCAAGTGATTTGGCTTGTACATGTAAATAATATATTATGGTGAAAGTTTGAAAGGGTTCAGTTAGCACAGGCCACCTGCAAATCAATAGCATTGCCACAGGTGTTCCTGGTGTCTTGGGGGTCATGTCAATGGCATGGGGGTCACACCACTTATTATTGCTTTATGGAGTGGCTTGGAGCTCAGGCATGAGCACAGGTGAGCCTGCTTCAGTGTCTGCACCACCTTCCAGTGCAGCATCCACAGCAGAGTCCCAGGCCAATGGTTGGCAAAGGTGATTGTGTGAGAGAGAGAGAGAGGTGCCTACTCAATCCTGCCATAACTTAGCAAATGCCATGGAAGGGTGATGTTGGTGGCCCTACTTGTTGTGGGAACTTGCATCACTAAGAAATAGCAATGTGGAGCTAGGGGTGTGGTTCAAACTATTAACAGTTGCCTATTAATTAGCTGTTTGTGCTGTTGGCAAGATTCAAGATGGTGTTGTGAAGGTTGGGAAGATCACACATTGAACAGATTGTGGTTAGTCATAATAATAGTGTTTGTCTAGGTCTGGAAGTGCCAGTGTCTGGTTGCAACTTGGAAACAAACAATTGGTTGGTGGCACCTGCCATGGGCCCTGGGGTCCTTGGCACATGGCACAGGTTACCTTGATGATGATGGGCCAGGACCAGCTGCCAGCTCCAGCAACTTGATGGGGGTGTCAAGTGTATTATTCTGTCCCAGTCAGTTAATTTGGGTCTTAATATAGATGGTTTTATGAAGACTTGTTTTGGCAGTATGGCAACTCAGCATCACAGCCCCTTGAGCCAGCAGTACAACCCTTGGCACCAGCAACCCAGCCAGCAACAACCCAGAGGCAGCTGATGCCAGGTGAAGTGGCCTATGGATTGGCCAGGGGGTATGGGTTTGGCCAGGTAGGTGGTCACCACCAGCAACCTGCTATGCAGCAGCCACAGCCCCATGCAGGTGGAATGCAGGCCCAGCCACACCATGGTGGTATGCAACAGCATCCACTGCCCTCAGCTCATGGCATGCAGCAACAGGCACAGGCTAGTGCCCAACAGCCATACTATGGTGGACAGCAGCAGCATCAACAACAACATCATGGTGGTTTGCAGCAGCAGCCAGGTCAACAACATGGTGGCATGCATCAGCAACCTCAGACTGGAGGAGTGCACCAGCAGCCAAGTGCCATGCAGCCACAGCCAACACATGCTACTATGCACCAGCAGCCCCAACCTGGAGGAATGCAACAGCAGCAAAGTGCCATGCAGCCACAGCCAACACATGCTACTATGCAGCAGCAGCCCCAACCTGGAGGAATGCAACAGCAGCCCCAACCTGGAGGAATGCAACAGCAGCAAAGTGCCATGCAGCCACAGCCAACACATGCTACTACGCAGCAGCAGCCCCAACCTGGAGGAATGCAACAGCAGCAAAGTGCCATGCAGCCACAGCCAACACATGCTACTATGCAACAGCAGCCCCAACCTGGAGGAATGCAACAGCAGCCAAGTGCCATGCAGCCACAGCCAACACATGCTACTATGCAGCAGCAGCCCCAACCTGGAGGAATGCAACAGCAGCAAAGTGCCATGCAGCTACAGCCAACACATGCTACTATGCAGCAGCAGCCCCAACCTGGAGGAATGCAACAGCAGCCCCAACCTGGAGGAATGCAACAGCAGCAAAGTGCAATGCTGCCACAGCCACTGCAGCAGCAGCCTCCACCTGGAGGAGTGCAACAGCAGCCAAGTGCCATGCAGCCAGACCAGCAGCAGCCTCCACCTGGAGGAGTGCAACAGCAGCCAAGTGCCATGCAGCCAGACCAATTACATGGTGGTGTGCAGCAGCAGCAGCCTCCACCTGGAGGAGTGCAACAGCAGCAAAGTGCAATGCTGCCACAGCCACTGCAGCAGCAGCCTCCACCTGGAGGAATGCAACAGCAGCCAAGTGCTATGCAGCCAGACCCACAACATGGTGGTTTGCAGCAGCAGCAGCCTCCACCTGGAGGAGTGCAACAGCAGGCAAGTGCCATGCAGCCACAGCCAACACATGCTATGCATCAGCAGCCTCAGATTGGTGAGGTGCAACAACAGCTTCCAACTGGTGGCATGCAGCCACAGCCACCACATGGTATGCAACAGCAGCCTCCATGTGGAGGAGTGCAACAGCAGCCAAGTGCCATGCAGCCAGACCAGCAGCAGCCTCCACCTGGAGGAGTGCAACAGCAGCAAAGTGCAATGCTGCCACAGCCACTGCAGCAGCAGCCTCCACCTGGAGGAGTGCAACAGCAGCCAAGTGCCATGCAGCCAGACCAGCAGCAGCCTCCACCTGGAGGAGTGCAACAGCAGCAAAGTGCAATGCTGCCACAGCCACTGCAGCAGCAGCCTCCACCTGGAGGAGTGCAACAGCAGCCAAGTGCCATGCAGCCAGACCAGCAGCAGCCTCCACCTGGAGGAATGCAACAGCAGCAAAGTGCAATGCTGCCACAGCCACTGCAGCAGCAGCCTCCACCTGGAGGAGTGCAACAGCAGCCAAGTGCCATGCAGCCAGACCAGCAGCAGCCTCCACCTGGAGGAGTGCAACAGCAGCCAAGTGCCATGCAGCCAGACCAATTACATGGTGGTGTGCAGCAGCAGCAGCCTCCACCTGGAGGAGTGCAACAGCAGCCAAGTGCCATGCAGCCAGACCAACAACCTGGTGGTTTGCAGCAGCAGCAGCCTCAAGTTGGAGAAGTGCAACAGCAGCCAAGTGCTATGCAGCCAGACCAACAACCTGGTGGTTTGCAGCAGCAGCAGCCTCAAGTTGGAGAAGTGCAACAGCAGCCAAGTGCTATGCAGCCAGACCAACAACATGGTGGTTTGCAGCAGCAGCAGCCTCCACCTGGAGGAGTGCAACAGCAGCCAAGTGCCATGCAGCCAGGCCAACAACATGGTGGTATGCATCAGCAGCCTCAAGCTGGTGAGGTGAAGCCAACTGGTGGCATGCACCAACAACAGCAGCCACCACTGACACAGACTGCTGATGAACAGCAACAACAGCCACAGAAGCCAGAGCCACAGGCTGGTGGCCAACAACAACAGCAGCCAGAAGCACAGAGTGGTGACCAGCAACAGCAGCCACAGCAACCAGGGCCACAGCAACCAGAGCCACATCAGCAGCAAATGGCTGAGGCTGATGGCAGCCAGAAGGGGGTGCCAAGTACTGGAAATGTGGAAGCTGCAAAGGAAGCTGCAAAGGAAGCAAGCTTCATGGCCAAGATTAAAGAGACAGGGTTTCAATTCAAGGGGCTGTTTATTGAATTTGGTTTTGTTTTTTTAATCATTGTTCCTGAAGGAAACATAGACTGGAAATGCTGTGCCCTTAGTGGTGGGGTACAATGGTCACCTGTCATGCTGCACCATCTTAGGCCAAGCCTTTAGTGATGAGGCTTTGAAGGAAGCCAAAAAGAGAAGGACAGATGCTGTGGTATCTGGGCTGAGCTTAAACCACCATGCATGCTCCAATTCAAGCATGGCCACTAATTTGTGAGATGGTAAGTTGCTTGTATGTCATATAGTATGCAATGTAATTGTGTATCATATAATATACTTGTATTAATTGCAACACCTTCATGAATGTAAATTGTATGATAAGTTGTCTGGCCCAAGGCAAAGGCACAGAATCAGAATCCTCAGAATGCCTCCAAAAAGGCCAAGAACCAGGACACAGTGGTGATCAACTGAGGGTGGGGGGCATTTGTGGGGCCATGATGGCAATGGCTGGCAGCCTGAAGTGGACCCTGGCAAGGCAGCACAACCAATTAATTTGTTTATTACAACTTGTATTTTTAACATGATGTCAATTGGCACATTCAACAAAGAATCACAACATTTGGGTTCATTGGTGCTCCAGCCAGTTTTGTCTGCCTCATTATTTTCCAGTAGAGTAGGCTTTGAGGGCCACATGTGTGCAGCCCATGGTAGTCTTCAGTATAAGGGGCCACAGGAGTTTGGCACCAGAACAGGGTCAGGCCTGGAGTACAGCAGCCTAACTGGGGGCATGAGTGACATGTTGGTTGGCTTGATGACATTGTGGCACATCCACTCAATCCATTTGTACTACTACTTAGTCCCAGGGTTCCAGGCCAAGTTCAAAAGGCTTAAACAATTTATCAATGTGGAGGGTCCACCCCTAACCACTCACTCACATGTGCTGAGGAAAAAGTCACTAGTAGCTGGCAGTGGATTGGTGGTCTGGTAGCTGCTTCATACTTTGGTGGTGGTGGTTGTAATGTGGTTGAATTTGATGACTCAAATTACCATGTCAGGTACCCAAACTGGAGGGGCTGTAACAGTACTGTACCATATAATATAAGGCTGTATGTTGGGGGTGCATCACATTACATAGTAATAAATAATAAACAGTTTTAGTAGCCCTTACATAAATCTGGGCATAGTCTGATACATTTAGTATGGGCTACTTGAATGTATTCTGGATGTGGGTTGGCAGTGGCCATGTGGTGCTATCCTGCAGTGTGGGTGGCCCAGCTTAGTACTAGTACTGTGCTGTGTGCTTCCTGGGTGCTGGCAATGGGGGACACGACCAAGATTCTTGGATTAGTTATTTAAGTGGGGCTGGCCTGCCAAGGGCTTTGGGTGATTGTGGAATAATGAATAAGTATCATTTGCAGGCAAAGTGTAGGCAAGGTGTTATTGATTAAAGTTATGGCATTATTATTGGGCTATGTGGCTTTCTTGAACCTAAACCCATTTGCAAATCTAGGGGTGGGTATGCTCAAGCCAGTTGCCAAGTGTATGATAATTATGTATTAATATGTTTGAAAGTATCTATGCAGTAAATAATTACTTATGTGGGTGGATTAGTAGCATAAGCAAGGCAGTAAAGGGTGGCCCTTAATGATTGTAGATCCTTAACACACAGATTGTTTGAAGTTTGGGGGTGGGTAGCAAGTAAGTAGGGTATTATTGAAGTGCCACAGTGATGAAAGGGTGGAATGGTATGAAGGTAATGAATGGCCAATCACATAAAGCTAAACCCCTAGTATATGAGCATAACTGCAATAAGGAGTGTGGGGATGCAACAGCTCATGTTCAGTTTCAATGGGGGCTTCTGTGTAAAACACTGGTTGTGAGCAGTCAATGTGGTTTGGATAGTGGTGGTGTTTGTGATACTATGGCTATGGATCCTGGGTTCAGCTTGCTGATGCACAATTCTCTGAAGCTCTGCAAGCCAGGGTTGGGGTGTGGGCCAGAAGGGCATTGGATGGTAGCTCAAACACAGTTAAGAGAGTGTAGGTGTGTGCACCATCAAGTGCTTTAAGTGCATAGTATATTGAAAGGGTGCTTGGCATTTGTCTCATGTCATGGGTGCCCCACTTGGAGCAGATAACCAATACCTGTTGCTATATTATATGGTGTGTGTTACTTGTGAAAGGGTAGTCCATTTCCATGGCTTGGGTGCAAAAAAAATAAACTCTAAGGCAACCTGTGAAAAATAGTGACTTAGTGACACCTGTTAGCTTAAAAACAAACACCAGCAAAAAAAAACATATATAATCCCTCTGAACAAGGGCCCAAAAGTGGGAATGTGAGTCTCCAGGTAATAATTGGTAATATAGCCTTAAAACAGCATACCTGTTGTCAAAAAAAACAAAAATGTCAAATTTAAAAATTGGGCAGCATTCCCCCTAGGAAGACTCAAAAAGGAACATGTAACAAACATTGCCCAGGAGGCAATCCCCAAAACTGGGAAAAATCTAGGAAAACTTGGGAAAATTTTAGGATATGATGGGATTTTTTTAGGATCATCTGGGAAAAAATAGGCTAAAGTGGGAAAAATATAAGATAACATGGGAAACATATAGGATATGATGGGAAACCCTGGGATGCACCAGGTATTGCATAGCATATCTAGGAAAAGAGTGGGACTCCCAAAGTAACCTAGACAAATCCCAACAAAATCCTGGCAGGTAGCCATACACCACCAAACTATATGCTGATGCTCAACCATACCACCCTGAGGGAGTAGCCCAGTCAGGTAATGTGGGGATATGGTGGGAAAGCCATGACAACATAAAGAATTCAATGGAAAACCCAACCAATGCTATGCATATCCCAGCTGCTGCCCAGGACAGCCATGGGTAGTGATGATGGTGATGCTCCAGCTCCAGTTCCACATCAACCACCTCCACCTTCTGAGGATGAGTCCAGCATGGGGGGCATGACCAGCTCTGAGGATTCTTATGTGGAGAATGAGTGGGGGTGGCACAATGGGGAATGGAAAGAACAGAAGCCTGGGGTTAATGGCTGGTACCATTCCAAATGGAATCAGCAGCTAGGCAGTTATGACCCAAATCCAGTATGGGTTTGGCATGAGTCTATGGATGACCCTTCGACTGATACTATTGATGTCCCAATGCCCTTGCCAGAGCAAATCCCAAACCTTCCTGCCCATGATCCTGAAGATGATTCTGCTGATGAGTCTGAGTCAGGGTGCCCAGTGTTTGAAGTTTGGTCAAAGCACATGTGGAAATCAGAAGGGGTGACATAGTGATGGGAATGTATGCATGGGTAATTGCATGGCAGCTCAATGTAATGTAGGTGTGCATAGGGTGGTTGTGGTTGTGGTTGTGGTTGTGGTTGTGGTTGTGGTTGTGGTTGTGGTTGTTGTTGTTGTTGTTGTTTGGTGTGCCCAAGGCACATGCCAGCTGCAGTGTCACAAAGGTGTTGGGCATGTATGTTGTGCAGTGTGTCCTAAATTTATTATTAAATGGTTTCTTATGACATGGGATATATGTGCACAAACATGCCTCATTACCACATCATGTGCCCCCAGCACCTACTGAGTGGGGTTCTAGGTAAGTGCTTGGCCATTTGAGGCTGGAGTGGCAAAGCCAGCTGGAGTACCAGGGCCAGGAGATGCTGTTCTGGGAGAGTGAGACCAAGGTCAGGGTCAGAAGTGTGGGGCCCACAGCCTATGAGAGGCACCAACTGGAGAACATGGTTGTCCCAAGGGAATTCACCTCAAAGATCAAAAAGATTCTGAACCACTTTGGCAACCCCAATGGAACATGGAACACAACCAAGGCTTTGGTGACTTACTTCAGGCAGCATGAGTGCAGAAACTATGCCAGGGGTCAGATGGTACCTGTGAGCCCAGCCATGTTCACAGTGTTCAAACACATGTTGGTGAGCAACTGGGCATTGCTGTGGCCAGAGTTCAAGGACCTGAGGAAGGAAGTGAAGCAGCCTCAGGAAGGCATCTTTTGTGATTGCCTGCCATGCACAGCTCTGATGCCATTCCTGTGCATCCATTCCAAAGTGTCACAGCAGCAGATGTGCAATGGAAATGGCCCAATGCATATCATGGACACACTATGCCCTACTTGTTCCAAATGTTGGAGGTGTGACAAGTTCCTAGGTTGCAGGGTCATTCATTTCAAAATTCAGGAATTCTGGGCAGTGTCAATGTCAAAAATAAAGGGTTCCATGTGCCAAATTTAGACATGTGTAGCCACAGTCAGACACATGGCTTTAAGTATATTATAATATTATAATTTGTTTGCATTGTTGGGGATGGTGGGTGGTGTGTGCACTTGTTGCCTGTTGAGCCTAGTGTTCACTGAGTGGAGTGTCTATTTGGTGTCACTGGGCTGCCAGGGTTTCAGTCTACATATTGGAAACATGTATCATAGGTGCCATGGCAGCTTACCAACATTCATATAATGATTAGTTATGGTAGGGAATGCTACAACATATAATGATAGGCCACTCTAGCAGGTGTAAACTTTGCCACCTCAACTGTCAACCACTCAGCCAGTTGTTTGTTGCTGGTTGGCCAAGGCTGTGCAAGGTGGCAGTGGCAAAGAGCAAGCAGACCTTGGAGGCCTACTTGGCTGTGGACAAGGCCACCATGTGCAAATGCTCCCCTGTGTCCACCTTTGGACCTTGGGGGCATGTCTGCCTTTGGAAGTAGGGTGCTGGCAGGCACCCACCCAGGCCAGCTTGCTGACCCTGCAGTCTTTCCAGTGTTTGCATTGTAGCCAGTGTGCACCCAGCACCATATTAATAATTGCATTTATTATTAAATAGTGGGGTTAGCAACTTAACTTAGTAGCCCAATCTTACCATAGTGGGGTAGGGCATTTGAAGGATGATGAGAAAGGGTGCCTCTATGTTTGCTGCAAAGTCATTTCATTAGGTAGCTTCAGTGAGCTTCTTGCAGGCCCTTGCTGAGTGTACACACCAGACTTCCAAGCTCTCATCACTGACCTTGTCTTGTGCAAGGCTCAAGAGGGATCTGTTGGCTATTTGTTGGCTGGTTGAGTTGTTGCTGTTGTTGTTGTTGTATTTGTTGCCTTGCCTTTGCTTTGGCACCATGATGGTAGAGGAGCAGCAGGTGGCAGGAGTGCCAATGGAGGTGGAGCCATCTGACCCAGCCTCTGGAGGGTGCATTGACCTGGTTGCACCTGGGGGTGATGGGCAAGTTGGTGAGAAGGCATTCACCCTTCCTTATGGCATCTGCACCTTGAAAGATGTGGAGCAGAGAGCTTACATCAACAAAGGTGGCAAAGCTGAGTGGGTGTGGTCCAGGGTGCACAGCTTTTGCCAGATCCAGAAGGAGCCTGGTAAGATGCTGAAGCAAAGCATGTCTGCACTTCTGGAAGACCTCAACCAGCTTCAGGTGCCTGAGAGTGCTGTCCACTACAGAGGAAAGGAGCATTCTGATGATGCTGAGTGGAAGGACCACACACTGGGTCCAAAGCCCTGCTTGGCACATTGGCTTACCTCACCAAGCTGAGGCAAATCAGTGCTGTGGTCAAAGTCAGAGCCTTGAAGCTCTTGTTGGCACTGGCAGAAAAGGGCTTCCCATGTGCAGACCTCCAGGTGCCAATCACTGCCATGATCCAAAGGCCAGGTGGGCCAATGGCAAGTGCAGAGCTATTCTTTACACCCCAAGGTTTGACACAGAATTGGGGTAGCCTTTTGTCCTTGTCCCCTGGTGGTGTGGCATTGTGGAAGAAACTTGGGAGAAGGACTTGGCTGAACAGGTGCATTGCATCTTCCATGGAAAATGCCACCTTCTTGGACATCCTCTTCTTCAATGCCTATCTCATGTGCCACCCAAAGCTGAAGGGGCAAGGGCAGAACCTTTGGCTTGCAATTGGCAGCAACACCATGCCAGAGCTTATATTTCATGCAGGCTCATGGCTTGAAAGCCTTGCCTTGAGCATGAAGGAGGAGCCTCTGTCCATGCTGCCAATTCTCAGAACCAAAGAAGGCAATGCAAGGCTCCTGGCTGATCCTGTCAACCGCATGCTTCTTCTTTGGAAACTGAGAAAGAACAAGCAGCACAGGATGGAAATAGCTGGGACTCATGGTGAGCTGGGTGGCAGCACAATGAGAATGATGAGGTATGAGGCATACCTGGACTGCCTCTTGCACAGTAAGGCCCTGGAGCAAGGATTCAGTGGCTGCAAGCAGGTCTGTGTGGCCTGGGATCCTTCTTCCTATGGGGGCAAGGATGTGTTTGTTGGCTGCCTATATGACCCAAAGTCCAACACAGGTGCATACCTCATGTCACAGCACCTTGGAGCCACATATATCTCTGAGTTGGACTCCTCCTTGCTGGAGATGGCCCAGGCCAGGAAGCTCACCAGGCTTGAAGGTTACAGGGAGATCAAGGGGCTCAGTGCAGCCTTGGAGGGCATTGGCCTCACCCTCAAGAATTTCTTTGTGCCTGAAGAGCTGGTATTGAGGCCATTGAACTCTGAGGAGCTCAGGCTGCAGGGGGGGGATGGCAAGTGGTACATCCAGGATATGAAAACTGGGGAAGTTAGGCCCCATGTACCACCTGGCTTTGACCTGGGGTCATTGCCAGCATTGATCAGCATCTCTGATCAAGGCCCTGCCAACACAGCAGCCCTCAACTATATGCTCTACTCCAGCAGAGCTTTGTTGATGTGGTCATTGTGGGACCCTTACCACAGGGCCTGGAATGATCTGAAGCTTGCCTTGAAGAGGAGTGTTGGAGGAGGATGGAGGGCAGTCTTGGAGCTCACACTGGTGGTGAACATGAACTACGGACCCTTTGGGTCAGGCAGCTGGTTTTTCAAAAAGAAAGCAAAGCTGCATGATTTCATGGCCACCCAGAGTATCAACAGCCCTGCCTGGGACAACTTCCAGACACTGATTTGCCAGGAGAGAAGGGTTCCAGAACCCAGCAATCTGGAAGAGGCAGAGGCAATGTTCCACCAGCTGGTTGGCATGGACAGCTTCAACCAGAAAGGCCCACTGGTGAAGCTCATGCGGTGGTTTTCCTTTTTTGAGAGCATGGCCTTCTATGAAGGGGAGCTGTACTCCACCAAGCTCATTCTCCTGCATGCCCTGGACAAAGGTGACAATGCTGGTTCAGAAGCAGAGGTGGAGGAGCCCTTGCCTGAGCAAGGGGACCACAGGAAGGAGCTTGCAGAGCTGAAGAAAAGAAAGGGCACATGGGCACTTGCTCCTTCCCTGATCAATGGCAAATCCCTTTGCATGAAGGACTGCATCATGTCCTGTGGGAAGGCAACTTGGCAGAACTTCGCGGAAAGGGCAAGGGAAATCTGCACACCACTGCAAGTGAGGGAGCTGAACATATCCTGTGCCCAGAGCAGGTACTGGTGCTGTGAACTTCTGGATATGCTGGAGTCATCCTTGGAGGATGCCAGGTGTTTGAAGCACCTTTGGCCAGAGTTCCAGGGCCATGACCAAGCCATGATCTGGCATATTGACCTGCTTGCCAAGCTCCTAGAAACCAGGGCTATGAGCCTGGCTGTGTTCCATCTTCTTCCCCCAAGCCTCTATTGCCATCTCCTGTCCTTTGACCCAGATGTGGCTAGGCAGGCCCATGACTTGGCAATGGCACATTGGAAGATCCTTCTGCAAGCAGAGGAGGCTGAAGCTGCTGGAGCACTGGTGAAGTCTCTCTCTACTATCTACTGGAGGTTCAACCCTTTGGTCAGGGCACTGTTTCTGGCCTTTGAAGAAGATGCCTACAAGTGCCAAGTGTATACCTCTGAAAGCCAGGCAATGAAGCTCCAACTGCTCTTCACCCAGAACTTGGGGGATTCCAGGCTGGTGGAGAACATTCACCAACATGGAAGAGATTTGTGCAGAGCCAGCAAGTCCAATTCCATGTCCAATGTGAGCATCATGGCCAATATTTTGAAGTGTGGTGTCCTTGAAGGGAGGAAGATTCCTGTGGTGACAGCCAAGGAAACCCTCAAGGCAACTGGTGCTGCCTGGCAATCAAAGAGTAAGGAGGCTGTGGTGCACAGGCTGAGGACCCATGGCAAGAACCTTCCTGTTGAACTTCAAAGGATGATGGCCCCCAACAAGAAGGCATATGAGCAATGGCCATCTCCAAGCCCTGGATCCTTGTTTCAGAGCTGTGCATCCACCCACTGGCTCTTCAGCTACTTCTCTTCGCCACCTTCTGAGGATGTCAATGTCAACTCTGCTTGGCTTTCCTGCCTAGCCAGGCCTGGTGCCATCTTGGCCCAGGAATCAACTTCTAGCCTGGTCATGGTCATTGCCTCTGCAGAGTACAGCTTCCTAGGTGTTGCAATGGAGGCCAGAGTGGGCCTGGACTTGGAGAGGACCTTCCATTGCATCATCCAAAGGCATGCTGTTGGCTTCCGCCACATCTCAAACTTGTCTGACTGGGTGGAATTGCCTGTTGAACCTTGCCTCACCTCAGCAGGTGGCACTAGAGGGCCAATTGGTTGGAGGAGAGTTGGGCATCCTCAGCCACTGGAGACAGCTGCTTTGCTGCATGGTCTTACCCTCACATTCCAGCAACTCAAGGATCTGGTCAAGGAGCTGGGTGCCTCTACCAAAGGCTTGACATCCAAGAAGGCAGTGGTGGAGTTGCTCATCTCCATTGCCTGTCCAGAAGACAAGCTGGAAGAGGTGAAGGCCAAATATGCCACTGAGACCACAGAGGGAGAGGGGCAGATGGATTCTGATCTTTCTGAGGTGGTTTCAGAACTGGGCCAGGATGATGGCAATGCCCAAGATCTGAAAAGGAGAAAAAGAAACATCACAGGGCCAAAAAGGCATTGAAAAAGGCAGAGCAGATTCTCCAGGCCAAGGCAAAGTCCAAGAGACAAGCAAAGGCAAAAGCCAAAGGAAAGGCCAAGGGAAAGGCAAAAGCAAAGGCAGCTGCCAAGCCAGAGAAAAAACCCAAAAGCTTTTTGGAGAGTGTCATCTTGAGGGCTAGGAGGCTGAAGGAGCAGAGGGACCCAGCTGCCATGCAGAGGATCAAAGAGGAGGAAAGGGCTGTGGAGAAGGAGGTGGCACAGGAATTGGATGACCCAGAGAAGATGAGGGAAGCCAAAGCTGCTGGCATTGATGAGCTGGATGTGCCTATGGGTGAAGCAGGGCCATTGATGCCTGCAAGCTCCAAAGCAGCACCCAGCCAGCCCAGTCAGCCCAGTCAGCCATCAAGGGCCAGGGCACCAAAAAGTTACAAATCACCCACTGAAATCATGGGCTTGCTGCAGCCTCCTGGATGCAGATTCTCCATCAGTGCCCAGGATCACCGCTTCAAATCCCAGTGGGATGAGGATTACCCTGAGCTGGATGGAACTTTTTCCCAGCTGAGATTCTCTAGGTCCTTTGCCAAAAAGGTTAAGTGGGAGGATGCCTTGGCTCAAGTCCACAAACACAATTGGCAGAAGTGGGCATTGGTGCAGGATGAGAACCCTTTGGGAGAAGGGGAGGAGGCACAAGAGCCAGGTATCATTCCACAGGACCTTTTGGATCTGCTCAAGGGCCATATTGAGGCAAATCTGACAGAAAAGGCCAAGAGATACCCTCTGCCCCAGGATGACACCCAGAAGGGGGATGACTGAGTGATTGTGCAGTAAAGCTGGGCACACTCACATGTTCTGTAATAATAGAAGGGTTTGCCATGGACAATTGCTGCATGCACACTTTGAAGGTTGCACATTTGAAATTTTTGAAAGCAGCATTGATTGGCATGTGCGAAGCAGCTCTGCAGAGAGGACCAAAAAGAGTTGAGTTCCTGCATCATTGACAACATGGCACATGGCACCATCCATTCTAAGATGAGTTGGAAGACTGCCCCTCTGAAGGTGCTTGTGTGTGTGGCCCTTTGCTGCTGACTTCTGCTTCATTCAGCCTTTGGCAAGCATTGATTCCACCACCTTGGTCAGCAAAAGGCAAGGATATGACCCAACAAGCTTTGACTGTTCCAAGAAGACATGTGCCAAGGCCAGCCATATGCAAGATGAATGATTTTGGATGTCCTTGGTGCTTGCCTTCTTCTTGCAGGCTTGCCTTGCTTGGGTATGTCTCTGGCCTTTGTTGGCCATGGTGGTGAAACTGATGTCTGCCTTTGGCATGGCTTTTGCTTTCTGGCCTTGGCTTGCCTTGGTGCTTGCCATCTTGGTGCAGGTCTGTCTTGCTCTGGGGGTGTGCCTCTGGCACCTGGACTGCCTATGGTGGAGAATACTGTGCTTGCCTTTGGCATGGCTTTTGCTTTCTGGCCTTGGCTTGCCTTGGTGCTTGCCATCTTGGTGCAGGTCTGTCTTGCTCTGGGGGTGTGCCTCTGGCACCTGGACTGCCTATGGTGGAGAATGCTGTGCTTGCCTTTGGCATGGCTTTTGCTTTCTGGCCTTGGCTTGCCTTGGTGCTTGCCATCTTGGTGCAGGTCTGTCTTGCTCTGGGGGTGTGCCTCTGGCACCTGGACTGCCTATGGTGGAGAATACTGTGCTTGCCTTTGGCATGGCTTTTGCTTTCTGGCCTTGGCTTGCCTTGGTGCTTGCCATCTTGGTGCAGGTCTGTCTTGCTCTGGGGGTGTGCCTCTGGCACCTGGACTGCCTATGGTGGAGAATACTGTGCTTGCCTTTGGCATGGCTTTTGCTTTCTGGCCTTGGCTTGCCTTGGTGCTTGCCATCTTGGTGCAGGTCTGTCTTGCTCTGGGGGTGTGCCTCTGCCACCTGGACTGCCTATGGTGGAGAATGCTGTGCTTGCCTTTGGCATGGCTGCCATACTTGGCATTTGCCAGGCCCACCCTACCTCTCCCTTGCTTGCTGTTGCTTTGTGGCTGGTGCTGTTGTTGTTTGTTTGCTGGGTGTTTTGTGTGGAGGGGTGGTCTTCCAATTCAAAGAGTGGATGGTGCCTACCAGAGGAAACCATGTGAACTTCAGCATGCATGCCAACAGCAAAACTGGCCATATTGGTTTCACTTTCCTTTTCAGGTTTTGTCTACTTACAAATAAACCCAGAGGTTTGTGCATGTTTGTGATTGGATTCCATGCCTGCCCTCTGGAGGCTGGCTCCTATGGATGTGGTGAGGCAATTGTGCCTTCAGCGTGGTGGCTAGGACCTGGCAATTTTGCAGATAGATCCACACCTTGCCAATACAGGCAGCAAGATTTGACATCAAGTGGCAAAATAATTCTGCTGTCAGAGCTCTGGGGGGAGTGCTCAGTGCTCACTGCAAGGATTACATTTTTCAGCCACCAATCCTTTGGTTCTTTCTGGTTTGAAATTGTTGGGAATTGCAATGCCAACATTTGTGTAGGTGTTTTAAACCATTTATTTATATCTGTTTGAACAACCTCATAATGTCATACCAATTGCAAACATTGTGAAGATTGCAGGCATTGGTGCCACACTAGGTTCAGAGATGTTCCAAGGGTCTTGTTTGAAACTGTTTAGTTTGAACTAAGTGGGTGCCCAAGGTTCAAGGTGACATTTGGGAATCTTGTTTGAAAGTTGGATTTGCAACATCAGGTGGGAATTGTGCTACTGTGGCCTTATCATAGCAGGGGTGCCAATGTTTGAAGGTGAAATTACAGAAGCTTAAGTTATTGGCCTGTTTTGGGTATGCAGGGACTCTGGAACAATCAATGGGGACACTTGTCAACCATTGGGCTGTTTTTGTAGAATTTGTATTTTTGATGGCCTTGAAATATATGCAGGGGATGCCAATTTGTCAAGGTGAAACCCCATAATCTCTACTTTTTGAGTTTTTGCTCATGCAGAGACCCTGGAGCCTTCAATGGGGACATTTGTCAACCATTGGAACTGGTGTTTGAGGCAGTTTTTGGTGATGACCTTTAAACATGTGCAGGGGGTGCCTACTTTTCAAGGTGAAATCCCATAAATTCTTAATTTTTGAGTATTTTGGGTTATGCAGAGGCCTTGGAACCATCAATGGGGACATTTGTCAACCACTTCAACTGGCTGAGTGGCAGTTTTTTTGTTATGGCCTTGAAATATGGGCAAGGGGTGCCTATTTTTCAAGGTGGAACCTAATTTTTATTGGTTTGCATATTTTGGGTTGTGCAGAGGCCTTGGAACCATCAATGGGGACATTTAGAACCACTTCAACTGGTTTAGTGGCATTTTATTTGTGATGGCCTTAAAATATGGGCAAGGGGTGCCTATTTTGTTCATGATGGTATCTCATTTTATTTTTGGGGGCCATGCAGAGGCCTTGCATTGGAACCATCAATGGGGACATTTGTCAACCACTTCAACTGGCTGAGTGGCATTTTTTTTGTAATGGCCTTGAAATATGGGCAAGGGGTGCCTATTTTTCAAGGTGAAATCTATTTTTATTTTTTTTTGTTTTTTGGGGTTATGCAGGTGCCTTGGAACCATCAATGGGGACATTTTGAACCACTTCAATTGGTGGCTTTGTTTAGTAATGGCCTTGAAATGAAATAAATATGGGCAGGGGGTGCTATGTTTGAATATGAAATCACAGCTGGGTTCTAAGCAATCAATGGGTGCTTGTGTCAGCTACTTGAACTGATAATTTTTAAAGATTTGACTTGACACATTTTTGCAAATGAAACATGTAATAGATGCTGTATGAAAGGAGGATTTTCTTAGCATTTGCTAGGTTTTTCTAGGATTTACTGGGATTTGTGTGGTTTTCTCAGGTTTGCATTGGGAAAGTTTGGGAAAGTTATGGATGCTATGATTTTCCCACAACCCCAAGCATGGGTTGAAGATACCCCATGTTGATACACTCCTCTTTGTGAAGCAATGATTATAACAAGTGCATATGTGGAAAGGCCCGCATGGGCAGCGCCTATCACTTTAACTTACTGATGTATTTTTTGGCACTTCGCATAGGCACACGACGCTTACCTGTCATATCTTTTTGGGTTTACCCACTATACTCCCAAAGATGAAAGTCGTGGCAATTGTATACTTGTTTGCCAAGTTTGCGTCCCTTTGTCTCCCCTCTGTCTCCCTTACTCGCCCTTTTTCTCCTTGTGTTGCTGCTTCTGGGCAAGGCGCGATTTTTGGGCAGAGAAGCAAGAGATTTGTGAAAGGGCTGGAAGCTTTTGCCTGCCTCAGAATTAGCCCACTTTGACCGTCGGTGTGCCAATAGGATTTCCACCTGGCGGAAGATTAGTGATGTCTGGCGTAAGCGGTGTGCCATGCGGCTGGCGCAAGTTCTTGTAAATGGCGTAGGTATCAATGTGCATGTTTGGATAAGCGTCCACATGGTGTTTAACATCCGTGGATATATATTTTTAAGATTGTGGGACATAATTGTGCACACGCGTCCTGATGGGGATGTGGAAAATTTGGCATATATTTTTAAGATTATGGGACGTAACTGTGCACACGCGTCCTGATGGGGATTTGGAAAATTTGGCAATAGAAAAGTGCATTGCCAGGGATCTAAAAGTAACACTTCTACATAGTGCGTCCCATGCAGTTTTAGACCTGGTTGCATTGACTTGTTTGACTTCCTGAATGCGCGGCGTCCCATGCAGTTTTTACTTTGTTTCCACATATGCACTGACTTTCACGTCCCAGTGTATTGTTCCGCAACACCATTTTTCTTGCAACACAGCCTGACAGGCAAGATGAAGAGGCTTCTGTGCGATGTTTCACGGCCAGAACGTGGATGAGAGTGTTTGATATCGTTTCAGACTGGTCGTCGACATCAGTCACTTCCACCTCCTTTGCTTCACAAGAAGAACCACAGGAGAATCATTCCCTTCTGATGTTGAATCAAAGAGTCTCTTATACTGTATATTATATATATAATAAATAGACTCATGTCCTTGCAGTTTTTCGCCCACGATTTGGACTTTAAGGACTTTCAATCTCTTTTCATCACATTTTGTAGGTGTCTGGCTGTTTCCGGTGTCAGGCCGCAAGAAGACATCCGCCCTTCTCTCGCGTGTCGACCATTATCAACTCCATGAATTTGTCTCCCAGCTGAGCTCTGACACGTGAGCTCATCATTGCTGCCCCATGCTGCGCCCCATACTGTTCACCTTCGACCTGTAAGGTCTTGAATTTCTTGAAACATCTTGATAGATCACTTGATAGATCACTTGATAGATCACTTGAAACTATCTGTAAGATTCGCTGTAAGATTCACTGTAAGATCCTGTTGGAATCCGAGGCTTTGGCGCGACTTAGAATCAGCTCTGAGTTGTCTAAGGGTCCGACCCAACAGCCAGGGAGGGTGGCCTTTGCTTGAGATTTTTGTATGGACGATATGGACAGAGCTTGAACAGTTTGTGTGTCGATGTTTGTCGGATTTCTAGTTTGGGAATGTTTGGGATGCCTCTGGGGTTCTCCTTCTGTAAGGCCATGGCTGATGTCTCTGCTCGCTTGTTGGCAGACCGAAAGACATCGAACATCACTGTGCCCTGACAGCAAACAGCGCAAAAGCTCGGAACCGGATAGCGGCAATTTTTCCATTGCTCTCGCTTTGATCAGGGTCTCTTCGCAGGTTAAAAAAGTCGGTATTTTGGTTCGGCCTGTGACATACTGTGACAGCGACTTCAGATATTCATTGTCGATCCGTGGCTGCGAAAAGCCGTTACTGTTGGGCACTCCAAGGCGAGGCAGAGGGCTGTTGAATAGGCATCATGAATGAGCAACATATAGCAACATTGAGAAGTATGTTTCGTTTGTAGAGTTTGATGAGTTGCTACTATTGCTTCACACTTGGATCATGTCCAGCGACCTGTATCACTGGTAGCATTCACAACCCTTCAATCATGGATGGGGTTTGGGCTCTCACAAACAAATGTCAGAGGGTTGATTTGATTCGTTCTCTGGGGCAATGATCATCGCACTCATCACGCCGCCTTGCAGACAGAGCAGCTCACCATTTTTTACCTGGGACAAGGAAAGACCGAGTTGCAGGCTGCTTCGACATGCTTCGACTGCGTTGCATTTGCTGCCATTGTACTGTGACAAAAGACGGCTTTTGCCATTTCTATACATGTCTTGTCAAACTGTCTTGTTGCATTTCTTGCATTTGTTGCATTTTTTGCCGAAAGGCCCTCGTTCGTTTAGAAGAGAGCAAGGCATGCCTGGTTTCTTACAAGCTCGAGCAGCTCGGGTAATTTTCACATCGTTGATCAGATCTTTCAACAACAACAACAACAGCAACAACAGCAACAACAACAACAGCAACAACAACAGCAACAACAACAGCAACAACAACAACAACAACACCAACAGCAGCAACAACAACAGCAACAACAACAACAACAGCAACAACAACAACAGCAACAACAACAACAACAGCAACAACAAAAGCAACAACAACAACAGCAACAACAGAAACAACAGCAACAGCAACAACAACAGCAACAACAACAACAGCAACAACAACAGCAACAACAACAACAGCAACAACAACAACAGCAACAACAGCAACAACAACAGCAACAACAACAACAGCAACAACAACAGCAACAACAACAGCAACAACAACAGCAACAACAACAACAGCAACAACAGAAGATAGAAGCAACAACAACAACAACAGCAACAAGAACAACAACAGCAACAACAACAGCAACAACAACAGCAACAACAACAACAGCAGCAACAAGAACAATAGCAACAACAACAACAGCAACAACAACAGCAACAACAACATCAGCAACAACAGCAACAACAACAACAGCAACAACAACAGCAACAACAACAACAGCAACAACAACAACAGCAACAACACGCAGCATCCACAACAATAGCAACAACAACCGCCACAACAACAACAGCAACACAACCAACAACAACCTCATCAACAACCTCAAACAAAAAAAACAAACAACAAAAAAGCAACAACAACAACAGCAACAAGCACAACAACCAACGCAACACCAACAACAGCAACAACAGCACAACAACAGCAATAACAACCGCACAACAACGCAACAACAACAAGCAACACAACCCCATCAACACAGCAACACAACACAACAACAACCCGCAGCAACAACAACACAGCAACAACAACAGCAACAACAACAACAACATCAACAACAACAGCACAACAACAACATCAACAACAACAACAGCAACAACAACAGCAACAACAACAGCAACAACAACAACAGCAACAACAACAACAGCAACAACAACAACAACAGCAACAACAACAACAGCAACAACAACAACAGCAGCAACAACAACAACTACAACAACAACGACAACGACAACGACAACGACAACAGCAACTTCAGCTTGATGGCTTGATTCAGTTGCTGAGCGCGGTGTATTCCAACCTCCAGGAGTTTTCTTTCGAATTGCTTTGCCATTTGAAGCAGCTTTTGGTCCATGCAGTCCAACAAAGTCTTGTCTCATTTGCCTTATCTTTGGACCCGGGGTCTGTGGTGCTTCTGTTTACATTGATCTTTGTCGCTATATATGAATATGTCTATGTCAAAACGCATGCGTCCTTATGTGAACCCCGCTACAAATACACTTGTGAATGTTTGGTCTATTTGGCTAGCTCTACCAGGCCACTTGAAAGCAGCATCTGGTTCTGTGTGTGCTTCACTTCCAACCCAGAAACAAATCGTCTAAGCGACTGCATCATGTCGTTCCGTAACTTTTCTTTTTGTTGTTTCATGTTGTTTTCATGTTGTTTCTAATCTCCTGCATTACTTGCTCTGATGTAGGTTTGTCCGCCTGCATTCACAGATTTGCAGGTGGGGTTAGACACCGCTGTGAATCCCAGCAGCCCACCAGCAGCTGTGGTCTAGTGCTGCGTGTTGAGGCTCTGCCTTTTCGATCCAAAACTTGTGCAGCTTTGCCTGTCAGACTCTTAGAAGTTAAGTTGGTTCGGTGCCATGCAGCCATGCATGTGGAGGCACTGGCAGACAGTATATGCATGCACTTGCATACACATACGCCATTTGCATACGCGTCTGCATACACATGCGCCACACATGTGGGGTCCCTAAAAAGATACAACACTATAATATATGTAATAAGTATTAAGTATAAAGGGATTCCCTATTTACAAAAGAGAGCTTTAGTTGCTTCTTGCTCTAGCAAGGGATGTGGGGGACAGCAAAAGTCAAAGGCCGTGATTTTTCGTGCATTCCCTCCTCCTCCTGACCGGGGGCGTCGATCAGAGCTTGATTGCCTCCAATTGAGCCCCAAACACAGATAATTTTTTTGAAGAAACAAAAGCAACACATTTTTTTCTATGTTGTTCCAACTCACGTCCAACTCACTCCACACGACTCACTCCACACAATTCATCCCCCCGCAACTCAGCATCCTACTTTCTGCACCTGGCTTTCTATGTTACCCTGTGCATCTCGCTTTGTATCTTCCCACCTTCACAATGACAATGCTTAGCGTTCGTTCACCAACCCATGACAATGACTGAAGTTTTTGTCGGTGAATTGCTTTTCCGCGTCTTGGACGCATGCATGGATCCTTCCATCCCTTCCTGCACCTATCAATCCACACATTGAGAGATTCAGTCAGATAAACTATATATGATAACCCCGCATACAATCATATATACATTACATCATCATACATCCACATACCCACGAAAGTCCATGCGTCCATACACACATGCTTGAATACTCAAACAATATGCATGTGTCTTTGCATATGCACGTACATATGAGTTACGGTCAAAATGGTTGAAGATCACTGCAATATTGCAGAAGCACTTTTGTCAGAGACGTGCACGAAACACTGTAAAGCGATAGGGCCCCCCCCAAAAGCGATACTGGCACAAAACATTGAAAAGCGACATGGCCCCCCCAAAAAGCGAGGATAGCAACTACTGAGACGCGAAAATTGACGAGACCTCACATGCATCTACATTTACATACTGTCATTGAATTTCTTCCATTTTTCACGAAAGCCAGCCGCTAGGCTAGGCGAAGTTATTTTTGCGAACAAAGTGAGTTAAGGGGGTCTGGGGGCAGAGCGAGCCGAGAGGGACAAAAATCAGGAAATTAGGTGGTAAAAAAGGTGGCCACAGGTAAACTTTTTTAGGGTTATGTACCAGGTGGCAATTGGGTGACGTTGGGGTATCGATTCCCCCCCGGTCCGCCCTCCGAGGTGGATCTGGGCAGATTGCAATGGAGGGGAAAATGATGAGAAAAACAATGGAAAACATGAGGGAATATGACATTAAAACAATGGGAAAAAAATGGGAAAGGAGGGGAACATGATGAGAAAAACAATGGAAAAAAGGAGGGACTTTGACACAAAAAAAAATGGGAAAGCAATGGAAAATTTGAGTAGAACGCTTGGAAAATTGATTAAAACGCGAGGAGAAACGGTGGAAAGAATAGGGAGAGGGTAAAATGATGCCAAGTAAAATTGAGGCTCCGATGTGGGACCATTATCGCGTAAAGCATGCGTGAAACAATGGAAAAGCAATGGAAAAATTGCAGTTTCGATGTGTGACCACTATGGAGTAGAAGCACAGAAAAAAAAACATGGAAGAAATGAGCAAAACCGTTTATACGGTGCAACTGTAGGGATTGTGGGAGGTGCATTTGGGTAAGCGTTAGACACACTGGAGAAATCGAGTAACACCATGGCAAAACACTGTGAAAAGTGATGAAATGGAAAGATAAATTGATAGCATAAAATATGGGAAAAACAATGAACAAATGAATGGGAAAGCAATGGAAAATTGGAGTCGAACGTTTGGAAAGTTGATTACAACGCGAGGAAAATCGGTGGAAAGAATGAGGAGAGGGTAAAATGATGCCAGGTCACGTAAAGCACGCGTGAAACATTGGAAAAGCAATGGAAAAATGGCAGTTTTGATGTGTGACCACTATGGAGTAGACGCACGGAAAGAAAACCATGGAAGAAAGACGATTGAGTAAAACTGAAGGGAAAACTGTGAAAAAAAACACTGGGGAGACTGGAATGAAGGGGAAAATGATGTCGAGTAAAACTATGGAAAAGCAATTAAAAAAAAACTATGGCTAGGCGAAGTTATCACGAAAGCCAGCCGCCAGGCTAGGCGAAGTTATTTTTGCGAACAAAGTGAGTTAAGGGGGTCTGGGGGCAGAGCGAGCCGAGAGGGACAAAAATCAGGAAATTAGGTGGTAAAAAAGGTGGCCACAGGTAAACTTTTTTAGGGTTATGTGCCAGGTGGCAATTGGGTGACGTTGGGGTATCGATTCCCCCCTGGTCCGCCCTCCGAGGTGGACTTGGGGAGATTGCAATGGAGGGGAAAATGATGAGAAAAACAATGGAAAAAATGAGGGAATATGACATTAAAACAATGGGAAACAAAATGGGAAAGCAATGGACAATTTGAGTAGAACGCTTGGAAAATTGATTAAAACGCGAGGAAAAACGGTGGAAAGAATGGGGAGAGGGTAAAATGATGCCAAGTAAAATTGAGGCTCCGATGTGGGACCATTATCGCGTAAAGCACGCGTGAAACAATGGAAAAGCAATGGAAAAGCAATGGAAAAGCAATGGAAAAATTGCAGTTTCGATGTGTGACCACTATGGAGTAGAAGCACGGAAAGAAAACCATGGAAGAAACGAGCAAAACCGTTTATACGGTGCAACTGTAGGGATTGTGGAAGGTGCATTTGGGTAAGCGTTAGACACACTGGGGTAACATAAGGGTAATGATGGAGAAATCGAGTAACACCATGGCAAAACACTGGAAAAATTGATGAAATGGAAGGATAAATTGATAGCATATAAAACAATGGGAAAGGAATGGAAATTTTGAGTAGAACGCTTGGAAAATGATTCCAAGTAAAATAAAAGTAAAAGGATGGAAATTGATGGGGTGGAAAAACAATGGAAAAATTGAGGCTCCGATGTGGGACCATTATCGCGTAAAGCACGCGTGAAACAATGGAAAAACAATGGAAAAACAATGGAAAAATGCGGTTTCGATGTGTGACCACTATGGAGTAGAAGCACGGAAATAAAACCATGGAAGAAACGAGCAAAACCGTTTATACGGTGCAACGGTAGGGATTGTGGGAGGTGCATTTGGGTAAGCGTTAGACACACTGAGATAATATAAGGGTAATGATGGAGAAATCGAGTAACACCATGGCAAAACACTGGAAAAATTGATGAAATGGAAGGATAAATTGATAGCGTAAAATATGGGACGATTGAGTAAAACTGGAGGAAAAACTGTGAAAAAAACACTGGGGAGACTGGAATGGAGGGGAAAATGATGTCGAGTAAAACTATGGAAAAGCAATGGAAAAAAATGAAAAAAATGTGGCTTCGATGTGAGACCATTAGCGATGGAAAAGCAATGGAAAAATCGAGGGATTATGATGAAGAAGTGGAGAAAAACAATGGAAACATATTGGAAAAATTGCGGCTCTGATGTGGGACCAAAATGATGCCAAGTAAAATAAGAGTAAAATGACGGAAATTGATGGGATGGAAACACAATGGAAAAATTGAGGCTCCGATGTGGGACCATTATATGTGCAAGAAGAGTTTCTGGGTGAAGAGTCTCTGGGTGAAAAGTATATGGGTGAAAAGTATCTGCAAGAAGAGTTTCTGGGTGAAGAGTCCTTGGGTGAAAAGTATGTGCAAGAAGAGTTTCTGGGTGAAGAGTTTCTGGGTGAAGAGTCTCTGGGTGAAAAGTATGTGCAAGAAGAGTTTCTGGGTGAAGAGTCTCTGGGTGAAAAGTATATGGGTGAAAAGTATGTGCAAGAAGAGTTTCCTGGGAAAAAGTATGTGCAAGAAGAGTTTCTGGGTGAAGAGTCTCTGGGTGAAAAGTATATGAGTGAAAAGTATGTGCAAGAAGAGTTTCTGGGTGAAGAGTCTCTGGGTGAAAAGTATATGGGTGAAAAGTATGTGCAAGAAGAGTTTCTGGGTGAGGAGTCTCTGAGTGAAAAGCATCTGGGTGAAAAGTATGTGCAAGAAGAGTTTCTGGGTGAAGAGTCTCTGGGTGAAAAGTATATGGGTGAAAAGTATGTGCAAGAAGAGTTTCTGGGTGAAGAGTCTCTGGGTGAAAAGTATATGGGTGAAAAGTATGTGTAAGAAGAGTTTCTGGGTGAAGAGTTTCTGGGTGAAGAGTCTCTGGGTGAAAAGTCTGTGCGAGAAGAGTTTCTGGTTGAAGAGTCTCTGGGTGAAAAGTATATGGGCGAAAAGTACGTGCAAGAAGAGTTTCTGGGTGAAGAGTCTCTGGGTGAAAAGTATATGGGTGAAAAGTATGTGCAAGAAGAGTTTCTGGGTGAAGAGTCTCTGGGTGAAAAGTCTGTGCAAGAAGAGTTTCTGGGTGAAGAATCTCTGGGTGAAAAGTATATGGGTGAAATGTATGTGCAGGAAGAGTTTCTGGGTGAAGAGTCTCTGGGTGAAAAGTATATGGGTGAAAAGTATGTGCAACGAGGGTTTCTGGGTGCAGAGTCTCTGGGTGAAAAGTATATGGGTGAAATGTATGTGCAAGAAGAGTTTCTGGGTGAAAAGTCTCTGGGTGAAAAGTATATGGGTGAAAAGTATGTGCAAGAAGAGTTTCTGGGTGAAGAGTCTCTGAGTGAAACGTATATGGGTGAAAAGTATGTGCAAGAAGAGTTTCTGGGTAAAAAGTATATGGGCGAAAAGTATGTGCAAGAAGAGTTTCTGGGTGAAGAGTCTCTGGGTGAAAAGTCTGTGCAAGGAGACTTTCTGGGTGAAGAATCTCTGGGTGAAAAGTATATGGGTGAAATGTATAAGCAAGAAGAGTTTCTGGGTGAAGAGTCTCTGGGTGAAAAGTATATGGGTGAAAAGTATGTGCAAGAAGGGTTTCTGGGTGCAGAGTCTCTGGGTAAAAAGTATATGGGTGAAAAGTATGTGCAAGAAGAGTTTCTGGGTGAAGAGTCTCTGGGTGAAAAGTATATGGGTGAAAAGTATGTGCATGAAGAGTTTCTGGGTGAAAAGTCTCTGGGTAAAAAGTATATGGGTGAAAAGTATGTGCACGAAGAGTTTCTGGGTGAAGAGTCTCTGGGTGAAAAGTCTGTGCAAGAAGAGTTTCTGGGTGAAGAATCTCTGGGTGAAAAGTATATGGGTGACATGTATGTGCAAGAAGAGTTTCTGGGTGAAGAGTCTCTGGGTGAAAAGTATATGGGTGAAAAGTATGTGCAAGAAGGGTTTCTGGGTGAAGAGTCTCTGGGTGAAAAGTCTGTGCAAGAAGAGTTTCTGGTGAAGAATCTCTGGGTGAAAAGTATATGGGTGAAATGTATGTGCAAGAAGAGTCTCTGGGTGAAAAGTATATGGGTGAAAAGTATGTGCAAGAAGCGTTTCTGGGTGAAGAGTCTCTGGGTGAAAAGTATATGGGTGAAAAGTATGTGCAAGAAGAGTTTCTGGGTGAAGAGTCTCTAGGTAAAAAGTATATGGGTGGAAAGTATGTGCAAGAAGAGTTTCTGGGTGAAGAATCACTACGTGCAAGAAAAAAATCTGGGTGAAGAGTCTCTTCGTGAAAAGTATATGGGTGAAAAGTCTGTGCAAGAAGAGTTTCTGGGTGAAGAGTCTCTGGGTGAAAAGTCTGTGCAAGAAGAGTTTCTGGGTGAAGAATGTCTGGGTGAAAAGTATATGGGTGAAATGTATGTGCAAGAAAAAAATCTGGGTGAAGAGTCTCTTCATGAAAAGTATATGGGTGAAAAGTCTGTGCAAGAAGAGTTTCTGGGTGAAGAATCTCTGGGTGAAAAGCATATGGGTGAAATGTATTGAAGAGTCTCTGGGTGAAAAGTATGGTGGAAAATAGGGGTAGATGGGCTGCTGGCTTTCGTTCCCCCCTTCTCAGGTTTTTTTCAAAATTTTTTTGAAGGGGCCAATCATGCATGGGTTGCAGCGCTGTATTAAGTCTATCCTGCTTGTGCAGAGTGGAAGTGGAACCGCAAGCATTCTGTGCATCCTTTGCTCTCTAGATATTATATAATCCCATTTAATAATCTATTAACCTCTAAGTCCAAGACAGTTAGTTCACCCTTCACATGGCATCGAGGTTCTCACCCCGAACCGCTCCAGAGTTTGGGCAAAGTGCCTAGCGTGGGCAAGCGGCTAATCATTTGAGAACAGCAAAATTTGAAGTCATTTGGATTCCTCTTTTTCATCTGTTTCCTTTTTTTTTCATCTTCATCTTTTTCACCTTTTCTTGAAAACAGTTTTTGACTGAAGGCGGTTTTACAAGTCATGCTCGAGGACGCGGACGGATTGGGCAAATGCGGATCATGTAACAACTCATTCCTGGAGCCAGAGTGATTCTTTTCTTGACACAACTTGATAGTAGAAGCTTGGGGCTTCCGGGTCAGAAATACTCCAGGCTGGGGTGGCTCATAGTCTTAGATAAGGTTGAAGGAATTCTTAAACAGCATTGGGGTTCTAGAAAGTTGGAGAGAGTGGATTGGGACTCTCAAAAGCATGCTCATCTGCTAAACTTTGAAGGCAAACAAACATCATCAGAGTGTTTTTCCAGCTTTCCCTGGTTCTTGCAAGTATTACATGCGGGTCTTTTGTTTCTCAAGCCATTCATCCTGTTTTGTAGACCAAGCATTTGTTAACGGCGCATCTTCTGGCTTTGTGCCCCCTGGCATCAGTGTTTCTGCCCGCTGTCCGGTGTGATCAGGCCATACGTCACAGGGATTGCCAAAACTAAAACCCGAAGATCTTAGAAACTCTTGGAAACTCTTGGAGCCTTTAGAAAACTTCAAACATCTTTCTCATCCTTCTACTGTTTGCTGCCCTCCTGCAGGTGCTTTCCTAAACAGGCTTGGTTTGGGTCTAGCTATACTAGTATAGGTGGCCTAGTATGTTGGAAATATTGGAAACACGAGACTGCCACTTGGTGACCGTGGCGGAAAGGTTTGACATGGTGGATTAAAAAGCTGGGTTAATTGGCCAGGACACAAAGATGGCTGAATCTGAGGTGTGGAAATGGACGGGGTGACAAGGAGGTGAACATATCCTGAGTTAAATGTTGAAATGACGCACTGCCAGGCCAACTTTGTTCCACGAATTCTGCAAGACGCAGGTGTTTCACAGGAGAACAAAGATTCTGCAAGCATGGTTTGGGCTAGACTCGGCTAGACTCGGCCGGACTCCTACTAGACTCCAGTGAAGGCCCAAGGCAGCAATGTGGCCAGCTCACAAATTCAAATCACTGGGTGAGCGACGGTTGCGCCGTTGCACTTGGCTTACTGTAAATTTTTGGATGTGTCTTGCCGCCCAGGAGATCAATCTTCCAAGCCAATGCTTCACTGATTTACAAGTAAACTATTTGCGATGCTGGCTCGGTTATCAAAGCCTGCAATGAAAAGCAATCAATACCATTTGGCATCAACTTCAGAAGCTTGACCAGTTCAAGTGAAGACCAATTACAAGTAGACAACTTCTGAGTTCTGAAAAGTGCAGAGAACAACTTTGAAATCTTGCTAGTTTTGAAGGTTAAGATTGTTTCTGGCTTTTGGATAACGATGTTTGCAGGCAACTTTTGTGCAGCTTCATGGGTGGGGTGGAGCACTTGGATTCTCATGCTCCGCTCAGATTTCTTCTTTGCGTTGATTGTAACATGTCGTAATTCGAAGTCGAAATCGTGACAACTTCCAGATCAACCTGCTGAACCTACAACTGAAGGTGTTATTACACATCGAACGCCTAGACAACAGAGCAAAAATCGCAAGCTGCTCAGCCTCAGGATTCCATGTGATATTCGGTGGTTGACTTTTCTTGGTATTGACCCTTGGGAATTGAGCCCTCAACGTGCTAGTACAGACCATCTGCGTTGTCTTACAACGAGCTCTTGAACATCTTGAGAGCAAACGTTGCGTTTGTGACTCTTTGTGACCTCGCATGGCTTCAAAGTACATTGAGTACCAAGGTGGACCGCACCAAATCCATCATGGAAGGTGCCATTGATGTCAACAAGGCAGATGATGCAGTTGCGAAAGGGAACCGCCGACAGTGGAAGTTGATGACCCTTGAAGCTGCGCCATGGGTCTACGTAAAGTTGCATTGCTTGGAATGCCGGAATGTTGATTTCATTGTTCGCCTTGCATGAATCTGTTGGGGCCTTATCCCTATTGATAAGGTGATGTGAATCCAGAATAGGAAAAGGGTTCAATGCCAAAGCGGTTGAGAACCTTCACCAACTAGCTATGAAGCAAAAGGCACACGTCCACACATTAGCACAAGAGCCACCCATTCCCGCTCTCCCACCTGACAGCTGGTGTTCAAACAAAAGTATGCCAAGTATGCACCCTTCTGAACAAGGAAAAGATCCCTTGCAAAATTGTACATATCCATTTCCATATACACATTTACATATCTTAAGATTAAGACTTGGACAAGATCCACATTCATATGAATATAAACATTCACAATGACAGATTGTAATTCACACACATGAAAGAATTCCGATTCAGAAACTATCCGCGATTCAGAAGCTGCGTCTCAGAAACTGTTTGAAATGTGGGCAAAAACAACGAAAAGGTGACTGACAAGAATATCAGGCATGTTTTGCTTTTGAGTAGCATGTCCGAGCAGTTGTCATTCTTCTCCATCCATGCAACGCTTCCACTCCAAGGATGTTTTGGGAAAGTTTCCCCATGCAAAGCTGATAGCTACCAGTTGGTTCTTTCTGTAGAATCTGTAGAGAAGTTTGTGCTGATGTTTTGGAACAAATTCAAAAAGTGTTTGGTCTCTTGAGTCTCTATGCGAGGCAAAGACCCTTGCAGATTTCGAGCAACGTGTGAAGCATTTGTTTTCTAGTTTTTTCAGCGCACAAGCCTTAGCTTTCATCCGAGCTGTATTGTCCAGGTGTAAATTCAGCTTCTTCATAGTTTGTCAGGGCAAAGGCCTCTGACCTACTGGACTCCTCCCTTTTCCAAGGTCAGCACAATCCGGGTGCTATTTTTCGACCCCGACAACAGGAGCCTTTTGATCTCATCTTCGCAAATGCGCAAGAAGGCTTGTCATCACGACATGTGCAGATTTGGAGTCTTCGAGCATGTTGTTGCTGTGACCTGAGGGCACAACCTCAATCAACATGACAAAGGGAATCTTGGGCCAGTGCGCTCACAAGCAGCAGGCGGGCGGGAGCGCTATGTCTATGTGTGATTTCAACTTGTATTTCGTGCATCAGTTTTCCTAGAATCGAGGTGATCAACATACCGGACATCCACCAGAATCCATTCGTTTGAATCTCAGGTGATGAAGATACCTTTCTGCTGCACGAAATTGCACAGTGCAATGAAGTTGCTACACGCGTCAGGTAGATCCGATCGCTGATGGCCTCCAACGCAACGGACGACCCGCAGCGATCTCGGGCATTCGTCATTCAAAAGATTCAAAAGCCAATTTTTTAAAAGACTGGTACAGCCGTAGTTAGTTTAGTATCTGGTTGTTCCATAAAGTCCTTTCTTTTTATTTTTCTTAATGAAATCTTGGCCTTTCCATGCCTTTTCAGGTTGGCAAGCATGCCGCCATGTTGGTTGGGCCCATGCTGGTTGAATCATCTGAGAGATCTGGAGCTGCACTTAGAGTTCTGGTTGAGAGTAGGCAAAGTAGGCAACCCTCAGCACTTCCTTTACAGCTCTGCAGTTCCTTCACAGCAACGAACTGCGATGGTTTCTGACACGTTTTGTTCTAATGCTGGCTGATCTTTGCTTTGACCTCTTTGTAGACTTGGAAGGCACGTGTGCTGTTTGGCCTTCAAAATCTGAGCTGTTCCATCAGGTCAAGAGTTGCTTGGTGTTGTCCAATTACTGGAGAAGAAACGCCGAGCAGCTGACGGTTCAACACAGCCGAGTGATGGGCCAAGATTTGTTCTTTTTCTGCGAAGCACAGCTCTGAACAGTTGCTACTCAAGCATGCAAATCGCCAAGGTGAGTTTCTTCCTGATGAGCAGCACCTTTTTAACCAGCTGTGAGATCCTGAGGCAGACAGAAATGTGACATGGGAGAGTAATTGCCTATTTGAGCGCGTACTCTACGACATTCATGTCTATTTGATACAACACCAAGTCACAGTGATTTGTCCAAGAGAAAGCAAAGGGTTTATAACCACATGTGCCAGTAAGACAGGAACAAGGCGATTCACTGTTGAAGCATGCTCCAGGCAAGAAACACCATCATGCCATTACAAATTCAGGACCGCCCTGTTCAAATTCCGATATGCAGTACTCGTATCAGGGCTGGTTTTGATCTCGCTTGCTTTCCCTCTCAAATGCTGTCAGATCAGTAGGGCCACCCATTTTGTCAAAAAATGGGTAACTTACAGAGACTCTGGTTTCCCATGGAGAGGACAGCCAATGGACCTGCAACATCCTGCAACCCTTAACCCCTTCAAATCCATTGCTTTATCATTCCAGTTTGTTCGAAGACTTTTTCATCTTCATTCTGCACCTGCCTGTTGTTTAATTGGAAACTGAAGTTGGGATGCCGATAATTGCACATGTCTGCTGAAAGTTGCACATGTCTCGCAAATGCTGCAAGATATGGGGTTTAGGGTTTAGGATTTCACCCTTGCCATTGTGCAAGCCTCAGGTTGACTGTTTGTTCACATGCTGGTTCTCGCACAATCAAAGTCTGAGCCTCACCTCCGTTTACTGTCAAAGCAAATCACCTCTGCCTGCGCAAACCAGAGACCCCACGGCATGGGAAATTTAGGTGTGAAACTGTGAAACCTTGGGGAAATACCATCTCAGACTATCTCGGTGGACCTGCTCGCAAGGTGCAGCAGCTTTCAGCTCAGCTTGCGGGCACTCCGTGCAACGTTCAGGCTTTACTTTTCGGATAAAAAGGCAGTCGCAAGACTTGGCAATGGAGAAGACTTGGGCATGTTTGGTCCAAGTACAGCTTGGCGCAAACATCGATTGATGCCTTGACATCATCCATGTCCTGTGTCAGGGATAAGGCTTCAGCAGATCGACACTTTGTTTCCAAAAGAAAAGCTCAGTGAAGCCTGAAGCAGACGAAACCATGGCAAAATTGTATGACAGCCTCTGTGAGCTCTATGAGCTCTTGCAGCACTCTAGCACCAGTTCTTGCACATGTTTGAAACATTCAAGAACAATTCTCGAAGAATTAAGATCCTGTAGCCGCTGGCGAGTCGGCACCATGAGCAGACCACCTGTGATTTGTGATACTGGCACTGGGGTGATCAAGGCCAGGGGCTTCTCCTGGTGCTTTTCATACTTGTGGCTAATTCCGCTCTACCGAGTCAGAATACATGGAGTCATGTGCATGTATACAATACTAGATATCATATCATATATTATATATATACATGGATACAAACAACACACACACACATATACACACATACACACATACACGCATACACACATACATACATTACATTACGTTACATTACATTACATTATTACATTACATTACCATACATTACATTACATTGCAGTACATTACATTACATTACCATACCATACCATACATTATATACATTACATACATAGCATACATAGCATGCATAATATACATAACATACATGACATACATAACATACATACCATACATACCATACATACATATACCATACATACATTACATTACATTGCATTGCATTGCATTGCATTACATTACATTACATTACATACATACAGACACACACACACACACTCATACACTCATACACACATACA